ACTTCAAAAATCAAGCCATAGAAAAAGAGAAATGTATGATCAATACTTTTCTTAGATGAGTATTGATAATTAGAATATCTTATAAATATATCTATGAGTGAAGAAGTGATAAAGATGTGAATAGAAGAAGTGAAGTCTAGATTGTTATTCTAAGAAATGCTTAAATATTTAAGTGTTTGACATCATTCTTAAATACTTGATATAAGAATCTAAAGTTTCTAAAGATGCATCATTTCTAATTGTATTTTTTTATGTATTAAAATATGATGTTTGAGATTTGTAAATTTTTATTTTCATAATTCCATTGCTAACAGACTAGTAATGATTTAAGTTAGAGGGTGTGATAAGTCTTTATTATCATGAGTTAATAATTAGTAAATAATATAATTGTAGCCTTAAATCATGATAAATAGACCTTTATTTGTGTTAAAGTGTGAAAAATAGTTTTTAGTTAATTAACGTGAATTTTTGGGTAATTGTGTGATTTTATATGAATTTATATGATTTTTATAGTCTTACTTTTGAGATAAATAAAGAAAAAAAATAAAAATAAAAATAAAAATAAAAATATAGTAAAATGGGAGGGACCTGTAGGCCAGCCTGACCCACAAGAGCGTCAGAAGCACAATCGGGGAGGAGCTGCAAGTAAGGACTCAAGTGGCTAAGACCGATAAGAGCACGTGTACACCACTCCCTTTCCATGTCACCAGTGGCTAGCTAACTATGGGGCAAGTGATCATACATGCGTGAGAAGAGATTTGATTGCAAATGTAATATTACTATATATTTGTCATAAACTTTCGCACACAAGCGATGTGGAACTAAACTCGCATCACACCTTCCCTAGAAAGGGTGGGCAACTAGCACGGATTTGAATCCTCCTAAAACGAAAACTCATATTTTTCATTTGATTATCGCGACTTTCCTACATATCACTGGTGTAGGATTAAGGCATCAAAATCACTAGATCATCTGTGAAAATCTTGTCAATGTAATTTGCGGAGCATTGTTACTAAAATTATTGAACAATTCATGATAAAAAGATCACAAATCCATCGAGTAAAGCATCTCCGATTGATCGACAAACAAGTCGTCGTCTAGAAGAGAACGATCCACCGGGATACGAGTCGTCACTTTCTTAGAACGTACCAAATGCAATGAAAAGCCTCCTCTTACTTCGCGAACCTGAGGATAAAGCTCTCTAACATGCGCCTCACCTCCATCTAATTCCTCTTCGTCGGGTGATAATCATCAAAGAACTGTAAAGTTGCCATTTTTCTGCTTTGTCAAGTGACAACCACTGGAGACAATTCAACAACCTATTTCATTAATCTTTAGACTTTCACAAGGAGATCTAGAGATTGCCTACATCATCTTTGTCTAAGGAGATCCTTCAAGGCCATGGACATTACACGACGATCTTCCTGAACACTCAAGATTCTAGTACATCGTTGACGCATTGTCGCTACGAGCTCAGAACTCTATTTTCCTACTTTCAACTTAATTTTTGCTTCATTTAATAATAATTTTATGATTTAAACTTACCAAGATATACTTCATTCAATTACAATTTTTTTGGCTTTTACAGATCTTAATTTGATCAATTAAATTATTTGTAATCGCTTATGTAAGAATCGTCGAACAGAACTCTGTTTCCGCCTGATTTGCACTTGTCAGATGCTGACGTCATCTTGACATCTGCACGCCTATTTTCCTTTTTTATAAATTTTAAATATATTTAATTTTTATTTTCTATTATAAAATTTATAAAAAATAATATTCTTTGAGGAAAATTCTAAATAATTATCTAATATTATATTACATCTATGTGATTGACCTGAAAAATTACCATTATTTTTGGAAGTTATATTGAATTATAATTGATATATTTGTTCAAAAATATTTCTAAATATCCTAAAATTCATATTTTCTAGTTTCATAAATTTTAAATTTACGTGATTTACTATACAATGACTAAGTCACATCAAGGAACTTTATCCTTAGATCTGCGCAGCAAGAGGAAGCTCTTCATCACATTGATACGCTCTTAAGAGGTGGTGACTTGTCTCTCGATAGATCATTCTCTTCCTGATGATAGCTTGTTCGTTGATCAATCAGAGATGATTTACTCAATGGAATCACGATCTTTTTATCACGAATCATTTAGCAATTTTAGTAACAATGCTTCGTGAATCGTGTTGACGAGATTTTTGTCAATGATCTAGTGACTCTAGTGGCTTGATCCTTCAGCGGCGATCTATAGGAAAGTCACGATAATTAGGTAAAAATATGAGTTTTGACTCTAGGAGGATTCAAACCCGTGTCGGTTGTTTTCCTATATGAGAGAGATTGAAATAAGTACTTTAATCCCCTTATAAAGTGACATTATCATGGTATATCTCTATTATAAATAAGGAATATTTTAAGTATTAAAATCTTCGAACCCTTTTGGAATAAGGTGTGATGTGGGTTTAGTCCTACATCATTTATGTGCTAAAGTTTTGGATGAATCTATAGTAATATTACATTTGCAAGCAATAAGTCACTTTTTCCTACATGTATGACCACTCTTTGCCCCATAGTCAGCTAGCCATCGATGACGTGGAAGGGGAGTGGTGCTCATGTGCCCTCATCAGTTCTAGCTGCTCGAGCCTTCTACTCGCGGCTCCTCCCCAACTACACTTCCAACTTGTTTGTGGGCTCAGCTGGCCAATAGGTCCCCCCATTTTTTTATATTTTTATTTTTATTTATTTTATTATTATTATTTTAAAAAATAAGACTAAAAAATTATATAAATTTATAAAAAATCATATAATTAACAAAAATTTTATATTAATCAACTAAAAATTACTTTTCACACTTTAATATAAATATAATTCTATTTATTATGAGTTAAGGCTAAAACTATATTATTTACTAATTATTAACTCATGATAATGAATACTTATCAATCCCTATCACAAAAACTTATGTCATTGAGATGTTATCATAGGAGAAGAGCTTAACCATCAAATTCAAGCAGTGGTTAAAGGACCGTAATGGGGTTCCATGCTGTAAAGATTTATCATCAAGAGTTATTCTAGAGATTTATCATAAGTTCCTCTTCCATATAAATAGGAGGGATCCACTTCTATAACAATTAGGTAGGTACTCTCTAAGTGGTGGACGAAGTGTTCTCTGCTATTATCACTTAGTTATAGGCTGCATTTCAAGCTTCAGGCACCTTCCATTAAATTTAACACATCCAATCAACTTATGATCCTACCTAATCTTCTTCTAAGTTTGACACCTCCAATCCTATTTTAGATGCATACTCCAAGGGGGGCAAACCAGAAAATTCTTCACTTCTCTTTTGTTAGATTTAAGGATCTAAGAAATTTTAAATTCTTAAAAGTTAAATATAACTGGGATGGGACCAATTTACCTAATGAAGATCATTCCCTTGAAGATGATCACAAGATAAAGGCTTCAGTCATTTAATGAATGCTTGACCCTCTCTTTGTTTAGATTGAGAAAAAGGCATCATATTTTGCGCAATCAATGTCAATGATGGAGGTGTGTGAATGAGCTGCTTCAATCTCCTCCTTTCTTGCACAATAGATTTGATTCATAGAGGCGTGCATGATCTGACTCAGTCTTGTCGTTCCTTCTTATTCCTTGGGCAATCAATTTGATCTTTCTCCTTTGCATATTTGATCAAGAGGTAACAGCATGAGAAAATTTTCCCCTTTTTATATGGAGTGAGCTTGAGATGGAAGCAAAATAGATATGAATCTTCAGTGATATGTAATATTGTCCATTGAGATCATCCTCTTCTCCCTGTTTTTCCCCTTTCTATTTTCTCTATTGATCAAGTGTCTAGCATAAGGGTAGTAAGGATAGGAAGCTAAATTTTATATTTTCTCATCTCAATGGGCAAAGAGATGGGTTATAAATAAAGTGAGCGGCAGACCTGGTCCTTTTTGTTTAAATTTCAGATCCCATGCAAAACAATGAATAGATCCATTTACCAAAGTTTTAAAGAGATTCGAGATCCAAAAATTGGATCCAATGTGCCTTAAATTTAAGGTCCACTAATCAGATCCATTTCTCATTTTTTAGGCCCAATAAATTTAACCCAACAACAAGCCAATAGTTTCTTTAGATTCAAGCTCAGTAATAAATTTATTTTTCATCAAATTTAAGCCAAATAATAACATCAATATAATCCTTAGATGTATGCCCAATCAAATATCCTCTTTCCTTTATTTAATACAAAATAAATAAGTATTAAATATAGTAGCATTCCAAACTATTATCCAGTAAATAATAATCAAATCTAAACAACCAAATTTCTATTTCTTCTTGGGCTCATGTTGATGTAAATTTCTAAACTACCCTTATCTTGTTGTGGTCATCATCAAAACACTTACAACCTTTAAATCATCACTATTGAGAGTTAGCTGGACGATAAATAGGGAACTAAAGAGTGGAGGAAAAATATAAAGTATAGATCTAATTCAGCCGTCTATAGGGCGGAATAACAAATAATGAGTTTTATGTGGGTCTCTTGAGGAAATGAAGAAAAGTCACTTCTACCATCAGTGGTTCCTAATATTAGCAAGATACCGAATTGCGTCATGCCCGCGCAATGGCTAAGTCACTGTCGACAAAAACAAATGGAGCCTCTAACCCTCACAAGCTTACTATATTACGCAAAGTTCACGAAATCGTGACGTAATCACCTCCGACTCTTTACTTTATGACGTAGACATACGTAAGGCTCTTCTACCTTGAGCGGCTCAGACACCTGGACGAAAGCTTCGCGTCAGCATGACGCAGTCCGCCCAGAAGACCGACGCCGAGTAGTTGCCGTGGAAGATCGATCCTACCCGAAAGGGTAAAAATCCGAAGCCAGCCTGGCCCCGTCAACCCTCACTTATAAATAGCGACCGCCGATCCGCAGTCATCTCCATCTTCCCTTTCTTCCCACAGGAAGCGCATTCCACAAGGAAGAAGAATGGCAGCAGGAGACGCCTCATGCGAGTTGCAGAAGCCCCGGAAAGTCGTCAAGAAGCTGCTTGCGAGGCCGCAGCACGAAGGCGTAGGGGCTGTTGTGAGGAGAAGCATCGGCAGGTGCGTCATCCTCCTCCTCCTGGTTCTCGATTTCCTTCTGAGGCCGCGCTAATGGCGGCGGCGCCGTCTTCCCCTGTTATTCTAGGTTCGAGCTGAGATATTTCGATCCGTTCCTGGTACTGGATGAGTTCTCAGGTACGCTGTTGGCAAATCAGAGCGTCCATCAATCGGCCTGTGGTGTTCTCTTCTTATCGTATGATCGCAACTGATCCCATTGTTTCCTCTTCCTTCTTTCCAGTGACAGCGCCGGCCGGATTCCCGGACCATCCGCACAGAGGTATGCTAACCGGACCGCCCGATCTTTGGTCTCCATAGATTTGGAGACGATCCTCTTTTTGTGGCTCCTCTGTTCCCGCCATCTCATCTGGATTTCCATCTTCCAGGCTTCGAGACCGTCACCTACATGCTACAGGTGTGCAAGAAGCAGATCTCCAATATTCCACGGATCAAGAAAAGGGAAGATTGAGCTGGCTTTCTGACTCTTAAATCCATTCTTCCTCTTGTTTCCCATCAGGGAGAAATCACGCACGAGGATTTTGCGGGACACAGAGGCACGATAAAGGCCGGCGACCTGCAGTGGATGACCGCCGGGAGGGGAATTGTTCATTCTGAGATGCCGGCAGCGCAGGGCACCCAGAAAGGCCTGCAGCTCTGGGTCAACCTCTCCTCCCAGAACAAAATGTGCGAACATCCTGACGACTAAGCATAAGCTAAATCCTGACTTTCTTAGGATTCGCAATGTCCTGTTCATACAATCCTGACGTTATTCCGGCCGCGCAGGATGGAACCCAGGTATCAGGAGATGCAAAGAGAGGACATCGCCACCGTCAAGCGCGACGGGGTCGAGGTTAGGGTCATTGCCGGAGAGTCTATGGGGATTAAGTCTCCCATCAGAACCAAGACCCCCGCTATGTACCTGGACTTTACCTTGAAGCCATCGGCACACATCCGGCAGCCTGTGCCCCCGGGCTGGAACTCCTTCATCTACGTGCTCGAGGGTGAGGGAGTCTTCGGCAGGGAGAACTCCACGCCGGGGGGGGCCCACAACCTCCTCCTTCTCGGCCACGGGGACGGCCTGGAGGCGTGGAACAAGTCTGCAGAGCCCCTCAGGTTTGTCGTCGTGGCCGGCGAGCCGCTGGGGGAGCCGGTGGCCCAGCTGGGGCCATTCGTGATGAACACGGAGGAGGAGATCGACCGAACCGTGGAGGATTACCAGCGGTACGTCAACGGGTTCGAGAAGGCGAGGTATTGGACATCGAAGGCCATGGCTACGGAAGACTTTTAGCTGTTCTACCAATCTGGTAATTGAAATCCCCCTTAATTTCATCATTTCAATAGCCCTGGTCTGATCGGCCCCTCATTTTCAGACCCCTTTCTTAGAAGCAACCGTGCTAGCTCCTTTCTTTCTGTTACACTCGCCCTTGTCGAGACGAAAAAGAAAGGTTCATGCGGTTATTGTCCGAAAACCCGTTTTTTAAAGTTTGATCCTCATTCAGTCTGCTTCTAATAATCACAGCAGAACACCATAGAACGACTCTCTCTCTCTCTCTCTCTAAACACGTATGGATATATTTGTCATTTCTCGTCTGACTGAATTAGAGAATTAAAATGTTCACAAAAAAGCAAACGAAAGTCAACATTCAAAACGAAGAATCGCCATCAACCTCTATCTTAACTAAAAATTATATATGATGTCGACGAAATGTCCCCTTGTGCAGCTGTCACGCGTTGAATAATATTAACAAGCAATCGCCTGCCAGGACTTCAACATCCAGCGATTACGTCATCTACATGATCGTCAAAGAGGATACAAACATCAATCTTTCCACTGGTCCTTAGGTCACAAAGAACTGATCAGAGACAATAAGCAGGGTTGAGGCGCCCGGGTGTGTGAAGACCACCGACATTTGACGAACTTACCGGAGCGTCCTTCAAGACGAACCACCTGAGAGATGACGCCAAAGGAATTCATCCACGTCCTGATCCTCACCCCGTTGGCCGTGCCGGTGATCGTCCGGTTTCTCACCGTAACCCAACCATGTCCTGCTGGTCCTGGGACCTGCCCAGGCTGCGGATGCTGATGACATGGCCTGGGCTTCAGAGGACCTTGGAGATGGTGGTGTGTGGCTCCTCTGCCAGGGAGAAATGCGGTCGTCGCCAGTGGCGATGACGGACTCGAGGATCTCGATGTTTCTAGAGCCGCTGATGTGTTTGCGATCGGTTTGAGCAATCGGCGCGAATATTTTCATAGAGAGGAATTTGATGTTATCGGAAGCGAAGATCATGAATTTATGCTTATATTTGGAATAACAGTTTCATTTATTGTTCTTCCATGTACGACACAATGCTGGACCAGGCGACGCTCTCGTTAAAACGCTGCATTAAGGGAATTTCTAAACAACGAACGCACCCAGGACTACACGGAATAAACAGTAGACGTCAAATCATCAAAGATAATACATACGGCTATTTTTCCCCTCGTCCTCAGGATATATGGAATAGATCAGAGACAAGAAGCAGGAACGACGCTGCCGAGAGTCGTGCCCACCACGTTTGAGCACGACGAAGTTGCCGGGGCGTCATCGCCGCTGTATTGTAGGTTTATGTTTCCGAGCTCTACTCCTTCGCAAGGTGCCCCCTCGCTGCACTGCAACTTCACGGCCACCTTCGAAGCCGAAACCCCTCTGATATTCCTGAACTTCACCTCGCTGATTTTCACGCGAGAGGGAGCCTGAACGAGCCAACGCAAACAGCCAGGCTCGGATTATGTCAAGAAAGGTAGCGGGGGAGCAGCGTCGTCGGAGCTCACCTGTCTGTCGCAGGAGATGTACGGGCAGTACTCCTGGTCGATGATGATGGGATTGTAGACGTCCGTCATCACAAGGTCGTCGAAAACGAGCCCCCGAACACTGAGGACGAAGGAGTCCATCCATGTCTTGATCCTCACCCCGTTAGAGGTGCCAGTGAGGGTGCAGTTTCTTACCGTCACTCCCACCACGTCCTGCTGGTGCTGGTACCTGCCCAAGCTGCCGACGCTGATGCCGTGGCCGGGGCCGCAGAAGACCTTGGAGATGGTGACGTTGGCGACGCCTTCTCCCAGGGAGATGCAATCGTCGCCGGTGGCGATAGCAGACTCGAGGATCTCGATGTTGCTGGAGCTGCCGATGTGTATACCGTCGGTGTTCGGGCTGTTCCCCGGCGCGCTTATTCTTATGGAGTGGAACTTGATGTTGTCGGAGGTAAAGACAATTATGTGGAAGAACTTGCTGTCGACCGACGATATGCCTCGGACCAAGGCGTTGGTGACGAAGTTGAACGATAAGGACTTCTCGCCGCCAAAACCAAATGAAAGATTAGAAACAACAGAGCGAGAGGGAGAGCGAGAGCGAGAGCGAGAGAGAGAGAGCATACAGTCGGGAGAAGCTTGCAGTCGAACTTCTTGGGGCACTGGTTGTAAGGCCACGCGGAGGCACCGCGGCCGTCAAACCTTCCTCTGCCGGCAACCACGAGCCCATCTATGTGGTTGAAAGATATCCAGCTGCTGGAGGGGAACGCACTGAGATCAGTGGGGGCTACCACCCTCCCCTTGACCTGGAACACCATGGAGCCCTTGCAGGGTCCCGAGAAGTCCACAGGCCCCACCAGGTATGTCCCCTGAGGCACCAAGACCTTCGACCGAACCTCGGTCGCGCAGGCCTCCTTCCAAGCAGCCACGAAAGCCTGCACACCCAATTCCCAAAGATGATATGTTTCAATTGAAAGCAATATAGATTACATCTGTAAATATCAAGAGATTGGAGTTACCCTCACCTGAGCATTATCTGTCTTCTCGTCGGGAATTGCCCCAAAATCGACCACATTGAAGACCCTTTTTTCCGTGGCATCTACTGTTGATGCTACGAAGAACAGCGTCAGAAGAGTCACTTGGAGAGCCTTCGACCCTAGCGACATCTTCATACAGCACACTCTTCCCTCTTTCCTTCTTTCTCTGTATCTCGTATCAATAGCTAGATATGTGAAGCTTATTTGAGAATATCACCCGCGAAAGGACAGTCGTCGCAGAAAATATTCCCAAGTGATCTCTCACCTCTTAGTGCCCACGGATTGGATGTTGAGCTGCTCGATCTGTGCTCAAGCATTACGCCTATAGATGTATATATAGGAAGCTGCAGGGTGCTTCATCCCATGTCCACCCCAAATTCTAACAGTTTAATCCGTTCCGTCCGCGACTCACTTCTCCCTCCAATAACTCCAGAGCCAGACATCCTCCCCTATTTTTGGTGCTTTATCTGCTTCTCTGTCCAGCGACTTCGCTTCGCGTAAAACTGATTCTGTTCTGCTCCCCCCGGCAACACCTGTCTGCAGTTTTCCATTAGAACATCAGACTCTTGTTTATTTATTTTCTGATTTATCATACTCCTGACAATGTTTTCTTCCAAAGATTGCTCTTAAGCTTTAGGATGTCATGAATTTTAAGCCAACTCATGCCTGATCTCATTAGAGTGGAGAGAAGATTAGAAACCCCTACTATCCCTAGCTATAATGGCCTCTCCATTTTCTACTCAGTTTTTTTCCATCGTTGTGCAGTTCTGCAGGTTAATTGCTGCACCAGGTTAACTCCTCCCATACCAGTGCAACTTCTCCATGATGCAACTCCTGCCATCGGACTATTATAAACGAAGGGAAGCGAAAGGTAGCCCTATTGGTGGTCTTCGTACAGAAAGACGACGAAACCTCACGGTTTTTGGGGAGCTTGACAATGTTAATCATGATGACTAGGGACCTTGCCCATACTATCTCGAAATCAAGCCATCTGCACGTGAAGTGAACTTGAGGGTACGGTACGTACCTCTGTCTCTCTCTCTCTCTCTCTCTGCTCGCTCTCCTTCTCTAGATATCAACACAGATTATGACTTCTATCCATGAATATGCACTTCCTTGAAGCCTTAGAGGTATCTTTCTGTGGAGAGACGCTCAAGGAAGGTTCTCTAGCCTCATCGCAGCCATATGCAGAAAGGAATGGACCACGAAGAATATGATAATTGCAAAGCTTTCACCCTCCCTGGGCGGCTAACGAACCCTATTATTTAGTGCAGCTAGACTTTTCCATGGTGTTCTAGCCACATTTTAAGGCTGCCTAGTGGTGAGCTGATTCAGCTGGACGATCGCCGTTGACCCTCCCGCGTCAACCAAAGTTATTATAAGCCTTTGAAACACTAGGAGGAAATTTATCCGACAGAAAACGGAGTTAACCATCATACCTATCCCACCGAACCCATTTAGATAGCCTATATGCTATACATGAGGCCTCTCATGGCATGTTTGAAACCTCAGCAAAGACTCCCACCTTTAATTTTTCTCTTTTGAGGGCACGTATCGGAGCCTTCAACGCTTTTATTTTTTAAAGTTATCGACAATAACATTAAGTTAATTTAAACTTCACGTGATTTTTTTCTAAAACAAATTGACCCCTAATTAAGTAAATTTGCTCTTTGTTGAGGGCGCATTATTAAATGACTGCCTTATCTAACGCTGCCAATGTATGCATAAGGATGAGAATTTTGAATATAGTCCGTGTCTTCTCGATGAAGTTATCAATTTTATACATTATTATGCTGTTATTATGTTGACGGTACCTTTTCTATACATTATTATGCTGTTATTTTACTCGACTTTACCTAACTAACGTCAATTTAATTAGAGTAACATTATATTAACGTTGCATCCTCCTTTCTCCATTAATTACGTATGGAACGGAATGAGACTACATAGAGTCATCAGCCTACAGATGCCGGTAACTTGAGCAAGACCATTACATGTGATGTATGGACAAGGAACTTGACCATCTTACACTGGTCTTCATGGCGGGTTTAATCGGAACCCATGAAACGTATCTACACTATGCCTCAAGGATGTCAAATTTTATATTTTACGGAGTTCTATTGACATAAAGCACACTCTTCGTATTTGGAATAGTACCGGACGGTTTTCTCTTAACACCTCTGATGGGTAAATGGAGCGAAGAAGATTAAACGTTTAACTTCGATAACATCTAGACGATTGAAAACAATTCAACCAATCCAGATTACCTCAAACCCTAACCCAAGAAGACCTGCTGGGTGGGTATCACAGTCCGTGTGACCAACTGAGACAAATTCCACGGAGATTGGTGGATTTAGACGTGACTCTCCGCCGATCCGCGGAGGTAATTAGAATGAGAACTCATTTTCTTTCCTGGTATCAATCCACTCATAGCCGGAACGACAGCGATGTGCTGAGAAACGACGAGATAACTAATAGTCTCAGTTGCTTCCGGCGACTAAAGTTGCCATAGGTGAGCCTGGTCACCGCCATCCTCCCGAAACAGGCGTGAAAGATCTCTCTTCGACTGGTGAGGTGTCGAAGCGTCGGCGACTTTCCCCACCCCCAGAGACGGTGGCTGGGCACCACCTCTCCTTTTTTGTGGTCTTCAGCTTCCCGAGTCCCGCAACCGAGATTAGAAGCGCGGCTGGTTGGAAAGGTGAAAAAAAAGCAGGCTTTGGGCGGCTATTATTCTCAGAATCCTGCATAGGCTTGGCGAAGGCGTAAATGGTGGCTAATGGCCTGTTCCATTGAAGTCCCCACAACATCCCACCATCTCACCCCATTATCGAAATGCCACAGCGAAAAAGCTCAAAAGCAAGCTCAGGGTCTGAAAATTAGAAGACCCCATCTCTCCCCAGTCCTCCCGATCTCCACCGACGTTTCCTCCGGCAGCAGCGATGGTTTGGGTGCCGGGGCTGCTGAAGAGGAGACTCTGTCGGTACGGGAATGGCGCCCGCATCTTCGACGAGAGCGCCTTCGCGGGGCAGAATAACGAAGTGCCGGCCACCCCAAGCGACCGAGCCCACGGCGGCGCTTCGGCGCTCCTCGCGGTCGTCTTGGCACCGCTCTCGCTGCTCGCTTGCTTCTCTCGGCACCCCGTCGACGGCACCATGGAGCGGGGCGAGTTCTCGAGGGTCGAGATTGATCATCTCAGGGTGAATGACGGCATGCGGTACGCAATTTACGTGTAGAGTTCAGCAAGGAACGGGAGGTAGAGGACGCTCCAGACCATCGTGTGCATGTTTTCACTGGACGCCATAGATAGTCCTCATCAAGTAGACCTGCTTTCTTCACAGGTGCTTGTAGTCTAGACGATGTAAATACCTGTAAACACACTACCCTCGTTTCCTCTCTCTCTCTCTCTCTCTCTCTCTCTCTCTCTCTCTCCCTCTCCTCTCCCACATATCTGCCTGGGAGCAGACCGCTCGAAGCTTCTGCAACCGGCGCCCTTGCGGGGGCCTTTCTGCGGAGAGTAGGGAAGACAAACCAGTGTCCGAGAGGAGGGTGCCGCAGCCTCTCCCTATCAGATCCCTGTCGGAACGGCTACCGAGGTTATAGTACGGTCTCCTCGTATCCCAGAGGAGCGAGTAACGGGGAAGCAAAAGTCAATCCTTGTTAAGACGACGATATGCCCCTCCGGCGGCGGCCTACTGTGCTAGGGAACGGGTCGGCGGCGGAGTGGATCTACGATGCCTCGTGTGACATTTTTAACAAATTTTCATCTCGAAGAACCCAATTTATGCCGATTCCCCCCCATGAAATCGAATCAGACCCCATATAATATCTGCGAGATTGATTGATCCGACACCTCCTCCGGCTTTCCGTGTTTTTAGATGATGCCCTTGACGGCAGTATAGCGACAACCAGCGACGGGGAAGGCTGAGAGGAGCCAGGCGGGCGGCGGCCCCGGTGGCGGGCCGGAGCAACAAGATACCAGTGTGGCCGCGTGCAGTATTCCTCTGAGAAAAAAGGGTTGCAGGGAAGATGCCACATAGGGGTCTTCCAGGCCCATCAGGATGCAGAAAGAAATCTGGTATGGTCCACCCGTTTCCCTTCTTTCTTAAAGGAATCTCTCCACTACCCGTTTCCTCTGACAAGAGAGAAAGAGGACGCTCTCTCGTTCCTGAAGAGGAGGGGGGTCAACTCCTCCAGCCTAGCCCCTGCCCAAAAGTCAGCTACAGGCCGGACAACAAGAAAAAAAAAAAAGAGTAGAAAAATATATGCACTCTTTGATATTTATATGCACGCATAATTCTATAGTTTAATGAAAAATATATCCTCCCACCTACATCAGACAAGGAACACCTTGTTACCATGACGAAGGGCTCTGCTGTAGTTCTTGAGACCAGCGCGCAAAGACACCGATGAGCAATTATAGCAAAATTCCTCAGAAGGCCCAGCATATTCTGCAAGGAATCGAATCACGCTCCACATCTGTAATCAGAGTTCAACACTTGGCCGGCCAATAAGCAACTTATCTGAACATGGGGGAAGAGGGGAATATTTGGGCAAGAATCTTGGCAATATGGGATTATTTTTATAACACAATATGCTCATCAATCTTGGCATTCCTTGCATTTCTCCGGGTGCTTCGTGGCTTCCCACTGTATATGGACTTAGACCAGAGGAAGATCTTTACGAATCCAGCCCTTTAGTTCTCAAGTGCTCCAAAATACTATCCTTACCAGTCAACTCTCCGACCAACCCTACCAAATGTAGAAGAGAAAATTTACTAGAAAACTATGCAGACATACATATATATATTTATCTATAATCTCATTTTCCTGGGAAACACAAAGCAGGGTGTCCCTAAATGAGAAGATTCAGATTCCAGGAGAGGAAATAACTTACCATTAGTGTAGTGCCGACAATCATGCGTGCCAATGATCAGATTAGTGTCCCATCCTTCATTAAATTTATTGGCCACCTCTACGGCATCTGAGTTGCATATTCCAATGAACCAGCATCTGCTCTTGGGCATTCTGTTCAATGTCCTCTTTAGAATAACTCCTGGATTAGTGGAAAACAGTCATAATACTGGTTCTAAGAGTAAAGATTTACGGGTTTCTCTGGAATGTTTTGAAACAAAAGGAATTTCTATTAAGTACCAAAGGAAGGAGGGATTTAATGCGTTTCTTCCAAAGAATATAAAAAATATATCTTTAATATAGTCAGGACATTTGATTCACAAGGTTAAAAGGATGCCATTAAAATATGAGCATTAATCTCCGAGAATGTAAACAGGGAAGCCAGTCGGCAAAGAACAAGAAATAAACTGTATGGTTTTTGTCTTAGTTAGAAAACTATTCACGGGGATATAAATGCCACAGTATCTTGGACTTCTCCCAAGATTTTGTTCCTTGACCAATGTCCTCTCGGAGATTAGGTCAACTGCTCTGAATCTGCAGTATGAGATAATAAGATTGACTTTGAGGGCTTTAAATTGAGCATGGGCCCGGCACATGTCACCATACATCAAGAATGTTTAAATTACAAACCAATCCCACACTTATTCCACTTAATTTCTACACAGAAAATGTTGAAAAGTAAGGCGACAATTTAGCCCTTTTTTCAAGCTCGATTTCGACATGTCCAAGTCGAAGGGAATTAATAATGAGTTGGTTAGATTTTACTTCAGCTGCAATCTCGTAAGGAGGATCCACCCTCAGTGAGCATTGATCAGCTGCCAAGAGTTCAGAAAGACAGGAGGAAAGAGAGAAAAAGGCAGATCAATAACTCGTATTTTAACAGAGGGATTCCAATCATGAATTTGTCAACTGCAACCTCAATAATAGCAAATACCCAACGTCGGTGCATGAAAACATAGATTTTAGGGTCGATCACCTGGTACTCTTTTACGTGATAGGGCTGCGATTGCAACATAAATGTTCTCAGGATCACAAGGTTGAAAGTCAAACACCACCGCCTGCACAAGGGGTCATAATCATCAAACGAACAAGTAAAGATGTGGGTCTATAAATTGAAAGGGAAGATTAAGCGACTCAAGTCAGCATTGATGAGTAAAGGGTCCATTAATATACTGTTACATATTTACTCATTGATGAACTTTAGTAGATCTCAAGGCAAAATAGTTGTTCAAATTATTCCCGCATTTCCTACATTTTGTAAGAAAGATGTTAAAACTCTGATCAACAGGGCTTTTCATGTTCCCTAAAAATAATAATTACGTAGAAAATGGGAAGTGCAATCCTTTCCTTGCCATCGTCTACTCATGAGGGCCTAATTTTCCCACAAAAAATGAAAAAATAAGGCAACTTTTAGAGAAAATGGAGGTAAAACAAAATTATTTCCTAATTAAATATGAAACATATATTTGCGTCACTATTCTGTTAAAAAGAACGAGATATCTGTGGCTTCGTAGCATTCAACACACAGAGATCGATTTTCCGTTAATTTTTGCAACACAAATGCTCAAATTGATTCCTGACACCAATCTGTCATCACGAGGGTAAATGCTGAGAATGAAACCTATACATACTTCCACTATTTCAGTTGACGATATTACCACAAACATGGGAAAATGATGTTTTAAAGAATTATCATGTTCTTGATTTCCAATGATTTCCAAGGAGGCGATGATCTAAGTCAGAACTTCCTAAAAAAGTTAATCATAACAGAGCACAGGAAAATGCTTAGCAGATTATTCACGTCATGAATTTCCACTAAATTCCAAGGGTCGGGCTCAAAGAGTTACATGTGGAAAAAAAAAAAAAACTTGAAACGACTTAAATTCATGTTTTTATCAATGAAAGCCTCAATCCCACGATCAAAGAAAGCAGATGAATACAGCCATAGATTTAGAACTGATATGGGTCCAGTGAAAGTCAGACATGGCACCCTCATCGCAGACGAAGAGCCCTCGTGGCGCTTGACGATAACCATGAAGTGCTGCAGTTCCCACAGGCGGAGGGAGTAGCCCGCCGATGCCAGCAACCGGGCAGGGCCACCAGTGGCCCTCAGAGGCACCGTCGCCACGTAGATGGCATCTCTGCCCCCTCCTTCCTGTACCGACGCGGTAATAGAGGAGCCGGAAGGACCTCGCATTGCACAAGAAGGTGGGATTAGAGGAACAACCGGCGGCGCCGCTGCCACTAACCTCACCATCGCCGCCGGAACTTGGCCTGGCCCGGGCTATAGCCGCTGAAGCCAGAAATTCCGATATCGCATAAGAACCCCTCAAATTTATTTTATTAAATTCGACATAGTTCTATTTTTATTTTATATGATTTTTTTTCAACATCCAAAAACTATTTAAACTACTTTTATACCCACATAAATGTCGTAATCTTTTTTATTTGGAATTACACCCAGAGTATTGTTGACTTACTTTTATTACGTCACCGTTGGTATTAACGGATACAGCCTTGGTCACAATTAAAGGATACAAATCCTCATCCGATAGTACGAGCCTGGAAGTTCTATCTGCTAGGAAGCTCGGAAGACGTGGGAAAAACAAAAAGCTTCCTGCATGGCAGGAGGGAGGCTGCTTATTCAAATATCCTCATCTCCACGGGATGCCGCCGCCAACGATCTATCCGCTAGTTCCTGTCACGGGCACCCGCCGCCGCGCCGGAGTCGTCGTCTACTCCTCGCCGGCAACCGCTGGTGGAGCTTCTTCTCCGGCGACGACGGGTGGGAGTGTTTTCTTCTCCTCTTCCTCCACCTCCTCCTCGGAGGCCACCGGAGGCGACGCAGGGTCCGGCTGAGGAACTGGGTCGACTGTCGCCTCCGGCGCCGCTTCCTCTGCACTCTCCGATGCCTCCTCCGCCGTTTCTTTCTTCGTTTCGGCCTCCTCCGCTGTTTCTTTCTTTGTTTCGGCCTCCTCCGCCGTTACTTCCTTCGTTTCGGCCTCCTCCACCGCCGGTTCCTCGACCACGTTGTCTTCGGCGGCCACTGGTTCGTCCGCCGGCTCGTCGGACGCCGATTCCACCGGCGGCGCCGCCTCCTTGGTCGATTCTACGGGCGGCGGCTCCTCCTTAGTCGCCTCGATCAGGGGCTCCCCCGGGCTGGCCTCCGGCAGCGCCGCCGCTGCAGATTGCACCTGTGGACGGATGATCACGTCGAACACAAATCTCTAGCATTAGCCTTCCCCTAGAAGAACTACCAGGACGATAGAAGGAATGCGCAGAGTCAGCCTGAAGAACCTCCACCGTCGCCATTGAAGACCGGAGGGATGTTTAGGGAAGCGCAAGAAGCTGAAGGAGTATTTATAGCGCGATCAGAACTGCAGGAACTTTCCAGCTGCACCAGCTCCTCTCCCAGGCATTAAAGCTGGGGTCGCCCATGCCGCCATGGCAGAAGCTCCAACAGGAAGAATCCACAGGTGGAGGGCACCACTATGGCAGGGCAACTGATTGACAGCCCATTTTATACGCCACGAAGCGAACGCCCGCTATCTTCTTCCAAGAAGAAGACGATCGCGGACAAGGCCGCACTGGGGGAAGGTCGATGGGAGCACGAGGTGTTCTTCCCAGCGGCCCTGCGAAGCCACAGGCCGCTTGTACCGCGGGAGGAAGAGGACGAGCGAGGACCCACCTCGCCCGTCGGCCTTCTTTCCGCCTCCGCATGGGCGCTGCAGGGCAGGCAAGTGCCTGCGTACGCTGCACTTGCTACTGGTGAAGGAGAAGGATGAGGGCAGGAGGTGAGGGAAGGAGATATGAAGACAGGACGAGGAACATTTCATGGCAACTCCTACGTAGATATATATATATATAAAAAAAAAAAGAAAAAGAAATGAAAGACATAGATAATAGGATAAGATAACAACGAGAAGAAATGGCGGCGAGGAAACCCATGGAAAAGAGGAAAAACGCAGGAAACATGAGATATATCTGGTGGGTGATGAGATTAAGATCAAAGACAGGAGGAGGGAGCGGAGCATGGATACAAATGTTGTCAGCATCCAACTAGAGAGGGAGTAGTATAGTTACACTAGAACTATCCAACTAGAGAGGGCCCTAATTCCTTGAGGTTGTCATCAGTCCTGTGACGAACTGGCTCTGGCCCCTTTCAGCAGCTGCCTCCTCCGGTTAGCTTGAGGGAACCGAGGCCCCCCCTGTTTTCCTCCTCCGCAGCAGCATCCCCTCTACTGCCACAACCAACGCTTGGATCCTTAAGAAACCAATCAAAGCAGGTAAACCAAATGTTGCCGTCTCCTGGTACCCGGCAGGCTCCTCAACCCAGTTAAAAAGCCATGGACGGGAATGCCTGCGAGCCATCGAGAGAAGGACCGATCACCTCATAATCTGAAGCAAGAAAAAAAAATGCAGGGAGAAGCACGAAGAGCAATAACTTGCGATAAACGAGCACTGATTTCGCCACCATGGATACCAGGCCTATCCGGTTCCGTGGCTGAGTTTTGGAAGCAGACATGAGAAGCTAAACAGCCTCAATAATGCACTCGGCAGCTGAACGTGCCAATGTAAATGATGCCCTAGGATTACAGGTTGACAATCTGCCATTGGAGAATGAACCGCGGTTCATGGCAGAGGATTGTCGCGTAAAATTGATCATGAATCCGATGAACTCAGGGGCGATGCTGCGCCTGGCAAAGGTATTGCATAACTGGAAGTCACATGCAACATGCCAATTGAATTCTTTTTATTCGCCATGATATCCATCACTAAACATGCTGATTAGGGGGGGAGGGATCAATTTTTTGAGAAAATTAAAGAACTACTGTTGATGTAACACAGTTCTGTTTTGGGACCTCTCCCTATATGATTCACCAAGGCAATTCTTCCATAAGGTAGGCCATAAAATGACAGCTTGCCAACTTGTTATTTTGATAGGCGATATTCTATCGATAAATGGGGATTATACTTCTATTGTACAAGGTCTAGAAAATATATTCCATTGTCACTTAACTTCAATAAAAAAAAATCTAGTAACGTCAATGTCAGAGGAACCTAACCAACGAAGGCCAAAAGGGGGAGACGTTCAAGAACCAAAGGGTTGACTTGGTTCAGAGGCTCATGGTTCTATGACGCCCATTTCCAGATATGAAGGAATGATATTGAATTATAAACGTCTCACAATACTAATTATTAACATGAGAACATATTCCCTAAAACATTGGAATAAATATTCCGAAGAAAGATAAATATTAAAAGGGCAGACAAAATGCTAGACGTTTTTTTGCAGAATCATTTCACAATTTATGGTCGTCCAAGAGAACCAATAAAGTGAAGACTGACTGTACAAACAATTTAGAGTAAAAGCATAGGAAAAAGGCAGGAGAGAATGAGAAGGACAAAGTCAAAGTCAAACCGAAGCCGAACATCAGGAGCCGAAAAACCAACCATTTGACTTATCATGATTGCTTGAACAGATGTCGTCCCAACATCTCAGAAACCCCCAATGCAGACAAGCTTTCACAGCCAAAGAGTTGTTGAAGTTTAGCATCACAGCGTATCATCTTTGGGTTTAAAGGATCCTAAAAGCAGTAAGAAAAATAATACAGCATGTCAAAGAATGTTTTTTTCCATTTAGCGCCAGTTCAACTATCAGAACAGTGACAAAAAATATCACATTAAATGAAGAACGACGGACATATGATAAAGTAAATAGGCATCAAACCACAAAAGTTGTCACTTTCTTGATCAAAAAATTCAACTTTCATGACTGACAGCGTGCACTGTGCAGTCTGACAGGTACTCAAGTTAATTGTTTCGAAAAATTTAGTTCCATAAAAATATGCACCACGCATAGTGCCTACAGATAATTTCAATGATTGGCAGTGGCACTGCACCTTGTTCCACAAATCAGATTGGTCAATCTGACTGGCTGAACTGCGAATCAGACCTAATGGCAGTCCATGCCACATTTTGTAGATTAAAACCATAGAGATAGCAGATTAACACGTAGATTTTTTTTGTGGGCCACATTTGTATTTCTTAGAAACTGGGGGTAATATAGTCCTCATGTAAAGGTCAGACTATCCAACCTTCAGGCATCAAAATAGGTTTAAGGCGTGGATGATTATCATAAAAAAATTGTTAGGATCCAGACAGGCCTTACTTAAGCCAGAAGGAGCAGGTGAGGCTGACGGGCCTTACCTAGGTCAGAAGGAGCAAGAGGGCGTGCGGGTCACGTCAAGGTCATGTGAGGGTTAAGTGCGGGGAGGTGGGGTATTTAGGTAAATGCTAGGCAGGGAAAAGGATTTTGGGCAGGGACGGGATGAGGGAAGGGGAGACAAGATCTAGGGCAGGCTATGGCCTTGAGAGGGGAACAACTGGAAATGGTTGCTAATACCCGATTAGCTGAGCAAAAAGGAGGAATCCGCCCAAGGAGAGGCTTGCATCAGATTAGTTAGTTAGTGAGACTTACTAATCTGCTATCTATATGGTATTATGAACAAGAACTCATCTTTCTCGAATCATCTTCCTAGAGCAAAGAAAATTTCTACAAATCAGACTTTTTTTGTTTGTGATGCCAATGGGGGATATTCTCAGAACCCTTCATCTTATTTTCAGGGAAATTTACCAGGTATCATGAGTGAGAAATAAAAGGTATAAAATCAGCAAGAAGATCGCGAAGGGTGAGCACATTGGCATCTATCAACAATATGATAGGATCAACATTATCCCCGATATCCATTAATTGAACAAATCAAAACACACAAACGAGAACACCAAGCCAATTTAATCTTGCGCACCTCTGAAATTTTGTAAACTTTAATAACCCTAAGGTACTATACGGCTAACAATACCACAGTTTCCTTGCAATGGTCAAATTGTCTTGGTAACTTCGAGATGCCACAATATTTAACCATCAAAGTATTTCCAATAGCTAATCCGAACTCAGAATCCAACTAGACATGGTCATAACACCATAAAGATGCTCAATAATTTCCAAATGCAAGTCACAGAAAACACGTTATTGATACCTAACATGTAAGTTTGAAGGTCTTTCACAGAAATCTGGAAAAAGTTATCGATCCCTGCCAAATTTTTCATTAGCAACCACAGTGTACTCATGTTCCAATGAAGGAACTATCACTAAATGCTCTTAACCATCATTTTCATATTCTACTGTCATACTAATCCTCTTTAGCAAAAATTACATGAGGGCATTGGTTGAAAAATTCCATGATCTCAAACTCTATAAGATTCCTTCTGACTTGGGGCTTCTAGCCATCATCTTCGTAATTTTATGCAAACCTAGTAAATATAGTGATTTTTATCTATACGAACACATCAAAGCATCCGATTCTGTCGTAAGAGACTTTCATTGAAATAATCAGTCCTCCTACAGCTTGACCCTTTATTTACCATTGCACAACTGGCAACCTAAATAATATGATCCAGATTATACAACATAAATAAAGATTCCAGCAAATGCTAAACAGAAAAGCAAGTTAAATGAATAAACGTCTATTCATTGGCAGATACAATTATATAGAGTGGAAAGACCAATCCGCCTAAACTTTAAAATCCATTTTGCACAAATGGCCTTACTGAAAACATTATTTTTATAAATCAACTGCCTTTTTTTTTAAGTCCTGTCCCCTAATCAGTTGTAATCCTTCTTTTTTCCACTAACCCCGAGCCCCAAAAGCCTATAGTAGCTCAGAAGCTTCATGATCCACCCACCAATATTGAGCCAAATATCTATACCACTTCAACATACAAAGTAAAATTTGATTTTAATAAGAACGTGGCAATTTAAAAGTCAAGATCTGTGCACTTAATAAGAATACCACTAATCAAGTAAATACCTCTCCCAATGATAGAATTTTCGGGATGCTTTTCCCACATTCTTCCATTTTCTAATACTCCAATGCTGAAATAGAGCTCACTATAAAGGAGAGAACATCGCTATTACCAAAGCATTATTATAATCCATGCAACATATTTCCTGTCATATGGAGTAAGCAACTAGTGCTCAGGCCAGTAAGGCCACATCTCAAAACCCGTCCATTTGAACATCTCAAGGCCAAGATGATGAATTCCCAACCAAAAGAGAAAAGGTATGCGAAAAAGGAGGTCTTTCTCAATTTCACGGACCTTGCTTATTATCATAGAATGATCTATTACATCTAATCCTCAAACTTCCTAAGGGTAACCTACCACTAACAACTTCTAGCTTGAAGCAAGAGAACAAAAGAGCGTCCAGAGTATCAGAAATGATATCAGTACTGCACAAAGTCTCTATAGTCCACGAATGGAGAGGAACCCTCCCTACCATCCATCATAAATTAAAAGTGCGCTCTTAAACCAGCTGCCACTGCATTAGGCTTCCTGGCTGAGGTAGAAAATAGATGACCATACAAAAAAAAGAACTCAACACTGGGCGTGCTATTCCTCATTGAAACTTTTCATAGTAAACAAATCAGACCCATTTTACAAATTGTTAGTCAAGGACAGACTTCGTTTTGTTTTTTTAAACGACTTTCAAAAGGATACCCACAGTAAACCTCATTTTCATTTTATCACACCAGAATCAACCACCAGTATCCCATGCTCGAATTCTTTTCTTTTATGATTGGCTTCTGAGTCCAAAGGGATATCTATAATTTTGGTCTAGAGAGTATACCGGAGTTAGCCCAACAACAAAATGTGTGAAAACCCCTCATGATTGGTCTCCCATGATGACCTCTTTCTTCTCACCCCCACTGCAAAGAGGCTACTTCTTACCCTACAGTTCATTAGCAGGAGACTCATCCTTCGGCTCGTTTTGACAACCAACACCGCCTTATAACAACCATATAACAGTATCCCTACAATCTTTTGCCAGGTGATATGATTGAAAGCATCTACTCAGTCGTATCTCATATCTCTTCACTGCGACTTTTAGATTTAGAAATAGCATGATGCAGGCATGGATCAAAATTCTTCCCCCCCATGCTGTTAACTGTCCGATGACACAAGACATTACCATGCACAGTTAACATGATCTGTACAACTTCCATCCAAGCCATGGTAACATGATCTGTACAACTTCCATCCAAGCCACAGGTTTTAGTTTCTTCTAAAAAGTGAGAAATACAGATATCTTATGCCGTCTTAATGCCCTTTTAGCTGGGCTCAGCACACCTGAATGTGGAGATTTTCTTTGTAAATTCTTAGTATATTAACAATGTTTTTGGTAAAGAAAAATAGGTACCAGGAATATGTGTTCTTTGCAATCATAGATAGAAAAGTTTACCACGTCATAACAAAATAATGAGGAGAAAACTTCATGTGTCTCTCGCAATGAGTAGAGGTGCTGCATAGTAATCTCAACGAAACATTCACTGTTTGATAATCTTATTTAACATGAAAAATGACGAGCTTTAGTATGAATAAATAACAAGAAATATGAATAATTAATGAAGAAATGCTATATTGACCTTTAGCTGATAAACTTTTATATAGTCCCAGATCCGACTCAATGCCTCTGACTGGAACATTTCCCTATTTCCAGTACCAAAGAACTTGGCAAGTTCATCAGAAATCAGAACAGGGGATGCATCCTCTTCCGCCTCAGTTGAAGAGGGCACCTCAGATGATTTTAGCTTTTTCTTATCCGGCCCAGGCTCTTCTGCAACCATCATGCAGTCCAAACAGTCAGAAATCCAAAGTGTTACATGTATTTACAGTTTATAATCATTACAACTGAATGCTTAGCATACTTGAGGGCTCAAGAGGTGTGATGTGCTTTGCTAGCAGCTTATTCATCTTGAACATGTCAGTACAATCTGTCTCAAAAACCAAACGTAACTCATCATTGCAAATGATCTTCCTCTTGTTGTTGGGATCTTGGAGATTGTTCTTTCGTATGTATGCCCATAATTGCTTCACAATCTGCATCAATTTTATAAAAAGCTAATGCTATGAGTGCTAAATAAACCTTATATCCGGTAATGTGACTCATAAAATGGACATAATTGTGTTGAGGTAAGCTGGAGATATAATTTTTTTGTCTGAACCATAATATATATATATATATATATATATATATATATACTGAAAAAAAAGGATTACTTGGTTCTTGAAGATGTCAAACCTCAGTTCTTGACATAGTCGGTTCACCAACAATAGCCTGAAGTTCACGAGAAACACCACATACTTTACTTAGACCACCAGGACCACCTCTTCGTTTAGCTCCAGTTGCAGCACTGTGCCCATGATGAACCACGAAAATCAGACAAATATGTTTTAAGATGAACCATGAATCCGGGAATGTGAGAACAGGGCATAACTGCATTGTGGAGAAGGCATGGGAATGGATGGGAAATTTGCATGATTTCTCATAATCATGCTATGACCATGCAATGGGAAGGTATTACCAGAGATGTAAAAAAGTTCAGATAAGCAATGACTCTCACAGGACCAACTCCTGGAAGCTAAAATGTTTCAAACTTTTGCAACAACAAAAAAGACAGCATATACTAACAAGTGCAGCAAGGAAAAAAGGCACGAACAGATAGCCTTGGAGAATACAACAATATATCCCGTAAATTCATGCAATTGAGATTCCGGAACATACCTATTTTCCTATAGCATCTGCTATCTATATCCTTGTTTACCGTACGTATTGCCTTCCAAGAAGTCCAATTAAAATTTAGAAAGGTAAAATTAGAGGATAAGACACTATTCATCAACCTCCAAAAAAACCAAATACAGACATTTCATGCAAGTTCACCGAGAGAATAAAAGGATCTCCGTAAGGATACAAAAATAGGCATCCGTGAAAAAAAAAATTGCCGATGCCACCTTTAAAACATACTAATGTTTTTTGTGCTATTTAAGAGGATGCAAATTGCTAGACTTCAAATTGATACCTCCTTTGACAAGGTAGCCTTCCATAAAAACACTCAAACACATCTAATATAATGAAATCATTATCTACAGATCGTTTTCTTCCAGTACACATGATCTCAGAAGTTGATTTAAAATTAAAAGGAAAAAAAGTCCCTACCCTCGATCTGAAAATAGCTGAATTTAGACTAATAATGAAACTATGCCACCTGAGAATTTGTCCACTACAATCACACGGGGGGAAAAGCACATATAAATTTCATCCATATCATTTGTAGTCATCTAACATAAAGAAATGTGGAATTCACCTTCCCTTTGACCCCTTAGATGCCGAACTCCGGGGATTTACATTCCCTTCCTGCTTTACAGCCGCCGACACACCGGCAGGAGACGGGGCAGACGGCAGCTGCTGGGCGTGCTGCGACTGCTGCTGCTGAAGGAGATGGTGAGGTTGCACAGAGACCGAAGGAGTGCATCGAAAGGCGAGCTCGTGTTGGTGTGGGAAATGGGTAAAGGGCGACGCGGGGATCTGGTGTTGCTGGATAAGCTGATGGGGGTGGACGGCGAGGAACTGCTGCTGAAGCTGGTGTTGGTGCTGCTGCTGCTGCTGCTGGAAAGCATGATGGTCCCTAGACGCCGGCGCCGGAGGCCGGAACAGCAGGTTAATCTGATCCCTGATGAAACCCGCCTTGTGGGAGAGGTTTAACCCTAGCTTCGCCTCCAGCTGCTGCACCACGTCGTTGACATTCACCGACGTAGCAACTCCGCTGGGGTCCGATTGGCGAAGGAGAGACTCTACACAGCTCGCTATCTCCTGGTCCGACACCATTACGACCAAGAACCATCTAACGACCACAATTTAACGACCAGCAAATGGGGAAAGACCGGCGAAAAATATAAAATCGATAAAAATTTTCCTTCCGCCCCCCCGGTCCCTTCCCCCTTCCGCCCCCTCTCTCTCTCTCCCTCTCTCTCTCTCTCTCTCTCTCTCTCTCTCTCTCTCGCCCCTATCCTCCACCCTCTCTCTCTCCTCGCTTCCTCTCTCTCTCTCTCTCTCTCCTCTCTCCTCTCTCTCTCTCCTGTGGACTCGTCTCTCTCTCTGTGCGGGGGCGTCCCTTTCTACTTGAAATAATGGGGAGCCCATTGACGAAACTACCCATCACCTAAAGAAAGATTTACGAGAACGGTCGGCGACTAGGTCGCACAATGGTCACCGCCTTCCAAATAGGCCACGGGAGTTCAAAAACCAGGCAGTCAGACCCCGCGGTTAATCTAACAGAGGGGTGACCATATCTTTATGGCCCTCTTCTTGATTATCTCCCTTCTCCGAAGAAAGCGGTCGCTACTCTCCGCTCTCCGTCGCCGACGATCAGTCATCAGTTCTTCTCCTCCTCTCTCCCCCTCTTCTTCTTCCTCTTTGCGCGGCTTCTTGTAGCAGCTTTCGGGAGAAGGAAAAATCTACGACCGTCGCCGATTCATCACCGGAGGGGATCCCCACTGGCCGACGGGAAAACCTCCGGCGAGCAAGCAGAGCGCCGCCGTGGGAAGCGGAGGGAGGCGACTGGAGGCGGGATCTGACCCGCCGGTAGAGACGAGGACACTGACGCTGATTGTGCAGGAAGGGAAGCATCAGAAAAATCGCGGTGGTGAGAGAGAGCGTTGGGGAAGATGCCAAGTTTTTTTTTTCTAATTATTTTAATAGTTTTCAGATAATAGAGATGAAATGGAATTGCTCGCACTGAATTTACAGATGTGTAGAGAACTACAAAAGAAAATTGAAATATATGATTAAATAGAAATTGTATTTTACTGTAAAAAAATGGTTGGTAATCCAAGGAGTCGTTTTCTCTCTCTAGGGCGTGTATATTAGCAAGCTTGTGCCGGAGGAAGCGAGGGGACGCAGCAGTAGTTTCTCCAGAGGTGGGATTGCCGTGGGGATTCAGGAGTCATCGTGAATTTCCCACTCGTGGGATCTGAGCTCCCGTCCCAGCCCGGGGTCGGAGAGAATCTGGTTGCAGACCGCTTGCTCGTCGTCGGCCGCCGTCCGAGGTTCTCACTTCTCCGCCCCACCCCCCGCAAGATCCGAGCTCCTCTGAGAAAGGAGAGAAAATGTCTGGGGAAGACCTGGTGCTGGACACGGCCATAAGAGACTGGGTGTTGATCCCGCTATCCGTAGTCATGGTTCTTATCGGCGTCCTTCGCTACTTCGTCTCCAAGCTCATGCGCTCCTACCAGGCCCCCGACCAGAAAGTCGTCAGGGATGGGTGAGCCTCTTCCGCCGCAGAAAAGGAAATATTGGTCCTGGTTTTTTCTTCTCTTAGCCTTATATCTGGTTGTCTGATTGGATTCGTTCGTGCGATATCTCAGACAGGTGATCCTCAGGGCAGGACACTTGAGGGCGGGGGCAAATTTCATTCCCCCCAAGACCTTCTACTCCCGAAGAACATACTTTACTAACGAGGTATGTAGCCGTCTGATGCTGGTTTGCGTCTCCGAATTAAATTTCTTCTTAGCGCTGGACATGACGAAGCAAGTACTACGACTGTTTAATGGTTTCCAAATGAACGCTTGTCAGGAACATATTTTAATTATCCTTTCTTCGTGGTCATTTCTGAGTTTGAACTGGAGAATTTTTTATCTGGTTGAGAATTTCAACCATTTATTCGAGCCTAGGTTTCTGAAATTTGGTCAGACTCTTGGGTTTGTTAAGCATGGGGCTATCGAAATGATGGGTCTATGTTGTTCTATTGAAATCCATCTTTTCATACCAGAACAGAACCATCCCGCTTAATTCCTCCGAAATCTCAATCTCATGCCTCGTTTTGGATCAATATGCATTGCCATTAGTATTTTCTTTTTTTTTCTTCTACGTACTTAGTCTCAGCACGACCTTCACAGATAATGAAACTAAATTCGTGAGCTTCACGATTGATGGCATTCTTCGGGATTGAAGCCTCTATCTCTTCTTGATGACTTACAGAGTCGTCCTCACTGTCCTCATTGGTACCGTATTTAATGATCGCCAAGAACTTCTGGTAATACAGACGTCATCATGCTTTAGTTATTCAGAGGGCAATGCTTTCACAGAGCAAAATACGTCACCATGTCGTCAGAAACAATAATTAATATCGAATGGCATCAGACGGATGAAAAAGAAACAATAACTGTTCAAATGATTTCAAGTACTGTGGCATGTCTGAGGGACATAATAGATAAAAAATTATCAGTTATGATGGAATGCACAACTCAGAAGAAGAATTAAAACATGACCAATAATTTTTCAGAAGCAAGGAACAGCTTTTATTGTTTTCAATGAAATCAAGACCTTTATACAATTTGGCTGAAGCTGTCATTCCCTACAATAGCTCATTAAGGCAACAGATTGATGGGAAATTAAGAGAAAGGTAATCCACACACGTCATCCCCGCTGAAGTGCATTGATGTTGGTTCTCCCAGACATAGTACAACTTTTAGTGAAAAGGTGAGAAAATTCATGGTCTCCTGAAGCAGCAAAAGACCCCATCGAAAAATTCTAAACAGAGGCTTTGCATGGACAAAGACGAGGTTAAAGAATAGCTCCTGTGTTCTTCCCATGTAGAAAGGCCAGATTTGAATAGATATACTTTGATTATGTTCTTGATTCAATCATATGAAGGAAGAAAGGAAGAAATAAACGAGAAAGTGAAAGGGATGAACAGAAGAGGAAGTAATTTTCAAATGAGGGTGAATAGAGAGTTGTGTGAAAGCAAGAAAGCATGTCTTCTAAGCAACAAGGACCCCAATTTTTCCATTCCATGTTCCCTTAAAAGAGGATACGAATGTCGTTTCTTGGATTGCAGAGAAGGTTGAGTGTCTGTGACTCTTGCACTTGATTGATATTTGGGATGTCCAATATTGTGCACAACAGAACATTGGTTGTGTTAACATGGAAGAGGTACGTTTACTCATCTCTCTCTGCCGGGATTGTAGAACATTTTGATAAATTGTGTTTTAGAGAGACCACGACATGTGCCAACTGGGAAAATTTGTGACAGAGATTCAACATTGGGAACCTATTGATTATAAGCATATGATGTTCGTTACAGTGCATCTGGAGAATAAGGGACGACCAGTTGGAAGTCTTCCTTCTCCGTATGTTTGAAAAGTTAAGACAGGACTGCTTGTCGGACATTTTGTGCCAATACTGAAAATTGTATTTATGTTTTGATGCTCTTAGATTCTGTTTAAGAATCGTTTCGATCTATATCACTGAAGGCAAAGCGTTCACTATTGCTTGTACTATGCCTCTCTCTTCATTCTTTGTATTCAGCTACTCTTTTTCGTCATCATAGTCATGTGTCATTTTGATCATAGGAGAATGGGATTCTGCATGTTCCAAAAGGTCAGGCCCAAAACGCCCAAGCTCAAATGTTTTCTGATCCAAATATGGCCGTGGATATGATGAAGAAAAACCTGTCAATGATCATTCCGCAGGTATTGCATTTACTCTGTAGGAACTTTTCTTTTTTTTTCTTTTTCCCTGGTTATAAAACAGGTTCTAAGTACTATTTTTCTTTCCAGACACTCACCTTTGCATGGGTAAACTTCTTCTTCTCGGGTTTTGTAGCAGGTGAGTTTTTCAGTTACATGATTATTCCCTAAACGGAAGTTCATTTTACATTCTTACTATGACACTGCTGGAGGTTCTTATGTGTGGATTCACCTGTTAATCTAGCACAGCTATAATTACACTAGTTATTCTTACGATATTCAAGAAAATAAAAGAGGAATGTACTCATTTTCAGATAGGAAGTTAGCCGTAGAATTAAAAGAATCAACTTCTTTTAACTGCTTGTCCACGTCATGAAGCTTCTTTGCTTAGAGGGGTTCCTTTTGGCAAAATCTTTAGATATGTTAAATATATTGACACATTTGAGAAGCCGTTGAAAAATATGTCAAATTATAATTACTAGTGCAATATTATCTAGTATTACACTATTTTTATCAATAGCATTCGTTGCAGTTCTCTTAACGAGAAGAGAAAGTTCTTGAAGACCTTTTGAGAATGGAGATGGATGGATCTTCCTAACCTGGCACAGGCGTCAGTGAACTTGAGGAAGAGAAGAACAGAAGCTCTAATTAACTGATTGGGAATTCGAGATTACTAAAATTACAATGACATATTTCTATGTTTTGGACAAGCAGGAAAGAGCAAGTTACAAATAGCACATTGATATTGACAGGGTTGGGTCTTAACACTCCAATAATGTGTACATTTTGGTGAAGGCAATCTAAACACTCAAGAGAATTATTCATGGCTCATTTTTCTTGTGGAAATTGTCCCCAAAATCAGATGGGTTTATAAATTACGGAGATATCTCTGTATGAGGAACCCTTAAATTTTCCAAGACAATTTAGGAATCGAACAGGAGGGACGATATGAATGCACTCATCTAAATACTGATTAACAAACCATGCAACTTCATGGTTAAGCTCTAAACAAGTCATGTCCCATCCATTCCCTTGATGTTTAAGGCAAGTATCATGATACTTCGGCCCTGATAGATCAATTCTGTGAGTTGGTCAGCTTCCCACCGATGTCCCCTTTATTTATAATCCCTTTTTTGTTTTTAGAAGCCTGCTGAGAGGCAATGAGAAGCAGCAGCCAGGCAAAAATCCTGCTTCCTCAGATTCATTCTTTCCTGTCTTATCATGGACAGCAGAAAATAGATGCTTTATACATTCAGCTTTGCAGGCAAATTTTCTCGATCTGAATCTCTTTACTATCGTGGCAATTTGATAAACTGTTGGAACTGGAATAGCACGGGGTTATCCGAGTTTATCCAAGATAACCCAACATCCGAATTTGATAAGTTCGGATGGCTGAGCGAGTCACGTGAGACCTGGTTAGGGATTAACTTCGATGATGTCACTAAACTTATTCGACCAAATGGTTCGAATGATGGGAACCCAGCCCGGGTACGAATTTCAGTTTAATCAATTAACTGAGAATTAAGATAACCTTGGTTAACCTATGACAGGAATAAAGTTGCTATCAAACTGGAAGTTGGATAAACTGAAATCCTGAACCAAGGCTAGCTTAACCTAGTTAATTCTAACTTGTCATCAAACCGTCCCCATGGATCCCTATTTAATCCATTGATCAGCAGTGGCATTAAACAACATTAAAACCATTGAATGAGGAGTCATAGCACTCCTTCCATTGGCATTGATCTGACGAAGGCTGCATTGAGGCACAGTTGGGGTATTTGGCGCTAGTAGAAGAATCTCATGTGCTGTATTTAGCAAGGGAATGAAAGAATCCAGTGCATTACGTTAGAAGAACCACCTTTCATGGTTTACTGCCTAGATATCTCATGTATGTGTGACACTTCTGATAGTACCAATGGGAAGAAAATAAGCCGCAACGCATATATGAGGATTTATTGCTTCCTTATAATAAACTATTAAAAAGTTCTTTCATTGTCTTTCTGCAGCATCAGATCGTGAGAAACATTTATATTCGACGTATCTGTGGCAGTAGACAGCAATAATTTGTTATGGAGTTCCTCGATTGTTCCATGACCTCATCTCGTATAATGTCAATTATGATTTTACTGTAATAATTAGATGGCTTCCTTCTCCTATTATTGAGATTTTTCTTCGTCTTATTCTCATTCAGGTGCGAGGATACAACATCATGCTTTCTTACTATTTTTCTCATTTTGGTTTCTCAGAATTTTGTATTTGGCTTGTTAGTTATGCTCACTAAAAGCTCTGTTTATTCTTTCAGCAAAGATACCGTTTCCACTGACTCAAAGGTTCAGATCGATGTTGCAGAATGGGATTGATCTGAGCACTGTTGATGTCAGTTATGTCAGTAGCCGTTCATGGTACTTGTTCATCCTCTGAAACTCAAAATAGGCATCTTTATTAGAACCTAGCTTCACATAGGAAGAGCACACAGTTCAAAGTGTATAGATAGCTCTGATGGCGTTTTGATTTTATTTTATTTTTTCTGGCAGGTATTTCCTGAACCTGTTTGGTTTGAGAGGCTTATTTAGCCTAATTCTGGGAGAGGAAAATGGTCAGTGCTAGTTCTACGAGAAAACTCTTTTTCTGATTTATTCTTTCGTCACACAGTCAATATTTATTGCGTTAATAACCTAAAAGAGAGATGAGAAGGAAAACAGAGGAAAGGTTCACAGAAGATCAAACCATTCACCAGGCCATGGATGAGAACAGCCCAAACCTCAAAAGTATATAAGATTTTACAGTGATAATACCTCATGGAGTCTCAATAACCATAATTAGCAGCGCTTCATTGTTTTGTAATGTTCATAGATATTTTTGGCTATTGAAACTTGGTTGGTGTGGTGTGGTGTGGTGTTCCAGCAACAGACGACGCACAGCGCATGATGCAGATGAGTGGATTCGGATTTGATCCTGCCAAGGTATGATCCATTTAACAGCAAGGTTTGCTCATTCATCTGCCGCATGAGTGAAAGGTGCCCCCGCTTTCCACTTTTTTTTTTTTTTTTTTCTCACAATCAGATCCTGCACATGTTCAGCAATTCACGTTAAAGCCTCAGATAACCATACTTTTCAAGGCCTAATGCTTATTATTATCATCCATGAAGATGATTTCATAGCTCAATGCACATGTTTCATAGCAATTCAGTTAAGAGGCGGGGTGGATCATTGCTCACCATGATCTACAGTAGCTCTGCCAAACCCCAGGCTTTGGGACTTCATTGAATTTTTAACGACCATATTTGGAAATTAACTCTCCCAAGGGCGGAAGATTCATGGGTTTATTTCCTAGTTTTTACCCTCTTTAGGGTTCAAGACAAGGTGGCGACTTTCTTCTTTTTCTTTTTTTTTTCTTTTTTTTTTTTCCCCGTCTCAGTGGTTCATAAGAAAGTGGCAGGTTTTCGATGTCTTGATCGAAGTTTTCTTCTTCCCCTCTGGGCCAGAACCTGAGCGCGGAGAAGGACAGCATCGACATCCTGCAGCACGATTGGGCCCTCCCCAAGTTCGAGAAGCGCGCCGAAGCAGTCCTAAGGAGGATCGTCAGCTAGATTTCCTCTTCCAACCTTCACGGAAGATCTTCTCCCGGATTTTCTCTGTAACATCTTCCAGATTTAATTATGCGAAGAACCCTATATGACTTACAACACAGAACAGCGCAGAGATACAGAGAGAGAGAGAGAGAGAGAGAGAGGAGCATCACATCCACAGAAGGAACTATCCGAAGTAGCAGACGTACAGTAAAGAGTAGTAGAGAGAAAGAGGAGGGGGGAGGAGGGCAAGGAGCTGTCTGAAGAAGTATCATAGCCACAGATTTAGTAGATCTGCTCATATAAGACTGGCTGACAGTAAAGAACAGTAGTGAGAGAGAGAGAGAGGGGAAGGGGGGAGGGGAGGGAGAAGAGGGTCGATGTCCATAATTCACAGGGGTTGCAAAGAGGTGGGGGAGGAGGCGAGAGTCAGAGGGGCCCTCCAAAGATGGGCCTCATGTAGGTGTCGTCAAAGCGCCGCCAGTAGGCGTGGATGGTGTGCGCCGGCCTTTCCAGCAGCAGCGAGAAACTGCCCTTCGCTTGGAGGATACCCCCGGCGGCGCCTTCCACGGCCAGTAGAGAGAGGGCGGCGTCACCGTCTTCCTCTTCGTTGGGGGACCCCGAGCGTGAGCTCCGCCCACTACCCTCCCCGTGGCGCGAGAGGAGGAGAAGACCCACGAGCGGCTTCGTCAGCAACCCGAACACCTGGAAGTTTAATCGGAGATTGGCCCGGCAGAGTTCAAAAAAGATTCTTCTTTTGGTAAATTAGCAGAAAAGGAAGATCTTGTGTATAACACTGCAATGGAAATTTGCGTAGAATAATTTAACAAAAAAAGGATCATCATCCGGGTCCTCCACACGATCTTCAAACAGAAAACTCATGAATTTTTTAACATGATTTGACTCAAAAAAAAAAAAATCACCATCTGGGCCCTCCAACCCACATCTTTAATTGATAAAATTATGGTTCTTAAAATATAATTTAACCAAAAAAATCACCATCTGGGTCCTCCAACCCACATCTTTATTTAGTAAAATTATGGTTCTTAAAATACAATTTAACCAAAAAAACACCATCTGGGTCCAACCCACATCTTTAATTAGTAAAATAATGGTTCTTAAAATATAATTTAACCAAAAAAAATCGCCTTCTGGGTCCTCCCCCCACCCCATTTTTGCGATGTTTCAGGGCATTTTAACGAAGAGTTGCAGGATTCCATGGAGCAATCTGCCCTCTCGAAAATGGGCCAAGAAATACATCAATCAGCAGTGGGCGATCAGCTATGGAGTCCGAGTGCTCACCAGAGTGCTGAAGAGGACGACTACGAGTGTGCTGGTGATCATCGTCGCATGAACTGGATTCCAAGTGACGCCGGAATCCGTGAACTGCATTGTTATTATGTAAAGAAAGATACGAAGATCTAATCGACGAGTTCGCCGATAAAAATCAAATCATGAATTCACTTCACTGTTCACCTGATTGAAGGCCAGAGCGATTGAAACGGCCCCCCTCATGAGGCCAGCCCACCAGATTATCACCTGTCCAGAAGAAGCAACCAAACACGAGGAGAGCAGTCAGTCAACCGAGGAAGAACAGATTATTGCCCCCCTAGAAATTGACCAAATTCGTGAGAGAGAGGATGGAACCTGGTGTCTGAATGTGATGGCAGACCTCTCATATGTAGAACTCAGGTAATTGGATAGAGCTGAGAGGGGAAATACGAAGGCAGCACGCCCCAGCAATACTAGAGAGAGAATGACACCATAGATGCCAAGCAATGTCCTGCACCTGCAGGAGGAAAATCTCTCATACGTCCTTAGTTACTAACTACTATGTTATTGTAAAGGATTTTACCATGTTGGTGATACTTTATGATTTCTCTAGGACATAAATATTCATATATATATATATATGAGAGAGATACTGCTTTCCGAGTTGCCAGCCATATTCCGTTTATATATGGCATGAACAGGTTCCATGTTCAGAAAATATACTTCACATTCTACTTTGGGCCCATATATTATGCGACGGAAATAGTCCAGTAATCATCTTATCAGAGTTACATTCTAACCGCGGTATCATCAGAGTTATTCAGTTTCCATGAAATGAAGATCACTTTTCTGAGATGTATAATACAATAATAATAAGAAAATGTATCGATTATATGATCAATAGGTTGGATTTTCTTTTCACTTATGAATAATTGCAAACAGATATATTTGGTACGATATATAATCAAACAAGTATCTCATGCATTATGTTACCTAGTCTCTGACACTTTCCATTTCTCCATGTCGACAGCATCCATTCCCACATATAGAAAGATAAACGTTTCAGCGATGAACGACATTGTTGCAAACACGTGCCTGCAGGAGGGCACAATCGTTTATGAGACAAGCACGAAGGAATTCTCGAAGAAAAGTGTCTCAATAAGCGCATTCGTATATGGGCAGTCCAAGAAAAAAACAAAAAATCAGCATCTTGAAATCTCTCGTACCTTCCCCCGAAAAAACTTCCGACTAATCATACAAACTAAAAGTCATGAATGTGAACAAATGAACCAATTAGCGTCTCATTTTAATGTTCATGATTTCATAGCATTCAGATTATTGAATATTTTCTCAAGGAAAATATGGGTTTGTTAGTTTCTCTGCGACGATTATCAAGCTATGTAAATCACCTGAACTCATGATTCGATTGCAGGCATAACCATGAAAATTTCCAGCAAAGATCGCATGTCATTTATTGCCAATATGAGGGTACATATTCACAATGTATGGATGCCCAAAGCCCAAATGGCAAAATTGTTGCACAGAAAACAAGAGTATCCTTGTTTCAGGCACCTTCAGAGAGATATTCGTCTTTCAGAGATTATCAAACCTCAGAAAAATTGAACCATTCAAGTCATATTGATATTTGAAATTTCTTGTTACCTATAACATTTTTGGCATAGCTGTTAAATAATGTGGCTAAGTCAATATATTTCTGGTTAAAACATCCATGTCCATGGGGAAATATAGCCAGCTTTTGTTAACTTGCCTGGTTGTGGTTCTCGAGCTCTCAGTGACGTTATGCCATGCATAATGAGACATTACAATTCCACAAAAAAACACTGTGAGGATGCTGCTCAGCCTGAAAAGCTGCACAGATGGAATGTTATATGTTTATGTGATCGTAAATGTTCTCGAAAGAAAAATATCGCATCAATAAAGTCAACTATAAATCAAAACTAATTTGACCTAAGAGACAATGGGGACCCCTTGGGTCCGAAAAAATTGTCTATGCTGAAAATTTTCTTCTGACACCTCAGACACGGGGAAGGTGAGGCATAAGCTTCTCTCTAAGCATGATTCATGACGTGAGAAATTAATTAATTAATTAATACATCCTGTTTTCTTGACAGTATTAGAAGTAAACATAGCTCCCTCAAAAAAAAATTGACTTTTCTCATATCAGTTAATACGTAAAGTCCTTGTTAATTATGGCAAGATAAATGCCTCAATTAAGTAAATATTCTCATAACCATGAACCCATGAGTAATTTCTAGAAGGCATGAATGCACGGTTGGATGGTTGTTCCAGACCTCGGCCAGCATGTAGGACAAGTAAGCCATTAAAGCCATCAAAGCAATCTCACGATCCGTTGAATGCCTGCAGCATCTATTGTTTCAGCAGCAGGACTAGGCATTTAATTAAAAATAAAATAAAATACAGGTTTAGTACAACTCACCGTCCAAAATACAAAGCTTTGATCACATACGCAGTCAAGAGACCTGACTAACATTTGAAAATGGAAAATGAGACAAAAGCTGAATTCATGTTCATTATATAAATTCATATCACATGATAACGAGGGTAAATTGAAAATTTCTATCTGCTGACTATAAGTGGCATGAGTAAACAGAAAATAGGTGAATCATGCCACCAAACGCCAACATATTTCAAATGATGACGGAAGAAATCGCAAACATTTCAGAAGGAGGCAGTCTCACGAATGACGGCGTGGACATGCTTTAGTGATAAGTGGAGAACCAAATTATTGAGGGCCGTATGAGCCCTTTAATGGCGAAACATGATAAAGGAAAACAGTTTAGCACATCACGTAGTTATATTCCAGTAACAGAGGAACTTAATATGAATAATATGAGGTAGAGAATCAAGTGCCTTCCGCGAAGTATAATATGTAAGTCGGAGAAGTTACTACTCACACAAACCCCGAGGATGGTGCTTGTCGAAAATAAGAAGAGAAAATCTCCGAATATGTGAAGCACAATTCTCCATCCCTGAATACTTGAAACATCAAGCTTTTTTATTGTGTTGAATAAAACAACCGAAGTGGCATCATTTACTACTCCCTCTCCGAAAACCAAGCTGTATAGAAGAGGAGTCTCATCTTGGTGCAGAACCTGCATTTATATTTAAAAAAATAAATTGCTGAAAAATAATGACAGTGGAGTGTGCCCCCAATCCCAAAGCAGAAGGCAACAAATATGTTTCAGATTGACCTGCAGTGTGCAAACCGTATCAGTTGATGAAAATATAGCCCCCAGAGCTGGAAAAAAATAATGATGGAATATCACTCTACCATGCAATGGTGTCGATAATTTTTTTTTGGAGACTATGATCCGCTAAAGTAAAGAGAAAGGAAGATTCGCACCCAGATAGTCCTGTTTTTCTAGCCCATCGAATCCAATCTTTGGAAAGAGCCACCAGCTGCCTGAATCGAGAAACCCAGATAAGAAAGAATAAAATAATTGCGCAAGTGAAATTTTAAATACATGCCAAGAATGTATACGAATTTTGGTCATTATTTGGCAGATTCTACATATAAGAAGCAATAGAATTTACCAAAAAGGACAAGAAGATGCTTAGTTAGAATGCCTGATGAAAAATAGTATCACGCTTAAATTTTGGGTCTAAGCCACAAGTTGATACATGTTACGCCTGGAAGATCAAACTTCATGAATTTCTGGGATCTTTTGTTATGAATCGAAGGCGATGTTCTGGGAGTTCACAGGATCGTGGTCAATCTAAAACTTGCTATTAGCAACCTGAGTCCTGGGAAAAATTGGATCTTGCTACATTAGCCTGATCTAAAAATTGGATCTAAAAATTTTATATAAATATACATATATATATATATATATATATTACAAAGATGCTAATTAACCTGGCTACTGTTTCTGGATTCATTGAAATGTGACTTTCAAAAATATGTCATTGCCACGGTAAAATTTCTCCAGAATAAGCTTATATGTATATTCCACATGTTACAAATACGTCATGCTCAGAATAATTTAGGAACTGGAAAATGATTTTCCCTGAAATAAGAGAGAAAAGGAGAGTCACAGCAATTAAATTCACATGACAACCTAAATAATATTGATAAACCTACTTATTTTAAGAAATAATTATCTATATGATAAATTTTAATTAATGAACATATATATCTTGACATACATATGACTTTAAAACTGTCAATACAAAACTCTATTTCAGAGAAGATGAAATGTCATTAAGTTCACACAATAATGGAGACCATTTCAAGAGGAAAATCAGATACAAGTCTCTAGCGGGCAATAAAGAAATCGTATTACCCGCAGATATGATGGCTGATGAAATGAAAACACCAAATACGCCAAAGAGCATAATAGTCAAAAAGTTTTGAAAAAACCGTTTCTTCTTAACCTGAAACCTGAAATTAACTATGATATAAGTACTTAATAATGTGCAACTGAATGGGAAAATAATCTGCAGTTGGATGCACTTACCCAGCATTGAATATTATTGGTGGCAAAAGATATATGAAAAATAATTCTTCGTCGAATCTTAGAATGTGAGAATTCTCTCCTTTGCTCAGAAATAAGATTATCGTTCCAATTATGCATCCCTATATCAAATAAAATGGATCCCTTAGCCCATTGTACTCATTCCAGCCCACAAAGAGTGGTCTTTCCTTCTCTCTGACAGTCTACTAGCCGAAAGAAAAATCAAATATCACATGAGACTTTGTTTCTGGTACACATGCACCATGCATTATCTTTCGCCTCGATAGGAATACTCAACTAAAGATAAAACAGAGAGAATCAGTAGCTTTCGGAAGAATCGAGTGATAATGATCAAAGTTTCTTTCACTACCAAGATCACTTGACTGAAATAGATTTCTGTTTTCCACTTGTAACGGGCATAATTTCTGAAAAGATATTTTTCGATGATAATTTACAGATTAATAAGTTGATCGGGCATCCATTATCATTAAGAAAAATCGGTAAGACAAAATATTCTGAAGAACGGACGTCTCTAAATTATCTGCTCAGAAAAGAATCATAAAAGTCGAAAAGGATCGGTCGCTGCCTTTTATGTGTCTGTATCCAACATATTCAGATTGTAACTGGACGTCTCCGTAGCTTCGAGGCAGTGTTAGAGAGAGCTTTTACCCTCAGAATAACAAAATCGCGACGAACCACTTCTTTCTCCCCTGTCACTCGCTAAAATTCGGTGAACGCAGACTACGGACGAACCTAGATGTAAAGAATCTTGAAGTGAAAAGCTTCCACCCTCCCATCTCCCGCAACTTACGATGACCATGGCGGTGATGGACTGATCGAGCCATCGGTTCTCTTCGAGCAGGTGCCCGGTTACGATGCAGATGCAAAGAACAGCCACGAATATGCATATCGAGACCACCAGCGAGCGGTCGGTTTCGTTGGAGAAGATATCACCGCGGGAGGCTGCTGCCGCTGCAGCGTAGCGGGAGGCCAACAAGAGAGCACCCATTGGGACCGCACGAGGCAATGCCTCAAAGGGAATCCTGAAGGAAGAAGACAAAATCCTGCAAGCGCCCGCTTCTGCAGGTTGGAGAGGCGAGGTAAGGCGAAGAGGTGGAAGGAGATGGACGGAGAAAGTTGGCGGGGAGAGCCAGTAGAGGGAGCTTCCACGTGGCTGGGGGGAGCACCACGTGGCAGCCCGGATTATGAAATGGCTTCTCCTCTGCTTGCCGCGTAGCGCACGTTAATGGGTTCTGGCCGAAACCGACTTTATAAAAATATATTCATCACGTCGATGAATAAAATAATCTACGAAACCATGCAGAAATCTCTGCGGAGTTCTCCGGTCGACGGCCATCTTGAGAAGCTCCCTTCTTCCAGCACCATATGCGCCAGTAGGAAACCCAGCACGTTGGCAACCGCCAGCAACATCTCCTTCGTCTCCGACCGGAACTCCTCCAGAATCCACCGCGCCGCAGCCGTCGCCGTCGAACTGCGCGAAGAGGGACCCGTACAGCTGCCGGAGCTCCTCCGGCGGCGTCTTCACATCGTCGATGCCGCCAAAGTGGGTGTCCATCATCCGCAGGCTCTCGACTTCCCTGGCCATCTCGGCGTAGCTGAGCAGGCCGGCATGGTTTGGCATAGAGCCCGGAGAAGCGGCACTCGACGGAGCCATTGAGGTGAAGTACTTCCGCCCTCATCCTTGATGTGTGACTCTGCTGAGGAAGGGAATAATCCTGTAGAGGATGAGATCACGCAGGCGGTGCATTATCAGTGAGGGAGGCGCTTTTCTCAACTGTTTATCTGTTAGGCACCTAATAAGTCTAGCTTAGTTAGGAGGGGAAACAGGTCTGGTGAGTGACGTGAAAGCTAGCACTTGGATTTATATGTAAATTCTCAGGGATGACCCGAGACAGGAGAAAAGATATTAAGCTACAAAAATTACAGTGGAGGAAGGGGGAGAATAATTCTACTTATTGGGAGAGAGATAGGCCAATCAAAAGTCTATCAAATGTCTTCTCTGTTAATATTTCCACTATGGTCCTAACTAATGTTATTATCTTTCTAATTTATATTTCATTTTTCTCTTGGTGTGCATTTATCTCTCTTATCATCTGGTTTTAGAGCAGTGATCCAAAGGTGCCCAAAACTAATAAGAGAATATTCAAGAACTTAGAGAACGAGATGAAAGTGGTGAAGATGATCAAGTTGTGGAGACTACTTGATATCAAGACAAAGTTACATTCAACACAAGAGATAAAGAAGATTTATAGAAGAGCTGAATCGATCCCAACCTCCAGCTCTCAAGACATTGGAAGAATGTGATGAACAATGTAGACAAAGGGATATTACCACATAAGAAAGGGAATGGAACACAATTTTATGAAAAAAAAAAAAAAAAATTAGAAGAAGAAGCTCAGCTACAGAGAAAAGAGGAGAGATTTGCAATTGAACTTTCAAGAACCAATGATGAAGACTGGGTGGAACTACAACATCGTCTTGGAAGGATATACAATGACAAAAGATGTTATTGTTGAGTAACGAAAATCCAAGTGGTTGGAATTTCCATGTGGAGTTATACTTTACAATAAATAGAATGATGAAGGTAGAGAAGTAGATGGTGAGAGTAGTGAGCTTTGAGAACAAGACATTGGTATTGCTCTAATGGACGTATGTCAAATGCTATAATATTTTGAATTGTCACATATAATTAATTTAATTAAATTTAAATAGCATGAGTAAAGTCATTCATCAAATATCATGAGTGTTAAATAACAATGAGTTATTAGATATCAAATATCATGAGTATGTGGTGAAATTTTAGTGCAACTCATGTCACCATCTATGGAAAGATTACTCTAAGAAATTCTTAGAAAGCAAATTCATCAAGGGGTTGAAGCTATACATCATAGAAAAAGTTAAGATACTAAAAACTGTTGATTTGAATTTTCATTAGGGAGACTGCTTAATTAATTGATCAGAATAATAACATCATCAAAGTCATAAAAATCCAAGCATACCAAAACTATCTAAATTCAATCTCCATAGAAGGTGTAATACCTTCTTATATTGTAGAGGTGCTAAGAACACATACCCAAGTCTGAGCAAGTTCACTAAATTGGACAAATCCGTGGACTTATTATCGAATAAGACTACAAGTTAAGGATCTCAAGTTCTTACTAGTAGAGTAAATCAATCTAATAATGTACACAATGGAGTCAAGAGGTGATTGAACTTAATTGAACTAGAAATCTAAACACTCAAGTAAAATAGTGATGTTTTTCTTGTGATGAAAAGTATAACACAAGACACATCTTTAAAAAGGAGCTGTAAATTCTCCTACCATACGAAGCTGATTGAGAAATATGAATTAACTCATATTAGAAAAAAGCATAAGAATTGACTCAAACTGAAATGTTGAGAATAAATATAAGAATATTAAAAAATATAAAACTTTAGAGAATAGCAAAACCAAGTTAGATAGTAATCTTAAGAAATTGTAGAGACACTCATAACTTCAACTCTAAATTAATCATGCAAGGTGAACACATCTACAAGAGAGTGATCTTAGGGAAGTAAGGACTAACTATGGTAGAAGATTAGTTTACATTTGACGGCACCAATGTGATCTTTAAAATGCAATGATTGAAAACTTTAGAAATAATGAAGGTTAATTGATAACAACTAACAATGAAATTCACTATCAATATAACCTTGAAAATCTTAAGGGGAGATTCAAGTTTATATATGTCATATACTTTCTTGAAAATCTTGGCCCAAGAATTACAACAAGGTCAAAATGTTGATAGTACAATTGTATCATATGAGTAAAGAAGGGGATGTTGCAACAATAAAAAAATCAATGGATCTAGCATGAAGACTTATGAATAAATATTTAAAAGTATTTAATACAACCATAGAATTACCACATATGCAAGATGTAAATCATATCATCTTTTTAAGTTGAGAATGAAACTGATTAATGTTCATCTATATGGTTATCTTTATTTTCAGAAAAATGAAATTGAGAGGTTAGTTTGAGAAATGTGTGTAGCATAGTATTACTCATTAAGAAAAAAGATGAGAGATGGTATTCTGACATTAAATTCAAGACTCTCAATTGAGTCACAATCTCTAAAAAAAGTTTATTCTATTGAGAAATCAACTCCTAAATGAATGAATTTCATAATGTTACTATAGTTTATAAATTATATTTGAAATTAGGTTATAACCAAATATGAACAAAAATTAGAGTCCAAAGATGAGGTTTAGGACACATGTAAAACATTATGAGTTCCTCATGAGGTCATTTGGTCTTATCAACTCTCCCATCACATTTTAGTTACACATGAATCAAGCATTTTGACACTTCTTTAGAAAATTTAATTAATATTTTCAACAAGATCTTGGTGTACAATATGAATGAAAAGACAAGAGTAATATATATATAAAGTCTTAATAATATTGATTGAGCACAAGTAATATAACAATGAAATGATTTATATGGTCAAAAAAATAAAGTATTCAAGCCATTAAGTGTGAAAGCAAATAGAGGCAATACAAAGGTTGTTAAATTGGTCAACACTCTCTAACCTATAGGAATGTTAAGAGAATTTTAAGTTGATATAAGTGTTAAAGAAATTTTTTTATAAGATATGAAGTTATCTCATGGTCATTAATGTAATAATTAAAGGACTCCTAGTGCAATGACAAGATTCAAATGACATTTTGAGAACTCAAGAATATCATGATCACAATATCACCCTTGCTTTTATCAAATTTTTCATAGCCATTTGAGATGAAGGTGAACACGTTGGGACACAAGTTTAAAGTATGCTCATATATTACTATACATCTATCGAATATATGTGTAGTATTATCTACATAGAACTTGTTGAAAATAGTGTACATGAAAGAATTAATAGAAATTATGTTGGCAACTGAAAAATAAAGTTATTATTTATTATGATAATATAGTTTGAAACTTTTATTAGAGTAACAACAAGTCAAACTAGAGTACCAGAAATGAGCAATAGAAAATAGAAAAAGAATTAGTCATCATCAAATGCTAACTATTCAAAATAGTTCAGAAAAGATGTAGGTCCTTCAAAATTAGCACTCATAAGTAAGGGCGGAACAAAGGTTTATGGATAAGCTTACTCTTTATAAAGGATGTACAATTTTACTAAGGATGACTAGTACTCTCACAAAGTTCAACATTATTTCAATAATTTTGAAGGAATATCACGATATTGTAGTGGATGTCATTCGAAATTTATGAGTTACAACACCTCACTCAAGATTTCTATTAGGTGTGAATGAAGAAACTCATCAAGAAGTATGTCTAGGAATGCGTGATATACAAACAGAACAAATTGAAGTTCTAATGCTAGTAGGGTTCTTCCAACCTTTATTGATTCATACTTGAATTTAAGAAGATATCACTATTGATTTCATCAGATGTCTACCTATATTAAATAAATTTAACTTGATATTGATGACTATACATAAGTTGAGCAAATGTCTACATTTTTACTGCTCACACATCAATTAACATCTATGGAACTAGTTGATGCATTTGTTTATAAAGTTTTTTGGTTAGAGATTCCAAAATACATCATGATTGACTTAGATAAAATAATTTGAAGATATTTTTAATAAGAACTTTTCAAACTACAGTGAATGAACCTTAAGCACAGCACTATGTATGATCCACAAACAAGGCAGACCAAGATAATAAATTGACATTTAGAAACTTACCTATGTTATTTATCCTCTGACAAATTGTAAAAATAAATAATTGACTTTCATGGGCAAAAGATTGTTACAACTTTACATTATATACTTCAGCTAACACAACTTACCTATGTTATAAGATGGTTTATAGTCACAATCCTCTATTTTTCTTTGCTTCGAACCAAAGTAGCCTTAGTAGAGTGATACCTACATAAATGAGATGAAATTGTAAAAAACTTAAGACGACAATTGGCTTGAATTATAATAAAAGATGAAGGTATAAGTAGACATAAAAGTAGGAGATCTGATTTATTTAAAGTTGAGGCCTCAGAAAATGCAGACAATTTAGCCCCTACCCCATCATCTAAAGGATCAGACAACTTGCATACATACTAGAACTTAACATAACTGCAGAAATTCATCTAGTATTTGACGTTTTACAATTGAGGAAAATATTGAGACCCACTAACAAAGCCCAAACGCTTACATCAATGCTTGACACTGAATTAAACAAGATTGTCAAGTTTCATACAGTGCCAAGTATATAGCCCTCTAACAAAGGATCAGAAGCAATGATTTTAATGAGACGATTTACTAACCTCCAAGTCACTTAGGGGCAAGATGTATCTCAAAGAGGGCAGTGATGTCAGGCACTAATAAATCTAACCTATTTTAGAAGAGGAAAGAGGCGAAGTGAGTCATGTGACAGCTAGGGTTTCTGTCATTAAATAAATTCTCATTGATGATCTGAGACGTGATATGGGTATTAGGGTGTAGGAAAGACCAGAGAAGATGGGGATGAAGCATTTAGCTTTGTGGAAGAGAGATATCCCTCTCGAAACTATATCAATCGTCGTTTATTTTCTCTGTTCTAAGGTTTTCACTATTGCCCAAATTAATTTTATTATCTTTTTACTTCAGTTGTTTTTCTAATTAAACTCCATTCTGGCATCTTCCGCTAGTTTTTATGGGTCACACTTGTCACACTTGTTGTAGATCCCATTCCTAGCAGTAAATTAAGAACAATGCTGGAACATGCCAGTTGCACCTCGGGAACCCACAGTAGAAGACAGCAAGCAGACATTCTAATGCAGAAAGGTTCTCGCAGGTTCTGGACGGGCTGAACTTATTGATGTAGAAGAGAGAGAGAGAGAGAGCTTGAATTGATTTGACGGTGGACGGTTGACGGGCACCAAATTCGATCAGTCAACGTCACATTCGCGTGCCCATCAAGACGACTGAGCAGCGCCAGCGGTTTTCTGAGTGAGAACTACCGACGATCTTCTTGTGGCTTTGCAGCGAACCTACGCGGGACGATAGCGACGGGAGATGGACGTATCCAACGGCCTGCATCACTGGGCAAACGCGGCCGCCGACATCGCTGAATTCATTCTGCTCCAACCCCGTTGGCCGGCGGGCTTTGGATTCGCGCCAGTGAGTCGGATTCCCGCGTGCTGCTGCTGCATTCATGGTTCCTCATTTATGGAGAGTAAAGAAAAGTCAACACCAACGCTGGAGTGTAGATAAATCGTTCAAATCCTGCCGTGATGAGGTGTAACAACGTCTCCACCAAGTACGGGATTAATCGTTTCAAATTATTTTATAGCAACTTAGTTCTATATCATGGAATTAACCGCGATTCATCTCACCAGGTTCAAAGATTTGATGCCAAATTTCCTTCTCGATTCTTCACGAATCTTCCCACGATTAAACAGGAGCATTTGAGAATATATTTTAGAGGAATCAATCGGGAAAGAGTTCATTTTTTTAAATGATGATAATTCAACAAGAACCACTAAGAAACGACGAATCTCAAACGGTGGCGGAATTTTTTTTCGCAGCCGCACAGGCAACGGACGAGGGAGAAAACGCCATCGTTGCCGGAGCCTCTGGAGAGAGGCAATCAACAAGACTCGATCTTGGCGGACTCCCTGTCCACGGCCGTCTTGAGGAGGCTCCCTTCTTCTAGCACCATCTGCACCGGCAGGAAACCCAGTCCGTTGGCCACTGCAAGCAACATCTCCTTCGTCTCCGACCGGAACTCCTCCAAATCCACCGTGCCGTTGCCGTCGCGGTCGAACTGAGCGAAGAGGGACCCATACAGCTGCCTGAGCTCCTCCGGCGCCGGCGTCACCTCGTCGACGCCGCCGAAGTGGGTGCCCATGACCCGGAGGCTCTCGATCTCCCCAGCCATCTCATCGTAGCTGAGCAGCCCGTCGCTGTCGGTGTCGAGGGCGGCGAAGCGCCCGTCGACGGAGCCGTTGAAGGAGCTCTCGTCCTCCACGAAGTTGCGGACGGTGGCGCCGTCGAGCACTTCCACGCTCATCTTCACTCCTCGGTTAGCAGAGAAATCCCGGGCTTCTGGGGCGGGAATCAACAAGCAGGACTTTGAATGTTGGGTTGTAAGCTTGTGGCGACTGGTCGGTCTCTTGGGTAGAAGAGCTGCCTCCCCCGGTCGTATATATAGACAACGATGGTCGAAGCGCGGGGGTGGAGGGGGAGCGGCGACCAAGGTGGCGCCTTTCTCCCGAGGCATCCACTGGGCAAGTGGAGCCGCCATTAAAAGGCGGCGGGGCGTGGAATGGGGGCTCCTCTGCCAGGTTCAGCCAACGGCGGGGGGTCCGGACACCAAGTCGCCCTCTTCCTTCCCAGTGCCGAGGATATTCTGGAAGACTCGCGTCCACATAAAGCAAACTCGGATGCCCATCACATCTACCCGTCATAGCACACTGTGCCATCCGTCGTCTGCCAACTAACTCAAAACCATTTCCCTTGTCGGCCAGCCCATAGCGCCTGCCGGAACACGCCCTGCCAGAAATCCAACCGTCGTTGTCGGCGCCACGGTTTGACAGTCTACAAGAACCAGGGAGGTTGACCGGAGAGTCGTCAGAAACTCTCCAAGGAGACGGCGACGGCGGTAAACATCCCTCTTGGACGGAATCTCTGCTTTCCGCCCACCTGACGATCCTCCGCATCCCACTCTGCACTTAACACGGAACTCCGACGAGCCTGGCTAGGCAACCGCCAACACCAAGCTGACCAAGAAACCGGCGAGTCGGCCCTCCAAAAACCTTTCCCCGAAATTGTTCTGCCAGAACTTTGGTTTTCAAATGTATACTTATGAAATAATAACACCATACAGTGAAGATTCACCGCGTATATTTATTAAACTGCATGATCTTTTTCATTCATTTTGAAAATGTGATTATCATGGTACATTCACTGTAAATCGAAACTAAGCTCGTCCACATCACTGGTTGCGCTGATCTTTCCGACTGGACAGGAGCAGCAAGAAGCCGTTGTCCTTCGAGTGCCGCCGGCGATAATAATTACGAGGATGCGATCTTGGCGGACTCCCTGTCGACGGCCATCTTGAGGAGGCTCCCCTCCTCCAGCACCATCTGCACCGGCACGGAACCCAGCCCGTTGGCCACGGCCAGCAACATCTCCTTTGTCTCCGACCGGAACTCCTCCAGATCCACCGTGCCGTCGCCGTCGTGGTCGAACTGCGCGAAGAGGGACCCGTACAGTCGCCGGAGCTCCTCCGGGGCCGGCGTCACCTCGTCGACACCGTCCCCGAAGTGGGCCCGGAGGTTCTCGAGCTCCCGGGCCATCTCGTCGTAGCTGAGCAGGCCGTCGCTGTCGGTGTCGAGGGAGGCGAAGTAGCCCTCGACGGAGCCGTTGAAGGAGCTCTCGTCCTCCACGAAGTCGCGGATGGTGGCGCCGTCGAGCAGTTCCACGCTCATCTTCACTCCACAGTCTTCTCGACTAACCCAGAACCAAAAGAAACTCAAGTAAGAGGGAGAAAGTAGGAACTGGTGTTTCTTGGTGTCTCGAAGAAGAGCTCCCATTCCACCTTAATTTATACACACACTGTGAAAGCAGCAGGAATCCGATTCTGGACGGATCCCACTGATCGATGCCAAGTTCTGGCTTCCCTCCATTAATTTGTCAGAACTGTAGGCGTGTAGAAATCCTGGCATGCCCTCATGCACGAGGAGTCATCGGCCATTATTTCCTCCGATACGCGTCAAACCTACGCGCAATGCTAGTTCCTTATTCCTTGAAGAACACAGTGATCTATGATCAATGTAGGTACAGCCCATCAAAGTATGAATAAATAAGTTAGATTTTTTTCAGCACGTCTTTCCCTCCGAAGATTAAGATGCACGTTCTGTTTAGAAGATGAAAAGTGAAAGAATTAAATACGAAATTGAATACTATCGATTAAATACAAAGTAAATTAAATTTAGTTAAACTTTAGAGCGAAAATTTGAGAATATGCTTGGCTCAGCTCGGGGGCCCATCAAATGTCTTTGTGCAGTTGGAAGTTGCGTTATTGAATGAGGGACCACCAAAATTACCAACTTTACCAGCCGATTTTTCAGAATTCAAGCAATAAATTTGGGGTATTTATTAATATTTATGGGATCAATATTATCGAATCCATGATCTCGTGAGAATTTTCACAGATGGTTTGAGAAAAAATTTACGCCGGGTTTCATCCGTTTTGGCGATTCATCAGAAGGGTTTAAGAACATTAAACGGTGCAATATTAGTGGTGCAAGTATAGAAACTAATCATTGTATTATTCGACAAAACGATAGCCGTCAGGAAGAAAAATATTCGAAGGCTCGAACTACCACAAGGAGTATATATATTTTTTTAACTGGGTTGACAAGATTACTAGGTTTAATATATCAATAATGAATTAATTTCGAATTTCATTCATCATAAACCTTTCTCACATTTGAGTACCACATTACAGCACCAAATCACCTATAGCCGGTATGTTGAGGCCTCCAGAGAAGAACCATTAACAAAACGCGATCTTGGCGGACTCCCTGTCCACGGCCGTCTTGAGGAGGCTCCCCTCCTCCAGCACCATCTGCACCGGCAGGAAACCCAGTCCGTTGGCCACCGCCAGCAACATCTCCTTCGTCTCCGACCGGAACTCCTCCAGATCCACCTCGCCGTTGCCGTCGCGGTCGAACTGCGCGAAGAGGGACCCGTGCAGCCGCCGGAGCTCCTCCGGCAGCGTCTTCAGCTCGTCGACGCCGAAATGGGTGTCTACAAGACGGAGGCTCTCGAGCTCCCGAGCCATCTCGGCGTAGCTGAGCAGGCCGTCGTTGTTAGCGTCGAGGGCCGCGAAGCGGCCCTCAACGGTGTCATTGAAGGAGCTCTCGTCCTCCACGAAGTCGCGGATGGTGGCGCCGTCGAGCACTTCCACGCTCATCTTCACTTCCCTCGTCGCGTAAAATCACCAGAACGACCCCCAATGACCTTCTTGAATTTTCCTCGGCAATCACAGTCGTAGTATTCTCTGTCTACATGACCATCCGGCTCTCTATATATATAGGGAACGAGAGAGAGAGAGAGAGAGAGAGAGAGAGAGGGGGGGGGGGAGCAGGAGGGGTTGAAATTGCGGGGTTACCGGGTTCCTCCTCAGTGTCGTTTACGGTGGGCGTGAGACGCCGAATTCGCCTGTTCCCATGGGAACCCGCATCCGGTCCCCAGAAGGTTCTGCCTTCCGCCCCAGCATAGCCTACGACCACCACGCGTAGCCTCTTACAATCCCCCTAACCTGATTCGACCAGTAATTAGATAAGAATAAGTCTAGTCAACGCGGGCAATAAGTGATTCACGTTGACTTTCCCACCGAATAATCAGTGTCAATATCAAGCTGTTCTAAGGCCTTCCAGTGGGTTCGAGAGAACCGCAGCGGGGATGAAGAACACCGCCGTCTCCGGCTTCTGGTTCAGAAAGGCTAGCGCTTGGCGGCCTACTTGCTCCAATTCTCGCTCTCCACCGCCAAGCCTCGACACCCGTCGTCTATATATACAGCCGGGGGAAACGCCCTCCGCCGTAAGGAAGAGAACCAGAGGCCCATTAGTTGCTACTACTCTCGCTACTCTCAACTCTCAACCCAAGAACCTGCCTGTAGATTCCCAGACCAAGAAGCCTGCGAGTTCTCTGTTAATCGAGGAGCGAAGATGAGCGTGGAAGTGCTCGACGGCGCCACCATCCGCGACTTCGTGGAGGACGAGAGTTCCTTCAATGACAGCGTTGAGGGCCGCTTCGCCGCCCTCGACGCCAACAACGACGGCCTGCTCAGCTACTCCGAGATGGCTCGGGAGATCGAGAGCATCCGGCTCGTGGACACCCACTTCGGCGTCGACGAGGTGACGACACCGCCGGAGGAGCTCCGGCAGCTGCACGGATCCCTCTTCGCTCAGTTCGACCGCGACGGCAACGGCGCGGTGGATCTGGAGGAGTTCCGTTCGGAAACCAAGGAGATGTTGCTGGCGGTGGCCAACGGGCTGGGTTTCCTGCCGGTGCAGATGGTGCTGGAGGAAGGCAGCCTCCTCAAGACGGCCGTCGACAGGGAGTCCTCCAAGATCGCATCCCCGTGATCGGATCTCGCCGGCGGGACTCCAAGAACATCAGGATCTGATTCCTTTCGTAGTTGAGCTTCAATCGCTTCTGTTCCCTCTGTGATCTGGACGGTCAGTCCGAAGACCAGTGCACTACGAAGTGCGATCTTGTTATCTGAATTTGAGATTATAGAATGTGTGATTTTGCGGCGTTATTCAAAAGAATGTATTGACTAAATAACCACGATTACGAATTAAATCATTGTGGTCAAATTTATATCGAATATTTACTGAAACAGTATTAAAAATATATATTAAAAAATATAATATGGAATAAATACTACTTGGTGATTTTTATATTGTTTAGTCAAGTGGGTATATTCCATTTTATGCACACCATGGATTTATATCTCGTAATGATTTAGGTTAAGATCATACCCGCGAGAGCGTGTTGATTCACTGCATTTTATTACCAAAAATTAAATCAAGCTACTAAATTGTCATGGTTTTTGTAATATTCATAAACAAAAAACAATGGTACATTTATTTTTTTTACTATGGATATAATTTTTTTAAACAGAAATGAGTCATTAAAAATTTTACCATGATTATTTCGACGTAGACAAAAGCAGAAGAAAATCAACGCTGAAGTTTGGTGAGAGTAAAAATCAACGGCACATATTTGTTGATGCTTTTTTTCAAAGAGGTACGATTTTATGATATAGTCCACGATAGGAGGAAGGCAAACCCATGGATCTGGTAGCAATGGTTGGACCGTCAAAAACGCGTTGACAATCGTCAACCTTGTTGAACGCGTAGTGACAGTCAGATGTTGCGAGAGATCTGCATGATCAAACCGAAGAGTTTGGTCAAAACCCGTGAGACCCAGGTGGTTGACGGTTCTATACCTGGCTTCCTTGGTGAATGCTAGACCCGTAGATTGCGGCACCGACCTCAGGAGGAGGCATAGACAGCCGCAAAAGATTAGGCTTTTAGCTGGTTGGACCGAAGACGGACGATTCTGTGTGCTACGGAGGATGCGGATTCTTCCGGAATATCCTCGGCAGAGTGACGAGTCCGCGGCGAACGCGCCACCGCTGACCCACCCTCGAAGGAGGATCCCCTTTTCCACCGCCTCCCCGCCGTTTAACGCCGGCGGTCGGCGCCCACGGGAGGCCTTGACAGAAAGACTGGAGCTTGGCCGTGGGTTCGGTCAGTCCCCTCCGCCCCCTCGCTTCTTGGCTCTCTGTGTATATATAAAGCTAGGATGGGCAGTTCTTCCTCCACGCAAGAGACCCAGCACGAGTCGGCACTGGTTCTCAACCCTTAACTCAACGTCCTCCGCCCCGAGAAGCTCGCGATTTGTCTTCTAATCGAGGAGGAGGCAGCGGAGGAGTGAAGATGAGCGTGGAAGTGCTCGACGGCGCCACGATCCGTGACTTCGTGGAGGACGAGAGCTCCTTCAATGGCTCCATTGAGGGCCGCTTCGCCGCCCTCGACGCCAACCACGACGGCCTGCTCAGCTACGCCGAGATGGCTCGGGAGCTCGAGAGCCTCCGCGTTGTAGAGACCCACTTCGGCGTCGACGAGGTGGCGGCGCCATCGGAGGAGCTCCGGCAGCTTTACGGGTCCCTCTTCGCGCAGTTCGACCACGATGGCAACGGCGCGGTGGATCTGGAGGAGTTCCGGTCGGAGACAAGGAAGATGATGCTGGCGGTGGCCAGCGGTCTGGGTTTCCTGCCGGTGCAGATGGTGCTGGAAGAAGGAAGCTTCCTCAAGATGGCCGTCGAAAGGGAGTCCGTCAAGATCGCCGCTTGACACAGATTTTTGGGAGATTTTGTCAGATAATACATCTCAAAGAATCTACAAATTGTAAACTCATAAAGTTCCATACTTGTAATCTTCTCATCGATATTTTTCATTGTTTATTTTTATATTTGAAGATCTCCATCGATTGTCATTGGGTCTAGCGCGTCTGGTCCACGCTCTCATCGTCTCTCGTCGTCTCTCCGACCTACAGCGGACAAAAAGGGCTCCGACAGCATTATCCTCGGCCGTTTGTGCCCTTGTCTGTCCCCTCGGGCCGCTATATCTCGGGGCCCCTCTGAGCTTAGTCTCTTCCTCCCAGTCGGTGCGGCTGGCTCTGGAACTAGGTTCCTCCGTTTCTCTCTCTAGACTTGTACTCAGTTTTCCCCAATATCTTCGTCCGGCACCTGGGCCTTGAGTTTCTTGTCCGTGAAGGGATCATTTCCCTGTGGCTACCCGCTGGTGCGTGTGCTTCAAGCTTTCTCACTCCTCCTCCTGCTCCAGCGAGGCTGGCCCTTTCTTTCATCGTCGTGCTCCACTGAGGGCGGTGGAGTAATTGGGAGAGCATGTCCATGGCCGTGGGAGCTCCGTGTGGTTCCAAGAAAATGGGGCTCGAGGAGGACGGTGGCACTGCGGGAAAGGACGGGGTGAGGGGCGGCGCCGGCGAGGAACCGGCGACGAAGGAGACGGTAGCAGAAAGGTCGGGGGAGGAAGGAGGAGAGGGAGATGGGAAACAGAGCTTAGAGGGGCAAGATGAAGGCGAAGAAGCCGACGATGTAGAGGACGAAGAGAGGCTCGATTTGGGTCCTCGACTCACCCTCAAGCATCAACTGGAGATGGATAAGGTTCCCCCGTCCTCTCCTCTCCCCCACCGTTTTCTTTTCTTTCAGCTTCTTCCCTTTCTACCTGTACCTGTGAGCCTTATTCGCCTCGTGACACTGCAGGAAGATGAGAGTCTCAGGAGGTGGAAGGAGAAACTCCTGGGAAGCTTGGACCTGGCCTCCGTAGGAGGTCTCTCTCTCTCTCTCTCCTCTGGTCCTTGCATCCAGTGGTAATTAATCGTCACTCATCGTGGGGAACTGGGTATTATTGTTCACCTTTTGCAGAGAAGCTGGAGCCGGAAGTGAAGATCCTGAGCCTCTCGATCCTATCCCCGGGGAGGCCTGACATCACCCTCGCCATTCCCTCCGTGCCCAGCTCCAAGAGGTCCTGGTTCACCCTCAAGGAAGGCAGCCATTACCGGCTCAAGTTCTCCTTCTCGGTCTCCCACAACATCGTCTCTGGTCTAAGATACACCAACTCCGTCTGGAAGGCCGGCGTCAAGGGTCACCTCTCTCTCTCTCTCTCTCTCTCTCTCTCTCTCTCTCTCTCTCTCTCTCTCTCTCTCTCTCTCTCTCTCTCTCTCTCGCTCTCTCTCTCTCTCTCTCACTCACTCTCTCTCTCTCTCTGTGTTAAGTTTCTCTTCTTCCTCATCGTCGTCTGAAAACCAGTGGACAGCACGAAGGAGATGCTCGGGACCTTCAGCCCCCGGCAGGAACCCTACGTCTGGGAGTTACCGGAGGAGACGACACCCTCCGGGATCTTCGCAAGGGGCTCCTACTCCGCGAGGTCAAAGGTAACTCACAGATCAGCCGCGTCGTCCTAGTTCCTCTTGTTCATGGATCGTCTCCCGCGGTCAACCCCCGCCTCCCTGTTGGTCACCAGTTCGTTGACGACGACGGGAAGTCTCACCTGGAGATCAGCTACACCTTCGAGATCCGCAAGGAGTGGCCGACGTCGGCGAGCAGCTAGCGGCGAGGCCCACGTGCCGCAGACGACCTCCCCCGGATTCTTGCGGGCGGCTCTTCCTCAAGGTCCGTTTCTTTCAGAGCTCCGCCAGGCGGGGACTCTGCCTGGTTCTTAACTTTCATGGGTTTATTTTCTTAACTTTCATCTTATTTGTACACAGACCATATATTAATATATTCATATCGGATGATCTGATTCCGCTGACCATAGCTAGTTAATATTTATATTTAGTGGGCTTAGTAATAAAGTCAACTCCTAATTGGGGAATAAATATATGAGAAAATAGTATCAGACTAAGCGTGATTAATTAATTAGTTAATACGGGTAAAATTGTCCAGATATGTTTAAGGGCAGCAGATTGCCAATCTGGGAACGTGGTTATAGATCCACCATGTTTCTGGCTCTCCAATTGATGGCGTCGGTCGAGGTGGGGAGGGGGAAGAAAAGGAGGCGCCTTTGCGTGCCCATCACATGCCGCGTCGGCTTTTCAACGAGTGTCTCGCCTCTGCTGATCTAATCGGGGCCTTCCGATCGCCTGCATCATCCAGATTTCGGATCCCAGCGAATGACCATTAATGGCGGAATGGTCAGCCTGTCGTCGAGGTCGAGATCTCTCTCTGCATCTGCCTCCGGGGAGAACTTCTCCGGGAAGAACCCTAACTGGGTTTCTTTTAAAAAGCGCCTGACATCTCGATCAGCGATCTCTCTGATCTCTCTCTCTCTCTCTCTCTCTCTTTCTTCAGAAAGAGGGAACCAGGGCACCCGCCCAGACAGTGCCACCCCGTGACAGGCATTGTCCCACTTTCTAAGAAACCTCCAGGATATATGGGTATGCTCTAGTTTAGAATCATCTACCCGCCGTCTCAACTTCGGAGACTCCGTCCCCGGTCTCCGCCTCCATCACCGATCTCGATCTGCCGCCGCCGCATCGGGTTTTGTAATACCAGCAGCTCTAGATTCTGTACACCGGGTAATGGTTCTTCTTCTCTCTCTCTCTCGCTCGCTCGCTCGCTCTCTCCCTCTCGCTCTGTTCAGTCGGGTTGAGCAATGTGGGTTGTGGGTTCTTCTTCTTGATCTTGAGTATTTCTGGCTGTCATTTCTCTCCATCTCTACTCCACCAGCAGAAAACAATGGCGTCACCCGGCACCGTCCTCATCGCCGTCGGCATGTTTCTTCTCGCTGTGGCCTCCTGCCTCCCTGCGACGACAGCCCAGGAGGCCGCCACACCATCTCCATCCCCATCTCCGGCGCCGGCTCCCTCGCCGGGCTACGTGAACCTCACCCATCTGCTAGCTCTGGCGGGGCCGTTCACCACCTTCCTCCGGTACCTGGAGCAGACCGACGTCATCGACACCTTCCAGAACCAGGCAAACAACACCGAGCAGGGGATCACCATCTTCGTCCCCACCAACGAGGCTTTCTCCTCCCTGAAGCAGCCCTCCCTCTCTAACCTGACCCAGAGCCAGCTCCGGTCCCTCCTCCTCTTCCACGCCCTTCCGCAGTACTACAGCTTGGAGCAGTTCAAGAACCTCAGCCAGGAGGGCCCCACCAGCACCTTCGCCGGCGGGCAGTACACGCTAAACTTCACCTACAGCTCGGGGCTCGTGCGCGTTTTCTCCAGCTGGGCGAACCCTTCGATCAGCAGCAGCATCTTCTCCACGGCGCCGGTGGCGCTGTACCAGGTAAAGAGGGTTCTCCTGCCGGAGGCGATCTTCGGGGCGGCTCCGCCGGCGGCGCCGGCGCCGGCGCCGTCACCGGAATCTGGCAATCCCGCCGATCTGGCTCCCTCTGAGGGGAGTGGGTTGTCGTCTCCGAAGGGTTCCCCTTCCGGTGCAAATTCTTCTCCTCGCCAGAACCACGGCGGCGCCGCCACCCGCCTCGTTCTGGGAGTTGCAGGGGGGCTGATGCTCCTGTGTTGAGGGAATGTGCGGCTTGCTGCTCAGATCGGCCGAGCTTTACTCGCTCCCTATCTCTCTCTGGTTATGTGCATGGCATTTGTCTTCATTGTTTTGCTGAGGGTGGACACTCCTGCGTTCGCCAGCTCAAAAAAGCACCCTTTTTCTGCGAAAAGTGGTCGTCTTCTTTCTCTCTCTCTCTCTAGTTGGTCGAAGGAGTTCGTACTAGTTGGTTTACTTGCGACTTATTGGTGCTCTCTCTCTCTCTCTCTCTCTCTCTCTCGCGCTTCCCTCCCTTTCCGTAAGGTGCAGGAGTTGGTGCCAACCAGGCCGTCTCTTCTTCTCTCTCTTTCTTCGCTGTCCCTCTCCCCCCGTTCGCAGGAAGGTTGGTGCTCTCTCTCTCTCCGTCGTCCCTCCCACCGTCCGCAAGGTACAGTTGGGCTCCTTCCCACTCCCTCTCTCTCTCTCCCGGGGCCAATATAGAAAATACAATGCAAATATAAAATATTAGAAAATGTTAGTTTTGTTAGCGTAATTATTTAATTAACATAATTAGTAATTAGTTTTCTCTTAAGTACGACGTGATATTAGCTAAATGACCGCTAACATATCGTCATAAGAAAAAAATTGAGTAAATAAAAGGCCTAATTTAATACTACGGAGGGGTAATTTTGTATTTTAAAAAAGTAAACGTATTTCTCTAACAAAATATAATTTTATGAGGATATTGTTAACATAAAACTAGCAGCATGGGAGTTAGGCGTTAAGTGAAGAGATGAGGGACTCATTCTTAAATATATAAAATTAAGCGGACCTATATCTAAATAACCTCATAAATTCTAATGTCCTCTGATTCCACCTGAGCCCACTGGTGTGTGCTGATCCACCTGGCCCGAGAGAGCCGCCAGATTACGTTAGTGCCAGCACGGCGCAACAGCTGGACGGCCACGTCGGCCAGAGTTTATGGAACCTCTTAATAATACTTTTAGAAGATAGGGTAAAACGAAACTTGTTGGTTTTCCGTGGGTTGAATTGTAAATTTGACGTACGAGATGGAGGCATCCTGTTTAGGAGAGGAATGTGCCCGCCATGAAAGTGGCCACCCCTTGCCGAGGGACGGCGGTCTCCATCTGATACGGCGACCGGCGGAGCTGGGCTGGCGAGTGATGATGAGCGGCGGCGGGATCGCCGCCCAGATATGAAAGCGACGGCGTTTTTCTGGGCTGGCCGTCCCCCCCGGATCTCGCACTGGTCCGCCGAGAAAGAGCCGCTCTTCTCCCATGGGGGATCCTCCTTCATATAACTCCTCCATCTCTTTCCTGCTTTTTTTAGCTTCTTTGCTTCCCCCGATTCTTCAGGCTTTCGGCGGAGAAAATCCACATCTGACCCGCCACCGCCCTCCTCCTCCATCCCACACGTAACCCGGGGGGAGTAACGGAACAGACGGCGCCAACGGAGGGCAGTTCGAGGAGCGAAGGACTGAGGAAAATAAAGCGGCCCGCGAGAAGGAGATGCCGGAATGAGGAAAAGCTCGCGACTGAATATCGTCTCGGTTTGCGGCTCTCCTTGATTTTTCCCCGCGTGGGTTCCTCTGTGGCGGCCTAACTCGATTTCCCGCGGCGATCGTTGCTCGCTTGATGCTACATTCACAGAAGCGGACCGTCTTTCCTCCTCGTTTTCGTTTTAAACGAGAACATCGACGCCAACGTGGTTCCTGTTCGCGTCATCTCAGATTTCAGCCGATGAGTTCTTCGGATTGCGTGAGATTCTGATCATGGGTTCTCGGCGCTGCATCTGGATTGCGTTCCGAGTTCGTGGTGCTGAATCTGGGATTTCAGTTTGATGCTCCCGTCGTGAGGCGAACCATCGAGGTTTAAGAATAAGCACAATTTCATAGATAGGTGAGCCTTTACAATGTCGGGCTTTGTCGGGGTGGTCGTCTCCGATCCCTGGCTTCAGACCCAATTCACGCAGGTCGAGCTCCGCAGCCTCAAATCTAAAGTGAGCATCCAAAAAGACGATATATCCTACTCGTTTCGGTCTTAATATATTACAGTGCCTTCCTCCCTTAGTCTTCTTAATCTTTTGATCTTGGATGGGATCATCCTGTAGTTCCTCTCCGTGAAGAAAGAATCTGGGCATCTCGCGGTCGGGGAGTTACCTTCTGTCATGGCGAAGATCAAAGCTCTCAATGAGATGCTGACAGAAGACGAGATCTCCACAATGTTAGGAGAATCTCATCCAGACAAAAGCCAAGATGTAGATTTCGAGGCCTTCTTGCGGGTATCTACCGTCCCCGATGAACATTAATTTCGGAGCTTTTTTTGGGAAAAATTGAAGTCTGGCGTCGGTTTGTGAAATTGAATCTCTGAATTTTCAGGCATACTTGAATCTGCAAGCACAGGCCGCAGCCAGATTGGGGGGTGCCAGAAACTCCTCGGCGTTCCTGAAATCTACCACAACTACACTTCTGCACACCATCAGCGAGTCTGAGAAGGCTTCTTATGTGGCACATATCAACAGTTATCTCGGGGAAGACCCATTTCTGAAGAAGTATCTACCAATGGATCCAGCTACAAATGACTTGTTCAACATTACAAAAGATGGCGTCCTCCTGTGGTAACTCTTTCTCTCATCATTGTTCATCTCGATTTCTTGGAATCAGAATAAGAAGATGTTCCCTTCAATCCAACCATACTTAAATAGAACAAGTATGGAGGGGAAAAAAAAAAAGTTCTCTGTGTATTGGAATTTTCCTTCAGTATATCATCTACTCAATTGTTCCTAAGTTTTCAGTGTGAGGTAGCTTGATTACCAGGCCGGCTGCTTTCTTGATGCAGTAAACTGATTAATGTTGCGGTTCCGGGGACAATAGATGAGAGAGCAATTAATACGAAGCGGATATTAAATCCATGGGAGAGAAATGAGAATCACACCCTCTGCCTCAACTCTGCAAAAGCTATTGGTTGCACAGTGGTCAACATTGGAACACAAGATTTGGTTGAAGGGAGGGTAAGATCCTCTGTGGAGCTTTTTCCTCTGCGTCGTTGGTGCTTCTTGTGTTATAATAGTTGATCTTCTAATGTGTTCTTATTCTGTTGCTGCCATTTTTTTTTTCTTTGTTCCATGTTTTAACTTTAGCCAAGGACGTTGTAGTCTGATGTTTGGGTCTCCTGTTGTCATAGAGCTTAATGTGTCCACGTAGGTAAATGCATAAACCTTTTTCTTGAAGGAAAAAAAAATTACTTTTAATGGAACTAACGGCTTTAAAAATACATTCTAGTTAATTTTCTCCGTTTTTGTTAATCTTTATTCCAGTATATGTGGCCAGAAGAGTATTGACTATTCGTTGACCTCCGTTTGCAGCCTCACTTGGTGCTTGGGTTAATATCTCAAATTATTAAGGTGAGTCATGGAATTCCATCTTATTAATTTTTGGGTCCTCTAGGACCAGACCTTAATATATTGATAACGTAGTATGTTTCTCGCTTCTTTTATTGCGCATTCTACATTTTCAAAACCGGCTGATGAATTTCCAGGACTTTGACTTCTTACTGTTGATGCTGCAATCAGATACAATTGTTAGCGGATCTCAACCTAAAGAAGATGCCACAACTGGTCGAATTGGTGGATGATAGCAAGGTCAAAACACTGACTGATTAGAAGGTTTCTGCTTCGATCTTTGGGTTCTGAGGGATTTCCCATATGCTTCCATTTTACACTGTGCAGGATGTGGAGGAGCTCATGAGTTTGGCACCAGAAAGAATGTTACTTAAGTGGATGAATTTCCATCTCAAGAAAGCAGGCTACAAGAAATCTATAAACAACTTTTCCTCTGATGTGAAGGTAATAACTAACAATTGACGACAGCTTTACCCATCAAGATCAAGATAGGCAGAATGCTCTATCCGCATGTCTGTGGCATTCATCTAGAACTCCACGGGTCTTTTGGACTCAAATGTCACTTATCTGGAAGGCCTTTTCGCCAGTTCTTGTAGTTTCTGTATCCGCGCCACAGTGATAACTGTGTTACCTGCATGAGTTAGTCGAATCTGTTGAGTTAGTGATGCTCATATGCTCATCACAGCTGGGATAGAAGAAGGATAGCAGGCTAAACTGTTGTGTTTTTCTAGTATAATGTCTCAACATTGCCGAACAAGAAGATGAAAAAAAGATGTGAAATCTCATGCGTCATGCAACCGCAATACTCAAACGAAACTCAAGTTCCTCGTTATTAATTTTCGTTCAGATTTTCATGATTTTGAATCCTCATCTCTCGTTATTATGGTTGGATGATTTGGTAGCGCCCTGTTCAAAGATGGGGGCGCCCTGTGAAATCTTATTCTTTTCATAAGCAAATTTAGCTATTGCTCCGGTGTACCCCTGTGGTTATTCCATTTCACAAGCATCGAAAATCGGAGGGGATAATCTGGTGAACTTATATTTACATAGAAGAATGATGTTCCTTGCAACTTTCTTTAAATTTTTGCTTAATCTTTGGATTATTTTTCCTGTGTATTACTGTTGTAGTTGACTCCAAAAGGGCTGGTACTTGCAGGATGGAGAGGCTTATGCGTATCTTCTTAATGTTCTCGCTCCTGAGCACTGCAGCCCGGCCACGTTAGAGGCCAAAGATCCCACAGAAAGGGCGAAGCTTGTTCTTGAACATGCAGAGAAGATTGACTGTAAAAGATACCTAACTCCGAAGGACATTAACGAGGGATCCCCAAATCTTAATCTTGCATTCGTTGCGCACATATTCCACCATAGGTAGCTACAGCTTCGTCTTCTACTGTGTTCTATATTTTATTTGAAATTACCGATGTATTAAATTCTCGGCTACACATAGCGTTGGATTATTTACTCTGCAGTCTAATTTCGCTCGAATTGAATGACACCTTGTAAGCCGTGCTTCATGCTGCTGAGAGTGTTCCTTCTTTTTTTTGTTACTCAGCATGCTAAATGTGTTATCGAGAGGTTGATCATATATATTCATCACTTGATATGCAAAGACTATACACAATAAATTTATTGAGATTTCTCTTAACAAGGGATAGTATCTTTATGTGTAAAATAACTTGCTCTGTATGAGTGAAGTCATATAGTGACTGCTGTCCATGGATCCTGGCACAGCCAATGATCAAGATAAAGTCGTGTTAGCCAATTTAGTGCCAAGGAAAATAACTATATATCTAAATTTTCGATCTAATCGATCTACCAGACCACGATTGTGACGAAATTTCTCATAAAAACTGATGTGAAGTTTTTTGAAGTATGGACTGCTGGATGTTTAGGATGGAATCGCATCCCATTAGAGTTTTCCTTCAAATTTTAATGAACCCACCAGAAAAATTTATCGCGACATTTATTCTCTTGTAAAATGGATACTCCCACTTTGGTCCAATGGAATCGATTGTTGATTAATATCAACAAACATCATAGAAGCTTTGTCTCCCTCACCTGAAATTTTCTCATAATCTTCACACGTTAGGGATTTTCCTGAGAAATTTACGTCTGGTTAACTTGGTTTATTGGTTCGGAATACCTTGGTCTTCACGCTTACTAGTTATTGGTTTTTGAAGCGAGTATTTTTCTTGTATTCTCTCAACAATGGCAATGAACTGTCGTCAACACTTGGCCAGTTACTTGGTCAGATACTAATCAGTAGTTAATTTTTCTAGGAATGGTCTATCAACGGAATGCAAGAAGATCTCCCTTACAGAGATGATGCCTGATGAAATTCAGGTATCTAGAGAGGAGAGAGCTTTCCGGCTGTGGATCAATAGTCTTGGAATTGATACATATGTTAACAATTTGTTTGACGATGTCAGGAATGGGTAAGTGTGCTTAATCCTTTATTGCTTGGAAGCCTCTGCGGGCTCTACTGAACGGCATCTTTTGTCTTCAGATGGGTACTTCTGGAGGTGTTGGACAAAATTTCTCCTGGCTCAGTTCATTGGAAGCAGGCCTCAAAGCCTCCAATTAAGATGCCGTTTAGGAAGGTCGAAAACTGCAACCAAGTCGTGCGAATTGGAAAAGATTTGAAATTTTCTCTCGTCAATGTTGCTGGGAATGATATTGTGCAGGGGAACAAAAAGCTTATACTGGGTAGGCATTCCTCCGGTTCTCGTGGTTCATTCATCTTTCAGCTTCAGTTTTCATAATTTCTTATGATGACTTTAGCTGATAAATCTCTTTATGAATTGCCGAATACCTTAGATTTTTAGATTTTTATAAACATGTGTTTATGGTTTATAGAGGCAGATTTTTGGCAGAGTTGTTTAAAAATTCTCCCGAGCTCTGTGCCAATTAATATCAACTGGGCTCTCTTTCAGCTTATCTCTGGCAATTGATGAGGTTCAATATACTTCAACTGCTTAAGAACTTGAGATATCACTCTCAAGGCAAGGAGATGACCGATGTTGATATTTTAAACTGGGCAAATAATAAAGTAAAGGATTCTGGAAGAGCCTCCCAAATGGAAAGCTTCAAGGTAAAAAGAAAAATGCAATCCTTTCCTTGAGTAGGATCTTCGGATGAAAGTTCCGAAGTTGGTTGTTTTCTTAGAAAACATATTTTGTTTCCTAAATTTTCACTCTTCAGGATAAGAGCCTGTCAAACGGGATTTTCTTCCTAGAGCTGCTCAGTTCTGTGGAACAGAGAGTGGTCAACTGGAAAGTCGTCACAAAGGGTGAAACTGGTATATTTTCTCACACTCGTTATAAATTGTTTTTTCTTTTCCAATTTCTCTCATCCCGGGAGTCACTGTCTATCATCTTCACTTCGGATTCTCATTGAAAAGGGTAAAAGAAAGAGCTATTATTGGGACTTGAGTTTTATTAAAAATGGCGGAACTTTGTTACTTCTCCTGATACCTTCGTTCCATACTGACTGCCTCTTTGTTTGCATGATGCCGATGCAGAGGAGGAAAAGAGGTTGAATGCTACGTATATCATCAGTGTGGCGCGGAAGCTTGGTTGTTCTGTTTTCTTGTTGCCTGAAGATATCATGGAGGTAATAGCCTGCAGCCTGCTCCAGATGATGAATAATTATTGATTTAACCATCCACTTCAGTCTCCTATGCAGTTCCTTTTAGGAAATCCTCTCATGTCGTTCATTTTATTAGCTTTTATGGGTAGAGATCTCAATAGGCCCAATCGGACCAGATAAACACCTGATCAATCTTTTCTTTCTTTTTTTTCGAATTTGGTCGTGCAATGAAACCCTCTTTCTTGAAAACAGAACAGCCTATGGTTTGCATGGATAGGCCTAGTCCAGTCATCCGCAGTGGGGTTTCATTAGGATGGATGGTCCGATATCTTCAGCATGGTAGTAGAACAGATAATCTTGGACTGAACAATTCCCTTTTATGTTGGCTGCATGCCCATGAATGGGAATGTCAAGAATAATCTTATAATAGTTATTATAGAAATAAATCTACGCCCATAAAGATGAGCCCACTCCAACCGTAGCCAATCGGCATTGCATTCATGGCAATCTCCCTCTTTAGTAAGTTCTTTTTTAGCTTGATCTCGAGGTTGCTGGTCTTTCTGGTATCAAATTCCAACAATACTTCTTGACTGGTTTCTTGCCATGGCAGGTAAACCAGAAGATGATTCTCACCCTCACAGCCAGCATCATGTACTGGAGCCTGCAGCAGCAGCCTTCCAAGGAGTCTGAGCCCACCACTGAGCAGGCAGCCACAGAGAAACCCGCTTCAAATCGAGACGGGGGGCTCTGAGCTTGCCCGTTGATGGTACTACCTCCGCCTCTGAGGACTTTATTGAAAATGGAAAGGCCTCCAATGGGATGTGAGAAGATAGAAAATCAAAGCACAGGAAAAGAAAAAAACGAAAATAACATGTATTCATTATCTCTTGGCATGCCTTTTTCTGTTGCTATCCATAATATATTTGGCTTCATTATTTTATTTTTCCTTCACGCCATGATCATTGGAGGGGGGAAGGTTCTAGTGGCATTGATGTCTCAGGCATAAGAAGATAGATTCAAGAAAATCAGTTGTAAAAGTTTATATATAAAAAAAAAACTCATAGGAATTGCCATCATCGGAGACTAGAATAAAAAATCTTATTAGGTTATGATTGATCTTTAATGATCGTCCTTGAAACCCATCCCCATCAGTTCTTCGCATGAGAATGTACATGCCCACATCAACTGAAAGCATCATCATCAGTATGAACAAGATGACTCTAACGAGACCCAAAAAAGGAGGGGAGTGGGGGATCAGATGGGATTCTAGAAACCCTTTTTTTTGGGCACATTCATCCCTACCTGTCTAGCTCATCGGGATGCAAGCTCAATGCAGCATCTCCACCAAAGTCTTCAGGCCCCCTAAAATCAGGACTCCTCAGCAAAGTGAGAAGTGAGCGTTAACGACAACTGGGGCCATCATTTATCATCTAAGTTCAAGGAATTGAGTCGTCTCAGCCTCTGATCAAGCTCAGCCATCACTGCCGGTTCCTGCTTTTTTCTTTCCTTGGTGATGGCGTTTGTCGTCATGGACCCAATCTTATCAAAAGCCACCTGCAACATCATTCCAGAGAAAGCAATTAAAAAGAAACCCTAAATCCCCACAGACCACAAACCAAAAATAAATAAATAAATATTATTATTATTATAATTATTATTATTATAAGACTCTTCCTATTGATTTAATGTGGTAGAAAACCATAAATACCCCAAAGTAGAATACATTTAGCATGGCATCAAGTCTTCCTATTGATTGATCCAGACCAAGCAAGCACCTTTCTAAATGGAGTGTTCTAAAAAATCTGATAAATGTCATGCGCATCTGCACTGAATTAGTGAATAAGAGTTTGAGATTATTAGGATGTTAACTAACCAAGCCCGAATAATTTTTTTTATGCTAAATATAGGATCATCTTTCTTCTAAGAAATTAGCACAGAGAACCTATTGTGGGCAAGTTATCCGAGCATGAAGATGGCAATTCCTGTAGGGAATCACATGAGAAAGTGGGGCTCGGATTCATTACCGTCAGCAGTTCATCAGGATCATAAAGATGATGGGTGGTCGTTTGCAATACATCAATCACATCTCCAATGTGATGGGCACTCAAGATTTCCTCCTCCTTCATCTGCAGAAAAAAAATTAAAATACATATATAAACAGGTGTATATATAAGTTTATTTTAAATAAGATGGATGAATATTCTCTGTGAAAACCAGGTTGATATTTTCCAACATATCCACACAAAAAAAAAACTTAATTGAATGGAGCAGGTTCAGCCATCCACCTTGAAGATAGCCAACGCTACATGAAACAGAACCTTTGCCCCCTCATTGAACAGCACATCCCACACGCGCATGGTGGTCTACTCAGAAATTAAACAAAAAACCGAGTCAACGCAGATAAAATTCAGGCAATGGGTCACAACTCACAGAAATACTGTACTTGTATACATATTATATGCACATTGATATATATATATATGCATATATATGTATAGCGAGAGAGAGAGAGAGAGAGAGAGAGAGAGGAATGGTGAGTTCTGACCTCTGAAGGCAAGCTCTTGGAGAAAAGACAAAGAAACCATTCTGTCGTCACTAAAGAGACATCAAAGTTGATGGCATCCAAATGGGCAGAGATCCTGAGAATTTGTCCAACCAATCTGATTACAGATAACCTATCTCGGAAGAGAGAGAAGAAGAAGGGAGAGCAGAGGCGGCCGAACCTTGGGCATTTCTTAGCCAGCAAATCCTTGAAGACCCTCTGCTCCACATGGCAACCGGACAGGTTATCTGTGTAGCAGTCGTTCACCAAGACATCCTCCAAGAGAACAGCAAGCATCCAGAAAGCATCTTCCTCCGTCTTCAGGACCAGCAACAGCAGCGCGGCCACATAATTTAAACCCTGCAAACAAAAACAAACAAAAAAAAATCGATATTTCAACTCACATTTATTTTAATTCTCATTTTTTTTCTGAGGGAGGAGGATTATTAATTAATTAATACTCACCTGGCAATATCCGACATCAGAGTCGCGGAAGGAATACCCGACCAGGACTCGGCGCAGGGATGCCTGACCGTCGGGCGTGTCCAACCAAGGGTGGCTCGGGAAGGTGCGAGGGAGATCCTGAAAGGGAGATTTCGTCAGGTCAATGGATGAACCGGAGGAGGGTTGAAGCTGTGTTCTTCAGAAATGATGCCTTTTTCCCCATTTCTTGTCCATTATTTCATCAAAAAACAATAAATTGAGGAAATTGGATCGAATGGAAGCATTCGAAGACATTAAATTTATATATCCCAGATTGGAAGTTTCGGTGCATGTTCTGGGGGATTCATCAAAGAAAGCAAGACTCTCACGGATATGAGCGGAGAAAAACAGACCACTAGAAGGGTGGGCTCACATGATCGATCTGAAGCGTGGCCGGCGTGACCTTGCCGTCGATGGCTTGAATGAGATCATCGTAGTAACTCTCCGGGACGGTGGACCTCTTCTTCGCGGCGCCGGAAACGGAGAGCCACACCTTCGGCCTCAACGCCGGCGGAATGCCCTTCCTGATGAGCTTGCGGAGGGAGATGGTGTTCGCCAAGACGGAGAACTTGAGGGAGCCCACGGAGATGCCTTGGGTCAACGATGAAATCTGCGGCTGCAGGTACCAATTGGCGCCTTTGCTCGCTTCCAAGGCCCACCACACCCTTCCTTGCTGCCTCACCCTCTCCCTCACCTCGTTCAGGACATTGACGTCGTCGACGTTGCCCTCCACCGTGAACCCGTACAGGTCCTGAAATTTCACAGAGAAGCTGGGCATCTTCCCGGCGATGGCCTTGCCGGCGGTGGAAGCCGCGCTAGGATTCCCGCTACCGCCGCCGCCGCTGTTGGTGGTGGCGGGACTTCGGTACCGTACGTGAAAGCTGAACCCATGGGAGACCTCCCTACTCTGTGCCTGGGTTCCGAACATCCTCCTGTAATTCTCTCTCTCTCTCTCTCTCTCTCCCCTTCCTTCTCTCTGTGTTATTCTCTATGTATCAATCTATCTATGGACGAAATGAGCTACGGTCTGAACAGCAGCTCTCCCTAGTTCCAGGAAGGAGGAGAATCCTAGGGTGGAGGCCGATAGGATATATGGATGAGAGGGAATGGGTCTTCTCTGATGCTTGCTCGGCCGCCGAATGGGAAGGATAATCAGGTGATCGGGGGGATGAGGACGGCGAACAAGGTCTCATCAAAAGCAGGACATTTCACGCAAGCCGCAGCCGCCGGAAAAGGATTTCCGGCCGAGGAACGTGGTCTCAATCCTCCAAGGGAGACGGGTTCTCCAAGACGGTCCTCTCCATGTCACCCAGCAACAACAACACCCATTTTTGCCTCCCATTTGAGAATTTAACGGAGGGCACAGTAAAAAAAAGCCCCCCTTCTCTCTCCTACCCTCTCTCTCTCTGTCCCTAGCAAGGAATCCACGGCTGCACAAGCTCTTCTTCCTGGAGAGCTCCGAGGGCTGGGTCTTCACAGGATAGGGCAACTTTCCTTCTCTCCTTTGTTCTCAGCGCGGCAGCAATCCACGGAAGAGGATATTGACGCCGCTGGGTCCCACTCCCTGCTCATCTGTCATGATCCTGGCCCCATGATAGTGAATCCACGGTTGTGACTCGCTTAATGGGTTAAATCATCTGCCACACTCTCACAGGAAGGATTTAAGACAATGAGAGAAAAAGACACTAATACCCCCACATTGACGTGTCTCACCACATTTTCCTTCGGTCCCAGGTACTCTCAGGCCTGACTGTAACGACCGGTTCTCCGCCCGCCCCCCATGTGGTCAACTATTGACCAAAAATAACATCCCAAATAATATAATAATACAAACTTTAATATAAAACTATTTTTGAGCATGATTTTTATGGTGATGACGTCATTAATCAGTAAACTAAACGTGCATTTGGTCCACTTTAATAATCGTAGTTATTTTAATTCCGAAATTATTATGTGGCGTTGTGGATCATAGATGCCAAGAGTACGGACGCACGTGCGCAGAATGGCCCAGTCAACTCCCTCACAAGTGGGCCACAAGTGGGCCTCAAGTGGCCGTTGGAAATTGACCCGATCAAGCTGCTATACGGCATAATTGATATCATTTTAGTGGGTTTTTCTGCAAACTCGTCACCCTCCCCACCAACCACCCGCCATCCTCTATCCTTGCGCCGCAATTGGGGTAGGAAACGGCCCGGGCCTGCCCGGGCCTTGACACGCTCGACCCGACCCCGGAAAAGAACTATCAGCCCGGATTGAAAGAGAGACAAGCCTTAACTGGGCCGAAGCTCATATAGCCCAATTAGCTCAATTATACGTCTTTTCTGATCTGGTCCGATTGTCCCCTTGTCGGTAGTTAGGATATTATCATAATAATTAATTTCTGATGAGTTACTGTTGCTCATTAATTCTAGCGGGATAAATGTGTATAATATTTATATTTTACAATTAATGCATTATTTTAATGCAATGGGGTTCGATTGCCTAACTGGGCCCATAAGTTGCCTCCGATTTTACCCGATTTGGGCCTTAAATTTGAGTCCATTAAGTCAAATAGAATTAGACCCATAATCATATGGTCTTATGTGGGTAGACTGTTGACTCCTTTATCACGGTAGTGAAGAAGGGGGTGGTAAGCATGATGTAGACAAATTAACTACTTCATAACTAATGTATAATGGTTTTATTTAACCTCAATTAATCATAGTACATTAATTACTTGATTACTCAAAGTTATTGAAGTCATATATATAAATATATATATATAATATTAATTTATACGTGCCCTCGGGGTGTATTCGTATCCATTAGGACCATTAATCCTGTTTTAGGACCTCATCAACGACCCAACCACGAGGGTAACTTTCTTAGCCGAGAAAGTCTGTAAACGCAAATATTCCTTTATTGAGGGTTGAATAAAATAATTAATATTTTTAGGGGCTCGTTTTACGTTTGTGGAATTCTTGGAATTGTGGTTGCCAAGGTTTCGGAGAAAGGGCAAGGGAGCGCGAGAGAGAGAGAGAGAGAGAGAGGGGAGAGGGAGGCAGGAGGGGAGGCGTGGGTGGTGGAGGCGGCAGAGGAAGGGGGTGGGTGGGGGGGGTGGAAATGGGGCAGATGTCGGACCTTGATCGGCAGATTGAGCAGCTGAAGAAATGCGAGCCGCTCAAGGAGTCGGAGGTGAAGGCACTCTGCTTGAAGGCCATGGAGATCCTTGTCGAGGAGAGCAACGTCCAGCGCGTCGACGCTCCCGTCACCGTGAGAATTAACTTCTTCGATCCTTCCTCTTCTTTTTTACCACTACTTGATGTCAAGTTGCAGCTGCTCCTACTTTCCCTTCTGGAGGGCTTACGTTCTTATTTATCGATGGCTAGGAGTATTCCCTCCAATTATTTATGCTTTCCCGTAATTTCGTATTCAATCCTATAGGCGGAATTCTGTGGCGGTTTATCCTTCTCGTCTTTTATCATTTGAGGTTAGGTTGAACTGGGTGAAGTTTTCATTCAATGCCCGTTCTTATGCGGCACTTAGCCCTCGAAGTCGGAATTCGGCTCCCCTCCTTGCGCCAACGTTTTCCGCAGAAATATGGCTATCTATTTTGATTCATTACGAAATCACTGTTAAATGCGTGCTCTTCTGAGAACGAAACACGAAGGGATTTGGAATAGCTGTTTACACATCATGCAATACCGTTGGCAGGTTTGTGTTCACATTGAACAAGTTAAACTCCTTGAGGTTGTGTTGTCTTATCTTGGTTGCATCTTTGAAGGGCTGTCGTTTATCTTGGCTAGGGCTGTCATTCATTAATTAGCTCCTTTTTTTGGTTCGGACGTTGTAATCTGAGTCCAGCTCAGGACCTTAGGTTGTGCGCCGAACCAATGCAATTGGACTGCTACTCAAGGGCATGTAGAGTCGATACTGGGTGTAAGCTTCTGATATGTTTAATTTAGATGACTATGCCACGTGACTATGATGTTTAATTTATATTTATTTTTATTCCATAAAAATAAATATAACTGTGAATTAAAAAAGACATCTCTAAGTAGCTATTGGCTGCCTTTCGATCAGAAGCTTTGAAAGCCCTCGAAAAATGCATGCTTACTGGTAGCTTCACTGTTTTAAAAGGATGCTTTCCGCTTGAACGTCCTCAGCTGCATTAATTCGTGTTCATCACATAGTGAGATGCCGTTCAATTCTATCACCATTTCAGAGTTCGCAATGTAGACTAATTTCTTAAAGAGTATGAGAAGAGTCTAATCTGATTCAGACTCCTATTACAACGAGCGTAAGATTTGAGCAGAAGTGCTTTTGACGAAGATAAAGTGGCATAAACCCACCATCAAAGAAGATCAGAACAGCGAACCTCAAAACCTCAAATATAGCATAACTAGGAGTTTTCTATTGTTTAACCTTAAATCCTGTAGGCTTAATGGACCCTATAAGTTGTTCAGCTAGCGCGAAAATTCAAGGCTTAAAAGGGTGATCATGTGACAGAAACTCACAAAAAGATTCAATGATGATTTTTTGTTTCACCTAATCACTAAGAAACACTATTTTCGAAGAGTTGATATAATCAACTGGTGACTTGCTCCTGCATATAGGGGTGGAGAAGTATTGTCGTTCTGATTGATGTTCTACATGATAAAAATGAACCATGAACAGATGATTCTGCAGACTTTGATTTGGTTAAATGATTTCTGCAACAATTAATTTAGGAAAATTCGGTAGTTCATCGTGGATGGCCAGCTTTGTTTTCGGTATAGGATAGCTTTTATCCACATGCATCGAATTGATTTTAACTTCCAATTACATCTTGTATCAGATTATTTACTCTGAGAAGCTACTAATTTTTTATACATTTTTTCGTCTTATTTAGGTATGTGGTGACATTCATGGCCAGTTTTATGACATGAAAGAGCTTTTCAAGGTTGGAGGTGACTGTCCGAAGACAAATTATTTATTTCTAGGAGATTTTGTTGATCGGGGATTTTATTCAGTTGAAACGTTTCTACTTCTATTGGCGCTCAAGGTGAGAAACTAGTTCTTTGAAAATATCTGCTTTGATGTTGAATATAAGATCTGTATCAAATTTTCGAGTGGTGGTTTGTGTTTGAGATTATACATGCTAGTTCGTCAATATTTTATCTGTGGTTAATTTATTTACTACATGGGCTGGGGCTCAATGTGACTAGGAAGCTGCCCATTACTTTACGAAAATAATGTTCTTTTTGGGAAAATGTTTGTCTCGTCATTTTCTTCGATTTAATATTCTGGTGAGTTTTTTTGGCATCCAATTAGTTGCAATGTTTCTTGTCGGATGCCATCTTGATGCCGAATACCCTTTTCGTAATAGTAGACATAGCAATTGGCTGGTCATGTGATAAGGCATATGAACAGAAGAAAAGACTAACAGAAAATGTTTAAATGTTTGAAGGTGCTAGGAAACGAAGTGTAAAATTTATTATTCAGTTGTTTCCCTCATTTCTTTCTTTGATCAATTTATTATTCAAGTATTTGATAATTATCTCTGCGAACGGTGAGAAAAAATTCCAAGAAAAAGCACCAATTACATGGAGACTAGTATAAAATTTATTTAAGATGGGGACTATGGGGATCTGTCCTAAAATTGCAAATCTTCTGAAAAGATTTGTCTGTATTTGTGCATAGTCTCCCTGGAGAAGAGAAGAGGTTATTTATAATCACTGGAGAATAGCATATTTATCAGCTCATTGGAACCGAAGAAATCCTGGAAGGATGTGAAAAGGACTGATCAGTGCATTCATTCAGGTTGCAGTAGTTGCTGCTACATGCTACATGAACAGAGGAACATGGGAGTGCTCCTGAAGCACTTAGAAGAACGTTAGAAAGGTGTAATGGTAGGTCGTGTACTTGGTCAGGTAATGACATTAGCGCTGGGCTGTTTTCCACCATTCCTGGAGAGTTTCACATCTCAGACCCATTTCATTCATTTAATTTCATTTAGAAAATTTTATTCATGAAAACGGAAAACCGAGTAAAAAGCGTAAAATAATTAATGATGCTATATTCAACCAAATAATAAATGGGTTGACGTTCCAACTTCTGTGGCATAGGTCATCATTTGGATAGTCTATCTACCTCAAAACATCTATTCACTAGACATTCCTTTTCAGATTGGATCTTGGTTCTGCACTGTATTGCGACATGAAGAAGATATGAAGAGTTTGAGAGTCGATATTAAAAGGCAACCGAAAATCATGGGTGTTCATCCCGTCATGTGGTTTGTTACATCATTTCAAATGAATAGAATGATTGTATATCTAGATGTGAGAATTGCTTGGTTAGAAAAGATTCGACCCCGCTTAAGGAACCATCCCATCACTGCTCTGGCGTGGTCAACTCATCCAACTTGCGAGTGAATGTCAGAATGGTTTCACTTTGAAAACAACAACCTTAAATCTGTGACCAGAAATAGTATGTTTTACTCATCGACTGTTGATCTTGAGTTTGACGGTCCGATTTGATGATGTGGCGTCAGAATGCCTGGTTCTATTCTAATGTTGTGCTGATCTATGCAACGTACGAGACATGATAGTAATGTAGGCACTCATCTGTTGTATTCATCGAGGACTCATTCCTTGGAGAGACCGCATCTTTCGTTCCCCTCCATATTTCATTGTTTTTACCTTTTTTTGGTTCATCTATGCAACTTTTTAGCTAAACTGTATGCTGACTGCAGGTCAGGTATCCAGATAGGATTACTCTTATACGGGGAAATCACGAAAGCCGCCAGATTACACAGGTTCATGCCATCTCAGTTGCTCTGTACTGTCTCATGCAATACCATTCTTCAATATCCTTTTTTTCTTCCCCTAGGTCTATGGCTTCTATGATGAATGTCTCCGTAAATATGGCTCTGTTAATGTATGGAGATACTGCACAGATATATTTGATTACCTAAGGTATCGCACTCTGGTTGGATAATTTTTCCTCTTTTTTTCTTCTTTTTTTCCTTCTTGAAGAAACTATCCAAGTAGTCCACTTTGTTCATATTTCTATTTTTTGATCTAAAACCCTTCTTCACAGCCTGTCAGCACTCGTTGAAAACCGAATATTTAGTGTCCATGGAGGGCTCTCTCCATCCATACAGTCATTAGATGAGGTCAGTCGTTTTTGTTTCATTACTCCTCCCATAAAACTCTCTGAATATAAAATGGAGTCAACCCTGTTTGTAGATAAGAACAATAGACCGCAAGCAGGAAGTGCCTCACGATGGGGGCATGTGTGACCTCTTGTGGTCAGACCCCGAAGATGCGGTGGACAGTTGGGGCGTAAGTCCACGAGGCGCGGGGTACTTGTTTGGTGGGACTGTGGTCACTTCTTTCAACCACTCCAATAACATTGATTACATCTGCCGTGCTCATCAACTAGTGATGGAAGGCTACAAGTGGATGTTCAACAACCAGATTGTCACTGTCTGGTCTGCCCCAAATTACTGTTACAGGTAATCACTCTATGCCTATCCTGAATTGACGACGTGATCTGCCACAACTTTTCTCTGTTCAACATCCACCTTGATTTTATGATTTTGAGAACCAATAAAAAATCACCCGTATGATGTTCAATGCCAGTTGAATTCTTTTCTGGGCTAAAATCTCTTAATTACTGCTGAAGCCCCTCACCTGGGTTACTTGGAGTTCGCTAATGGTAAATGGAATCATTGAGAAACTGGGTTGTTCTGGTTTGGATCATTTTTTAATTGGTTTAAATCACATTGCTATGCTTTTTTTCTTTTTTTTCTCTCTCTCTCTTAAGCTTATCTGGTAGAAATCGCTTAGTGTCCTGTTCTCCTTCAACCGATTTGGTATATCATTCATTTTTATGCACTCTCTTGAGCATCTCAGATGCGGTAATGTGGCCGCCATTCTCGAGCTTGACGAGAACCTGAACAAGCAGTTTCGTGTGTTTGAGGCTGCGCCGCAAGTTTGTGCATAGAACCCACCCTCTGATTCTTTCCCCACAGTTAAATCAGTCTCCTATGATTCTCTCTTGATTATGCAACTCCGCTGCAGGAGTCAAGGGGTATCCCTTCGAGGAAACCAGCTCCAGAATACTTCCTTTGATGCCGCTGTTGTCTGCCGCTGTCAGCTCGAGTTGACTTATGAGGAAGTGAAGTTGTGTGCCTCCAGCTAAAGGACTGATGATGCTTTGCCTAAATGCCATCACGAGCTCAGTAGAAGAATCCCAAAGGGAGAGCCACCATCATTGCTTTTAAGCTCGTGGTTTAGTTTGTGTTCATGGATCTCTGGGACATTGTTACCAGAGGAGAGAGAAGAGGGGATAGAGGGAGAGAGAGAGAGAGAGAGAGAGAGAGAGAGAGAGAACTATGGCTTGAGAGGGAATTTCTGGAAGGATCTGAATTCTTTTTTTTTATTTTTTATTAGGGGCACGATGGCAGGATATTGTAGAGTTTAATTTCTTTGGCTTCCCAAATTGATTGGGATTTGGAAGGGGACTGACTGAACCAGGAGCTCCGGTGAAACATCATGTTGATCGTATCTCTCTTGCATGGCAATGAAAGTTTCTTCTCTATTCTTTTCATCATCTTCTCTCTCTCTCTCTCTCTCTCTCTCTCTCTCTTGTCTCTGTCTATGCCTCTGTCTCCCTCCGGCAGCGCCGCCGCGAAGAAGAGGAAGAAGGGGCAAGCTCAGGAAAGAAAGGAAGGGCAAGGCACAGATTTTCTTAGACCTGGCGATGGAAGTGAGCGCAGACAGCAGGGGAATATCCTGGGAGGAAGCAATAACAGCCTCTGGAGGCTCTCTTACGGCAAGCAGGCGGGCAGGCAGGCAGGCCATATGCCTCCCCTTTTTTCCGTCTTCCTGCACTCGCCGTCGCCCGCCGGGCACGCAGCGATCCAGCTATAAAGCTCCGCCATCCCATAGAAAACTAGCACGCAGGTCGCTCCAATTATATCCATCGGTAGGCTGGGTGTGCTTCCTCCGTCACTGGATCATCACCGGGGAAGAACGCAATCAGATCTGTCGACGGAAACTTCTACCCCACCTCCCTCCTTCATTCGGCGCCTTCCTCTTCTTGAGTCCTCCGGCCTTCCGGAGCGTCTTCATTCTCTGAATAGTCTCCCCTGCAAGATGGGTCTCGGCGTGGAGGTAGCTAAGAGGGTCTTCTCCAAGAATCGGTTTCGCTCCTCGGCGGTGGATGTGCCCCAGAGCAACAATGTATGCACTGGCCTCCGATTATCACTTTGCAGATTTTTGTTTGCTTCTTCCTGTTCGTTCCATGACTGCTTTCTTTTCTGATCCTGGCATGTCTCGTTCTTCCTGCAATTGCCAGTTTCTATCTTGGACTAATTAGTCTTAGTCTCTTCTTTTTTTCTTTTTTTCTTTTTTCTTTTTTTTACTTTTTCAGGGAAGGGGTCTTGGCGTTGACAAGACCCACTCATCTCGAGATTCAAGCTCTGTGGGGATAATTTTGACTCAGTTCCTGCTGAGGATAATGATGTGAAGTCCCCCAGGAGGTCAACGGGAAATTTAACACTGACCAGTGTTGCAGCTTCAAGGAATCAACAAGGGACTGAGGCTGTGGAGAATGACGAACGGATCGAGGAAGAGAAAGAGGCGGCGATCATCATCCAATCTGCATTTAGAGGTTTTCAGGTTCTACCTTATTTGGGCATCCTGATTATTGCGTAATTTAGGCATCCCTCCATCTTGACGACCTCATCTCTGTCTGTCTTTCTGACCCACATAAGCATCCTCCTTCAGGCGAGACAACATCAAGAGCTTCAACGGCTAGGTGGCACTGGTGATTTTCATGGAATCGAAGGTCCGAGTAAAGCCTTTGTGTGCACCTCATCTGTTGTCCAAGTAGGAGATTGTACTGACGATCAAAGGGCTCTGGAGGCAACCCTCGTTGCGCAGCCGAGGGTGCAGCATAGAGCCCAAGCACAGGCATCCAGGCTGAAGGTAATGAGCTTCTCTCAGCATTCATGTGCAGCCCCCCTGCCACATTTCCTTACCATGTTTAACTTAAATACTCCCATTTCAATGAAATTATGGTGTATCAACAAATACCCAGTCAAATTCATCTCCAGTTACGTCATGTAATGTTGCTAAAACCTTATAGAATATTGACTGACCCAAAGTTTCTAGTTGTTTGATGTGAGAACTCTGTATATCCTGTGCATCCACCTTCATCTCACGTCAACGCTTTCTGTCTAGGAAGAATCGGACGGCAGCACAGTGAGCAGTCAAATCTCAAACATGAGAATCAAGAACAGGCTGGAAGCCATGGCCAGGAGGGAGAGAGCCTTAGCCTACGCATTTTCTCAATAGGTAATATTTCTCGGAGATCTAGTGTATGATGCATAGATGGACGCTGTATTATTTATTTCCATTTTCGAAATTATTAAATTCCATATATCGAGCTCTCCACAGCTTAGGGCTTGCCCAGGGAAGAAGAAGCCGACTCTGAGGGCCTCGGATGAGCCAAACAAGGGATGGAGCTGGCTCGAACGGTGGATGGCAACACGCACCTCGGACGCTCAACCTGGGTCCCATCGCGTGGGTATTTATCCTTCAGAAATGGTGGAGAAGTTCAGAGTATCTCCAGAAAAAGAGGAGAGCTGCGGCTCCAATGATGTTTCAGTCCCCTTTGGACGAACATATTGAAGGTGACGAGCCCATGCAATGGAATGGAATGGTTTCCTCTTCTTTCTCATCCCTGATGATTTCTTCTTTCCCAAAAAGGAAATTCCAATGTGTCTGAAGATTAAGGACCCAACTCTGAAACTGTTTCTCTTGGGCCCTTCCAAGGTCATTAAGAAAGATCCCTTGAGGGCGATGGAGAAGGAGGAGAGACGACCACACTGCCCAAATGCATGAAGCACCTGGTGAGAAGTTGCTTCTGTAGATCATTTTGATCAACAGTAAGTTATATATACAGACAATATATATATCGATTGTGTTCCTAAAATGGAAATATATATATATATATATGATTCATTCTGAATATGAACAAGAAGAGAGTATCCACTCTCAATCCCTCATCTTCCTCATCGGCTGCTACCTCTGCTGCCAGAGATTTGTTTTGGTTCTAATGGCATTACAAATGTGATTGGGTGTTCATCAGGTGAGTTGACTTATATAAAACCGCCATTGCTTTTTTTGCCCAGGATATAGATGAATGATACAAGTAAAAAAATACAGCTAATACATTGACAGAAAGGTTGAAGAAAGTCAACGCATGTACAGCATGATCGATCAGTGAAGAATATTTTTACAGCTGGTACATCAAACAGAGCAGCCCACTTCTGAAAGTGGATGCCCACAGAGCCGATATATCAAATTCAACCAGATAAAAGAATTTGGATATAAAGGGATCCTACTCACAATACCTCACTGGGCAGGCACTTTGGGCGCTGACTTTTGCAGACGTCCTTGACCCAAAAGTCAAGCCCTTCTCTCTCCTCCTGGCTGAAGAGGGGATCCTATGATTTGATTCAGAATAGATGGAAAGCAGCAGCCTCGGTTGTCGCTGTTCAACAGGGCCAACCGGGTTTATCATCTGTCTGATTTCTTCTAAGAAGGTACCTTAACCTGCAAGACTGCTGCCTTATTAATTTATCCGTTGAAGGGTATTTTTCTGCTACCAGGGAAAATTTATCGCCATATTGTTCTTCAATTCCTTCAAGAATCAACTGCCATATTAAGGCCCCTGCTCCAGCTTGCCCTTTCTCCGCGGACTTGTATACCTTATCATAGGCTGTTTTTAGCAAAACATCTCTCTCGTACAGACCCTGCTCGTTGACCTTCAGATAAGACCCAATCTCTGTGATAAGAACTGGCTTCTTAAGGATTCGCTCGCCATCATTCACGTGGTAATCGACCCAGCTGGCGAGATATTCCACCTTCTCCTCCAGTCCAGCATTTGGAATCCTGCACGAGCATTTGAGAAAGTCAACTGAAGAACACTGGATAAATGAATCCAAATAGCGGCATGAACAGGATTTTAATTTTTTTTCCAAATTAATATCGCTGACCAGCTATCAGGATATGCATGGGCTGAAGCAAAGTCGATGTTTTGAACCGCAGAATTCTGTATGAAGTCCGACCCGAGGGATCCCGCCCAGTCGCCGGGGTTGACTCCCAGCCTTTCAGCCCGCTTGGACCCGTAGAACCCTTCGAGCCCCACCGTCACAAGATGCTTCTGGTCAATGCTCTTGATGTGGGCGGCCATCTCAGCGATCCAAGCCTGTTGGGTACCATAACTACACTCAGGTTCGTCTCCACATAACTGTTTTTTCTAATTGAACACAGACCCAGATCGAAAATAAAAGAAAAGAAAGGTCTTAAACATGTTCGTCAGTAACTTGGAGAAGAGGAGCCGACGAGTTGGACGAGCAGCGAGGCTCGTTCATGAGCTCCCAGGCAAATATTGCAGGCTCGTCTGAATATAGAACGCCGCTGTACGAGTTCCTCCTCCTCAAGATGGCCTGCAACAGACAAAGAACACACCGCAGATCATGTCAATAAATTGTGATTCATGCCCAGAAATCATGATTTTTTCTCGAAAAATCAAATTTTCGAGTACCTTGATGTAATCCTTATAGAAGCCTCTGATCACAGGATGAGAGAAGAAGGGGTCGTCGGCGGAAGTCAAGTTGACTCCGGCCTCCTGGGCCCATCTGATATACTGAGCCTTCCCCCCGAACGCCTCCAGATTGTTGACGAGACAGAGAATCAACCTCACCTGGTTCCTCCTCGCCTCGTAGATCACGTAGTCCAATGCCTGCGGAAGAACAGAAGAAATCGGCGGCTCTTGATGTGGGCGAGACTCATCCCTGAAGAAGGGCGGTGAGCTACTCACCTGGAAGACTTGCTCGTCGAAGCGGCCGGGGGAGATCTGGAGGGCGGCGCCGCCGCCCCGGCCGCCGTCGCTGAAAGCCCACGTCCGGCAGACCTCCATCCCCATGTCCCGACCCCGCCGGAGCATCTCCGCGACCGTCTCCCTCCCGCGCCGCCCCTGCGACGCCGCCGCTGCCATCAGCCAGTACGAGTTCCAGCCGTTGACGTACACAGACGGGGCCTCTCCGCCGCCGCCGCTGCCGCCGCCCTCCGCCCGTAGAAGAACGAACCGCGTGCCATTGCGGCCCACGAAGCTCATCGGCGGCTGCAGCCAGGGGATCGGAATGCGCAGCCGGGAGGGGTCGACGCCGCCGCCAGACCAGTTGAAGTAGCCGACGACAGCCAGGAGGAGCACCCCGATGAGCGGGTACGAGCTCCGACCGTTCCCCATGGCGGCGCCCCCGCCCCCCTCCACGCCGGCGAGATCACCGGCTCAAACTCACCTTCTCAGGCCCCCAATCTTCCTCTCTCTGCTCCAGAAGCCAAGAGACCGAACGGACCTCGCGGTATGTATAATTATTGGAGTCATCAAGCAAGGTTGGCTCGAGAAGGTCTAAAGTCAAACATCTGTTGACCGTAGTGAAAGAGAAAAAAAAAAACAGAACGAGCAAGGATCCATCGCCGACAAAGAAGATTCGGAGTGGCTCCGATCCCCGCCGCCGGTCCTCCAGCGGCGTGTCGTTAGAGGAAGCTGCCCATGCCGAGGGCGTGGCTCCTGACGGCGGGTATCCGAACCTGACCTCCGATCTGCACCGATTTGTCTATACTATCCAAAAAGGGAAAGCATGAGGAACGGCGGCTGTCTCTCAAAAATGTGATCTGTGATTAGTCTCTGAAAAACGTGTCTGCGGTGCTAAGAAAAATAATTAAGCTTTTGTAAATTATCCACGAAGTTGAGAGAAAAGAGCTAAGAAATAAGTCAATTTTGATTTCTGGAGAAAGAAAAGAGTGGAACGGGGATCACCAACGCCCAGTGACTGTCGGCGGGGGATCTGGGTTTGGCTCCCTCTTCGGGAAGCCACCTGTCATCAACCCAGTACGCGATGGGTCAGCGCTGCCTCCCGCGCCGGTGGTCTGCTTGCAGAGTTCTCCGCCATTAACGCAGGGACGTCGCCACCGCCACCACAACTTATCTCTTCTTCACCCCTCCGTTGACTGCCCCCAACGGAGTCGACGCCTCGGGCGCCGCCTGACCCGATCTCTCGCCCAGCGGAGCTTCTGTGGGGCGTCGGTGGAGGAGATGGCGGAGGGTCGATGGAGGCGGCGGAGAGGTTCCTGGTGGCGGCGCTTAGCTCTCTGCATGAAAAATAATTTTATCATGATTTTGAAACTGATATGAACAAAGAAGGGAGCTTGCCCGTCCGATCCAAGACAAAATGGCTCCTCCTACTCGTCTCACTGGTCTCAGGCCGAGCCCGGCCCTTGCTCCGAAATGTGCTCTCATTTGAGTGAGTCAGAGAGAGAGAGAGAGAGAGAGAGAGAGAGAGTCAGGAAGAGAGTGTGTGTGTGAGAGAGAGAGAGTCAGGGAAGAGAATAAGTGTGTGTGTGAGAGAGAGAGAGTCAGGGAAGAGAATAAGTGTGTGTGTGAGAGAGAGAGAGTCAGGAAGAGAATAAGTGAGAGAGAGAGAGAGAGAGTCAGAGAGAGAATGAGTAAGTGAGAGAGAGAGAGAGATGGAAACGGGGTTTCACATGTCAACAAAAGTGGGTTTTCAGGTTTATGGGTCTCAATTATGAGCATGTTCCACAATTTTATTTCATGATCTTGACTTTTAAGGGAAAGTATAAAAAGTCAAATCAGATGAACTTATGAGGCCCTTAGTGGGTCCCGCCAGAACTACTCCGGTAACATTGTTTAGTTATCCCATAAGCTTGTAACATATTTTTATATAGCCAATATCTTGTTCTTGATATTTTAAAAAATATTAACTTTGAAAGAGTTGCTCTACAACTTTTTTTCACCGTTTTAAAGATATATTTTGTAAAGCTTGAAATATTATTTTTATGATCAATTTGTGTCCTTTTAAATTCCTGGTTAGAGGCACAGTTTTAGATCCTTAGCTGGTTCTCAAGATCATCAATATGAATATTTATCGACCCAATTACTCTTTAATTATTATTTCCTTGTAGATTCAAGTCCACAAAAAAGTATACATGTCATGGCAATTTCTTTATATTTTTTTTTTGTTAATATTCTCCCGTTGAACCATGAAATTGTCCAGAAAAAAGGATCGTTCCACCACTTGATTTCTATGAATAAATAAATAATGCAGAAATACATGTATTACAATGAAAATAAAAGTAATTAAAATTAAAAATTAAATAAAGAATATACAAAATTAGAAAATAATATTCCCCATTTGATAATATTTTTGATAAATTTTAATATTATTCTCCCATTGCATTGACCCATGAAAATGTCCAGACAAAGGGATCGTTCCATCACTTGATTTATGTGGAATAACTAAATAAATATAGAAATACATACGTGTATAAAAAATGAAATTTTGGATTAAACATAAATAAAAATATAAAAATAGAATAAAACATACATTTTAAAAATTTGGTGAATGCTCTGGGTCGATCAAATTAAAGATGTAGCGACTTAATGATGAATATTGGAGGTTTGATGACACGTTTGTGAAGGTCAAACTATAGGATAATATATATTATTATATATTCATATTAATATAATTGAATTCTTGAAGTCCGCGCAATTTACCGGAAAAATATTTTTTTAAAAAAAGCAGACCTTTTTTTTTTACCGTCTTGGAACGGATACTGAGATCGCATACTGGTACTAGTTAATCTTATATGTACGGTATATCTGCGAAAGTGGGCACTCGACACGTGTGGTTCCAAGTTTCCGGCTTTGCTCCATCCGTGGCGTTGAAGGAAGAGGGCTGCATCACCCCGGCAATAAACTTCTCCGGTAAGAGGAGGAGACCGTGGGGAAGCAGCGTCCACGGGGCCCCATCCCTCTCCTCTCCTCCTTCAATCATCGGAGGAAACCTAATTGCCCATCTGGGTCCGTCCTCGTCCTCGTCCTCGTCCTCGTCCCCACTCCCTTCTGGGAGACGCCATCTCCTCTCTGCGCTATTCAGTGTTTCCTTCCGAATGTGAGATCATCGTCTGTGGGAATGGAGGGGTCTTCAGTTCCTTTCCTCTTCCTCGTCCTGCTGCCGTTCCTATCTTTCCGCCCCTCCGCCGCCGCCGCTGATGGCGACGGTCTCGCCTTTGCCGGCCGCCTGCAGTCCGACGAGATGGGCTTCATCTCCGCCCTGATCACCAAGAAGGGCCTGGACTTCGCCAGGGACCTGCTGGTGGAACAGGCGGTGGACGCTCTCATCCCCCTTCACCTCCGCGACATTGAGAAGACCTTGAGTGTGCCCTTCGTGGGGAAAGTCTACGTGAAGCTGTCCAGCGTCACGCTCGACCACATCGAGATCTCCTCGTCGACCATCCAACCCGGTCCCTCCGGCGTCGCCATCGTGGCTTCGGATGCGACGGCGAATATCACCATGGAGTGGTATTATTCGTATACCACCTGGTTCTTCCCCCTGGAGATTTCGGACAGCGGGAATGCCTCCGTTCAGGTAACTGCTCCCACTTTCCCCAAGAGCTCCGATGATCCTTGAGGTTTCTCCAAGGGGGTGGTTCTATGATCGCCTAGGTTTCCATAATTGTCGGAGATCAGGGCCTCCATAATCGAGGGAAGGAAGCAATCGGGTGCCTTTTTTTTTTCTTCCTGGGGATGGAGAGGGAGTGAAAATAAAAATAAAATCACTGATGATCTTGTCTGGGTAAGATTGAAGGCATGGAAATCGGCCTCACTACGAGGATGGAGAACCAGGGGGGAACTCTGAAGCTGACGGCGGTCGAAGTAGGCTGTTCCATGGACGATCTCTCCATAACATTGGAGGGTGGGGCGTCTTGGTTATATCAAGGGTATGAGCACTTCTATGATCATACGTCTGATGCTCTTCTGTGTTTTCGACCGCCTCTTTCCGTTCTTGGTGGGTATAATTCCTCAAATTTATTTATTTAATTATTTTTATGTATGATTCTCCACTTTCTCCAGGCTACTAGATGCGTTTGAAGAACAGATAAGGGCTTCTGTGGAGACTACGATCAAGAAGAAGATCACCCAAGGCATCTCAAAGTTTGACTCATTGATGCAGAGCCTTCCAAAGGAAGTCAAAGTTGACGACATTGTTTCCTTGAATGTGACTTTCGTCAACCAGCCTATACTGGGAAACTCGTCCATCGAAGTCAACGTCAATGGCTTATTCATTGGGAATAATCAGCCTGCGGTTTCAAGGCTATTGAAAAGGAATTCTGAGGAACCAGTCTTGTGTGACGGGTTTTCACCGATGCTCGGGATCTCATTGCGTGAAGCTGTCTTCAGCTCTGCATCCGTATCATACTTCGAAGTAATCCTCTTCTATTTTGCCAGTAATTCATTTATTCCTGCAGAAAAAACACCCGTTTCTTTTTTCTAGATCAAAAGAAGAAGGAAAAAAATCCAGAAAAATGTATATATTTTTCTTTTTTTGGGTGATGTTTGGTGGGTTCTTCCAGGGTGGACAGATGCATTGGACTGTGGATAAGGTGTCTGATCAGTCCCTCTTGAACACTGCTGGATGGAGATTCATCATCCCTCAGCTGTACAAGAAGTACCCAAATGATGATATGAAGCTTAACATCGTATTAACCGGCCCACCTACCCTGAAGATCTCAAGGGAGAGGTTTGATGCTTCCATTCTCGCAGACATGACTGTTGATGTCTTGGAGGCCGATGGGGAGGTCTCTGTGGCATGCATTTCCGTGGTAAGCTTCATCAGCCCCATCTCGTTCGGTTCTTGATTTTATTTTATTTTTTCTTTGATTGGGTGTGAGAGCTTGGTGTCCTTCATAGTATTAACAGAGGAGATTAAGGATCAGGGCATTGGGTTACTTCCTGCTCTGAAGGAGTTGTCGATTATTAAGTGAAGTAATGCAGTGGCAAGGAAATCAAACGAGAAAATCGAAGAAGCTGCTGATTATGAAACAAGAGGGAAATGAACATCTAGTGGACAGGAGCTACCTGCAGTATCATCAGGGTTTGGAATGGATTTTGAGCTGATTATTTAAGAGTAAATGGAGTAGAAAAATCCACACGTGACACTAATCCTGGTTGAAAGTCCCTGACAAAGCAGATGATGTACTTGATGGTGATTTCTGGAAGACAATGAGATGTAGGCGGTGATATTATAATCCTAAGAACAGCATAATCAGTAGCCAATATGTTAGTGAAAGTAAGTAATGGATAAATAATGAGAGAGGAAATGGAGTAGAAAAATCCACACATGACGCTAATCCTGGTTGAAAATCCCTGGCAAAGCTGATGATGTACTTGATGCTGATTTCTGGAAGAAAATGAGATGTAGGTGGTGATATTATAATCCCAAGAGCAGCATAATCAGTAGCCAATATGTAGTGAAAATAAGTAAATCTCAGTTGATCTAGGGTCTGATTCGGGCCCATGTAGGAGGCCTAGAACCCCAGAGGCAATGAGAAAGAGGGGGGTTTTTCTGTGTCAGGGTTTCTTGATTAGGGTTTTGATTCTGGATTTTCTCTATGCTTCATTGATCCTCAATACAAGTAATGAAGTTACTTTGGATCTTCCATGGCCTTGGTGAGGTTTCTCTTCTTCTTTCATGTTATAAACAGGCGCATGTGGTCCTTGGTGCAGATCGTCTCCGCCTCAGGAGTTCCAGAGATTTCAGGGAATAATCTCGGTGGTAGGATAGAGATTGATGATTTCACTCTCACCTTGAAGTGGAGCAATATCGGAAACTTCCACATGTATCTAATTCAGGTACATTCTTCCTTCATTAAATTGTTTATACTCTCTTCTTTAGAGCTTGAAACCATAAAGTTCGGTCCACTGATATCATATTAGTTCATGTGCACATGAATAACATGATGCATATACGATCTCATCATTCTGAATCATAATAATAACCAATAACAATGGCGATCAAGAGGTTTAGTTCAATCATAGCTTGTGGATATTTGGCAAAATAAAAAATCACTACCAGTACAAGATAATTTTAAAAAAAATAAATCAGAACTCCATCATCCACTTAGTCTTCGTGAGGCTGTTGAACCTTTGATCTGAACTATGGAGCTCGCAACTCACTAACATGTTCTAATTGTCTTCTGGCAGGGGGTGATGCGAGTTTTCTTGAACAATGTGGTTGTCCCCTACGTGAACTCTCGTCTCCGGGTGGGATTCCCGCTGCCAATCATCCATGGGTTTACACTTCAAAATGCAAATATAATCTCTTCGGATTCTAGAATTGATGTATGTACAGACTTGGTATATACCAGCTCAGAAGGCATCTACCCCATTTAGAATTTCTCCAGAAAAAGGGTATATGTGTATATGATTCAATCTTGTCCATAGTGTATAAAGAAGGTATGACAATGTTAGTGCCACCACGACAAGAAATTTGTGTAGATTCTGAGAAAAAGATTTCTGAATACTGATTATGACGTGAGATTTATAAGGCTGAGGCCATAATTGAGCACATAGAAAATCTTGGCCAATGAATGAGTCTGGATGAATGTGACCTCGCAGGTTATCAAAGCTTGTACTTGATTCCAATTGTGACTGGCCTGTAAGTGATATAAGCCCAAGAAAGCCTTTCAAAATAAATATGATTTTTTTTTACATATGTCGTCAAAATTAACACAATTGGTGTCTAGGGTGCTAAAAAGGTTTTTTTTTTACGCTTAATAGGAGTATGAGTTATTTCAATTCAATCCAAGTAAATTAGAGGCCTAAGATGTATGAAAACATTATTCAAGTAAGAGTTGTGGACATGTTGAATATGTTAAAATTTTAATTTTTAAATTTTGTTTATTTGAAATAATTTTTTTATTAAGGGCATTTTATCTCTTTTATGACTTTGTTTTAATTAGATTTTGTTAGAGTAAGACGTCTTATATAGACTTCAGTGGAAGCAATGTTCACAATGTAAAGTAAGGTAGAAGAAAGAACAACTCACAACAAAAGTACCGACACAAAGATTTTATGTGGTTTAGAGGTTGACTTTTTATGTCTGCGAGCGACAATAAAAGTTTTACTAGATGTGAAAAATAATATAAAATAATTACTCTTTAAGAACTTAGAGAATAGATCCTTGATCTTGACCCTTCTAAGATCATAAGGAATAAATCTTTGATCTTGGCCCTCTAATACACTCACCAATTCGAGAGATCTTTCTTAAAAGCTTTCTCAAACACTTTCTTTTTATGGTGGAACAAAAGTAGAAGAAGGTTGCTCTATGTTTCTCTGAATGAGAAAAATTGACCTTCTATTTATAAACATTTCACAACCATTCTACTTCTCCTTTGCACTTTTTGATTCTTCTCTTTGCATTAAATGCAAGCATTTAATGTGACAAAAAGAAGGCAAGCCACATTAAACGAAAGATTTTAGTCTATTTAAGGTCCCTTGTAAATTTATTTATGTTAATCTCATAAAATTTATGACCTCTTTAGAGGCTTTATTTCTCTACTAGTGAATTCTAATATCTTATGTGGATTTAGGAGAATTATTTTGATCATGTAGACTTAAGTTCAAGCTCTTGTGGACTCAAGAGTTGAGGTTTCTTCATCTTGTGAACTCAAGGTGAAGGATCTTCATAGAAATCAAGTCTTTTATAGATTCAATGAAGAGATTTGAATTATGTGTCAACCCGTTCAAATCATCATTAAGTCAACATTTCCACTACATTAATATTGGATCATTATTCTTTCTAAATTTGATTGAAGCCATCACCAAAGAAAAAAGAGCCCCTCCCCTCCCCCTCTATACTAACTAGGCCAGAGTCTTACTCATCATTCAAATAATTAGAAGTAAACAAGTCTTTCCTCAAGTATATCTAGTGCCTGCTCACACAAAACAGTCTAGACACTAACGCCAACCAGGAAAGGTGGGTCTGGGGGGTGTGAACCCAGAGGCCCATCGTTTATTCATCCAGGCACCTCACCTTAGATACAGTGTCAGGGGGTTGAGGGCAGAACCTTCCCGGTGCACGTTCCAAATCCAACATTATAACCATTTCCCTACAAAATTGAGGAGTCATTGATATTTTCAAATGTTAGACAAGAGAAGAGAAAAAAGATTTATGAAAAAATATGAAGATGGAAGTGGCACTGCGTAAAAATGCGCACATTATAGTTTGGAAGAAGTGATGTTACTTAGTTCTTCATACCAGATTCATAGAGTCTGGATTCTTGTGCAAATTCGAGCTCAGAATTATTGGTTTCTATATTAAATGTTAATTATTGGGCAAGCGGGTGGTTGCACCTAAATACAGATAATAAAAGGTTCTTGGAGTTGCACCTTGCAGGCCGCTGTAAAGATGACTTCATCTCCGTCTTCCAAGAACTTGCGAGATGAACCACCAATAGAAAGTGGCTTCTGCCCGTTCCAGGTCAATTCGAGTAAGCATCCAAAAGATTCTTCATGCTGGTAGTGGTCCAAACGCAGGTAAAGTTAGTATCTAAGAGAATTCGGAAGAATTTCTTGAACGAAGCAGAACAGATGGAGAGAAAAAATAAAGCAAAGATTGTTAGTAGTTTAAGAAAATTGGAGCATACAGGTCCACTGATGGTCCCAGTACCAAGCAGATCACCGGGCCTCAAGTTGCAGCCATTGATTGTGTGGTGTGCCAGTTGTTGGTTTATGGTCCAGTATCTGATCCATAAGACAAACGCTCCAAATTAGAGTATTCATGACAAAAAATAAATAAATGAAGTATATGTTTAATCAATTTATGGGTTGCAGACAGCACACTCTGAGAATGTACAAAATCGGTACACAATATAATTCGTCTGGGTCTCGAAATGTATTCCAAAGTACGTTCCGAAGGTTGATTATATTCCAAAAGAAAGAAAAAAAATTAAAATCAAGCTTGTAGAACTCTAGAAAAAAATTAAAATCAAGCTTGTAGAACTCTAGAGAACAGATAACCCCAATTGGGAAGTTAGTTCCGGTCAATTTCATGGGATCCTTGGAAACTGCGAGTCCGAAGTCAATTTTAGAAAAGGAAATGTCTAAACCGGGTTATGCCTCATGCTTGGGAAACTAACAGAGAAACTGATCCAACTCTCTTTTCCTTGTCAATAAGGATGCAGTATGCAGTTTAATAAGTTTTAAGACGCGCCTTAAATGAAAGAATATGATAAGATAATTGAGGACAACGTAGAACATACATAGTTCAGTTATGAAATAGTTTTATTTAAAAATGGAATGATGCTTCCCACCTTTGATGTTTGCAGAAATCAAATTTACTTTGCAATAACATGATAATGATGGAATCATCTTGCCGATTAATATGGAGAATGGTTTTGGTTCACGCAATGGTACAAGATTTTACAAGGTGGGTGAAGAGTCAATAGAAGCCGCGGAGAAAAAAAAAACTAGTTAAAATGAAAAAAAATTCATTTAAACCTGTGAAGATAAACAAGAGGTTGATTTCCTTACAGGTGACTGAAATTACTTTTCGTGACAAGAGATGGATGCTCGTGTCCAGAAGGTTTGATCCATACCTTTCATAAAAATGGGAATATCATTACACATGTAAATTAGTTGTAAATGGTTAAACTTGAAGAGATGGGAAGAATACTGCCAAAAAATATGGATAATGAAGATCTGCCAAGAAGATGATAAAAATGGCTGGTCAGAAGATATATACCCATAAGATTTTATTTACATACCTCTAAGGGAATATCATAGTTGACATGTTTAGTTTCAGCCAGATAAGGTAGCGGATGGGGTTCCTGCAAGTTTAGCATATTTTCCATAAAAATAATCTGTCAAGCATTCTGTAACGAAGTTGTCAAAAAACGATTGTATATAATTTTAACGTTCACAAAGCTCAAGGAGTAGATATCCCAAGATTAAAACTACGATCCCTGTCTTTCTTGTACCTGAGATGCAAAATGATTACCTGCCTAGGCGCATCACAAGCAAAAGGTTCCAGGGCATCCAGAGTTACAATCCAAGGTGATATTGATGTACCTGAAAAAAATTGCAGTTCAGAACAAGAAACAGGCAGATGCAATACCAGAAGTAAAAGAAAAAACATGGACCATAAATTTCGACGGTACATTTTAAATTTATATATGTATATATACATATTGCTTACCGAAACTCTTTCCAAGAAAGGGCCCTAGAGGAACATATTCCCAGGCTTGAATATCTCTAGCTGCCAAAAACATATACAGTAAATTCAATTTGGAGCTAATCGGAGGTAAATGGCTGAAAATAGTAAAAAAACACTTGTTTACCGCTCCAATCATTCATTAAAACAAGCCCAAAAATATGATCTGCAGCATCATTAACGTCAATTGGATGGCCTAATTCATTTCCTGGGCCAACTATAGCAGCCTGTAAGCAGATACAAGTTTTCAACTGATTCAATTTATGCTTCCAAGATAAAAGAAAACCAACGACTGTCTAGTCAAGTTTCAACAGTCTTGAAACAAGATCACGAGGGACAAACACAAAAAACTGGCCATATCCATGCGCATGTGTAAATAAAAGTTTCTCAGGGTGTGCATTTTTTGAATTAAGTTCTTGTGCTTCAGGTCCTATAAGCAAGACACAAAAAATTCAACCATGGAAAAGACTGACCATCTCAAGCTCAAAATCCATCTTCATTGAAGGTCCAAAATATGGTGGAGAGTTAGGTGTAGGATAAGCTTGACCTCTGCCAACATAACGAAAGAGTCTCAGCTAAACTAAAAACATTACTTAGTACAAAAAAAAGGATAATGAAAAACTAGTAAAAAAAATGTCATTTTAGTGCAATTAGGGCGATTGTGCGCAAAGGTACAAAATGAGGGCTGTCCCCAAGAAAATCCCAACCTAGAATAGCCCAGAGTAGCCTTGCTCCTAAAACACAAATAAAACTGCAGTTTATGACGGAATTAAGGTGTGTACTATTTTTAATCGTGATCCTTTTTTCCAAGATAGAATGAGAAGGAAAATTATCCAACTGTCGGTGGTGTTAGTAGTTCAGCAAAAGGGAGAAAAGGATCAATGCAGCATCATAATCTTTTATCCCATTAAGAAAATGTCATTTTGAACCATAGATTTGGCAGTGTTTATTAGCCGGCTGACTCTCCAGTGATACATGCTCCACAAGGAAGTACAGAAAACCAAATCAAATGTTTTTAATACGACATTAGGAAAAAGTACAAGATATGGCATTTTTAACAGAACATTATTCTGCAGGTGGGTTTTTTTTCATCAGGGGAGAGGAGATCACCTTGGACGGGTAATATCTGTCCCCGAAATGACCACGGATGATGCACGACCATGATAAGCAATTGGCAGGTGAAACCTGGCAGAAGTTTTCCACAGTTAAGAAAAAAACGTGACAGACAGTCAGAAATTATAGATTAGTGATTGGAAGCAATTAAAACATATTACCTACCAGTTCTGCGCAATTGGATTCTCTGGGCCACGAAAAATAGTCCCACAATTCTTCGCATGATGCATTGATGAAAAGAAGTCTGTATAATCCCCTATTACCATGGGAACAAGCATTTGCACCTTGTCCTGCTTGTTCAAAAACGGTATCAGCAACACAAGAAGAAATTGAATAATAATTTCAAACCTTCAGGTATGAAATACCATTGGGAAAAGGCATTTCTCTTTCAAATCGGCATTATCACGAAGAGTTGGTTCATCAGCTGCAAATAAAGCAGCATTGTCATTTTCCCAGGTTTTCACCTCACAACAGATGGTGGTTAATTAATGTGTCGTGTTACAAACGATAAACAAAACAGTAACTCTGTGAAACTTTTAGAAACAACAGAGAATCAAGAGCTAGTTCTGCAGCTAAGTTTACTCGGCTAAGATAGTATCGATTATACTCTCAAAACACAGATTTCATCCTCAGATATGAGACCCGTACCAGTAATGCTAAAGGATCGCCGAGCTTTCCACAGTGTGTCATTATGATCAATATTAGTGTCGGAAGCCGAGGAAACTAATACAGTTTGTTATTGAAAAAAATGGAGAAACCCGAGATGTCGTGTAACAGGCGATTTTCCGTGAATAATCTTATCCACATTTTTGTGCTTTAACTTTTACGATTCAGGAACGTAATCACATTAAAGTAATTGGAGAAGAGATATCAAACATTACCGGACAATAGCTTTTGTAGGGTCGAACGGGCCTCCTTCCACGCAGGGCGTCCCATCTCCAGAAACTTGTTGAGGGAGGTCTGTCAACAGAACAACAAGATGCAATATTCTAGTTGCTTTGATCAACGACCGGGGCAAAACATAATCCAAAAACAGTGGTCTACACCTGTTCCTTGGTCTGTGGAAGAACGGAAAAGAGAGGAAATTGATAACCTGAGAGAAACATGAAGACTTCTTCAGCAGGGGCCCGTCGAAAAGTCCCGCCGCGGCGACTGCCGATAGGTCCAGAACGTAGTCACCGATGGCCACCCCGGGGCGAGGTTCCGCTTGGGAACCGCCGGCGCTCGGCCGGAAGACGCCGTAGGGCAGATTCTCCAGAGGAAAGTGGGACTCCGGCAATACTTCGACGAACGACCTGAGAGGAGCCATAATAGCCACAGCCTCCCCACGCGAAAACTGCAGAGCGACGAGCGAGAGAGAGAGAGAGAGAGCGAGAGAGAGAGCGAGAGAGAGAGAGTGAAGGAATTAAGAGAAAAAGAGGGAAACGAGGTCTCGCCCTCTGCTTCCGACACGTGACCGTAAACCACACCTACCCCCACAGTTTTTTTTGGTCTTCTTAGTGAGCATTCTATATTAAAAAATATTTTACAAATTAATCACGTTCGTTAAAGTGGGCCCCACATTTTTCTCATGAACATTGCGAATGGCCGGTGCTACTTGTCGGGTAGGCGAGAGAACGTGGGAAGACGCGCCCTCCTTTATTACCTGGCCAGGAATCATCTGCTTACCTTGTGCTTTAAAGTTCTCTGTGGACCGGCCCAAACAATCTTCTCAGTTTTGGGGCCCAAAAAATAAACCGGTTATGCGATGGTCTTCTGATTGTAGGCCAATCTCTCATCTCTCTCTCTCTCTCTCTCTCTCTCTCTCTCTCTCTCTCTCTCTTTCTCTCTCTCTCTATCTACACACACACACACACACACACACACACACACACACATATATATATTGATATATACATATATCTCTAAGGTCAGATACGGATGGAAGACGAGATAATAATATTTATTTAATATATTCGATAAATAAAAAATTAAGGTTTTTATAAGTCAAGGCTTTAAATCCGCCTAATAATTTATTTCTCCATCTCTCTCTCTAGATATATATTTAGATATAAATATATATTTCTAATGGCAACCAATGAAAAATTAGGGGCCTCTAAAATAGTAATTATCAATATTTTCTTTTCACAAGTTAAGGCTAAAAATCCACCTAAGACAATTTATTTTTCTCTCTGTCTGTCTGTCTCTCTCTCTCTCTCTAAAAACGTGTAAATACATATATGTCCATTCCTTTTTCTCTTTTTAGGTGGATAAAAATGGAAGATGGGGGGATCTTAAATACCAATAATCAAATAATTTTATGTATAAATAATAAAAACGTCTAAAAGGGATTTTTTTTCAGAATTTCATATTTTTTATTTACCTAAACATCATAAAATTCACAGATAATGCGGTATTATATGGACAAAAAATAACTGTACCAATATATATATTTTTTATTGTTAACCCATAACTGCGTCCGAGGCTCCTGGAGACCGTGGTTCGAGCCCACTCGCTCGAGCCACGGCCCAGGGGTTTGCTATATATACAGGTCCACCGAACCGCGTCGGGGGTCGAAACTTCTGTGGACTTCTATTCGGTTGATGCGTCCGTGGACTTGCCGCAAAGCTTCCTTCGCCGGGTGATGCCCGATTTCGAAGATCGGCAGCAGCTGCGCCTCACGACAGTAGGAGAGCTTCTTCTTCGCGGATTCCCGCCCCGAAGGAGGTATTTGAATCCGCGGAGCTATCTATCGGCGGCTTCGTCACTCTCATTCGGTCGCCCTTAGCTAGGGTTTGTTCTCCTCGTCTCCGCGCGTCCTGATGGCTTCTGTCTGTTTGGAGTTGCAGGGGGTATTCGGTGCTCGTTGTGTCGCGGAATGGGAGAGGACCGGGGGGCGGTCGTGGCCGTGGCGGCGGGGTCGGAGTCGAGGAAGAGAGGGAGGGCAGATGGGGAGTCCGGGGATCTCGAGAGGGTGGCTGAGATCGTGATGGTTTTGTCGGCGATGGGGCAGATAAGGGGTGGACGGGACCCCACGGCCGCGGAGAAGGCGCTGATGTGGGAGGCTAGAGAGAAGCTCGCCAAGTTCTGCGAGTCGGTGGAACTCCCTCGCCGGAAGGATCTTTTCACTAAGGAGATGGCAATGGCGGTCGTCGTAGATCATGGCCTCAATCCGCCGAAGGAAAATGTGCCCCGACCCCCGAAGTTATCGATTGCGGAGAAGGTTGCGAACACTAAAAAGAAGGTCCGAACTAAGAGTTTTGTTCTCTATTTTTTCTATCTTTATTTCCAATTTTGATTCCTCCTCAGTACCGGGAAACTCGAATATCTTGTCAATTTTCATTGGAGGAAACATGTTGCATTCCTTTGCGACATATTGTGTCAGTTGCTCACTTTTGCTCCATGAAATCATGCAGTTGTGTTGCTTGTGGGCGATAATGTTGAGGTTCGAAAAATGATAATGACATCATGCATTACCTTAAAAAAATGCTTTTACAGATTGTTATTCATCTTTTTTTATTATCCTTGGACGTTAGTTTTTAGATTCTATGTAGGTGTGTATGAGAAGAAAGATCCATTTTTAATGAGGTCTATTGATTACACGATCAAGTGATTGAGTTCATTGTTAAAGGGACCAGTATCTTTCTGTCTTTCACTTTTGTGGTTGCTGATGTTATGTCATGTTTCGCTCTTGTCCTCCCTTTCTTAGATGGAAGAAGCAAAGGAAATTGCGGTACAGTCTTCAGGGCAACCATCTCAGCTTCTGTCAGTGAGCTTCGGAGTAAAACCAGAGAGCCGAGGTTCATTGTTTCCAGGAGCTCAGAGGGTTTTTCCGGATAAACCAAGTCCTATGCCACATGGAGGCTTGCAAAATGCTTCACCCGGGGCTCCTGTTGCTGGATTAGCATCCGTACCCTCCTCACTGAAGCAGTCGCAACAAAATGAAATACGACGAGGGCTGTCCCCCATGAAACCATCGAGTACTCCTGCAGGAAACGATCTCTCTTATTTTACATTGGTGCATGTGATATACTCGCATTTTTGATAGGACGAATGGAGCAATGTTCTTTCCGTTTTGTTCTGAGTGCTATTATTGTATAGTCATTGTTTTCTTGAAAATATTTTAAGAAAGTAAGATAGTCGTTTCAGTTTGAAACGGGACATTGGGGAATGTTGCATGATTGGTGTCCTTCCCTCTGAAGATGATGTATTTTCCCGGAGAACGAATTCTTAGCGTTTGGAAACACCTAATAAATATCGGGATGCAAGTCGGTAATAAGTTGTAGCTTGCACAGTTCGTTGGAAGATAGTGAATGGTTAGAGTAATCATATGGTTCCTATAGGAACGATTGTACACCATTGTATCCCGTGCTTCATTCAGAGACACGTTACTTTTATTAAAAAACACGTTGTTTACTTATAGATTTTTACTATCATAGGCTCTCCCACGAGTTCAAACGTTGGTTGATAAAACGCTTTTCTTGCAGCATCTTCACCTGATTTGGATTCATGTTCCTTGTGTATTATGTCATAAAAAAATTTGGCCGTTTTTCTGCGTTTACAGTGTCTCGGCTACCTGAAAAGACATTAACATCTTCAGCACAAGGAACCCCTGCATCAGCAGCCTTTTCTGTCCAGACAAACAAGTCTCTGAACACAGTGGCTAAGGTTGAAGGTGCTTATGGATCCAATGGTTTTCAAACTACTGCTCATATAACCAAAGAACAGGATTCCAAGATCCTGATAGCTCATGCTCCAGGGAATCAGCTTGTTGGCCACCAGTTTTCTCAGGGAGCAAATTTGCATGATCCATCATTGTTTAACAGCCATAGTGATATTTCCAAAATGGTTTCAAGAATCTTGCCGCCAAGAGCTTTTGATCAGCCTCAGTGGACTCCTCCGTCAACTGATTATGTGAACAGACCTTTAAATTGTCAAATTTGCAAAGTCATTATCAGTGATGTGGAGAGCTTGCTTGTGTGTGATGCCTGTGAAAAAGGTGTGCACATGAGATGCCTGTTGTCGTTCAATCAGAGAATTATTCCGAAAGCTGAGTGGCACTGTCCACAGTGCTTGATTTCAAGCAATGGGAAACCCTTGCCCCCCAAATATGGTCGGGTTACTAGAAGTGTTACAACATCAAGGTCTTCGTCGAGTGCTGGTGGTGTTCAGGCGTCTGAGAAGAAAGGAAATGTGGATTCAAAGGTTAATAGTCAACAGAACTCAAATGGAAATCCTATGATGCCCAACCCATCACAGGCTTCTACTGTAGGCAATAGTCACATTGAATTAGTTACTGAGAAAAAGGTGACAAATCCAAGTGATACACATGAACTGGAATTTCCAATTACCGACAGAAGGGCCGATGAGGAGACACAGGAAACAAGTACAGCAGGTGATTCAGATATGAGGGCTGATCCAAGCAGTATATCTCCTGAAGTGCCTGATAGTAAACAGCAGCATCTGAGTACTGGACTGTTACCATGCCAAATGCAGCAACCGACTTCTGAGCATAACTTACCAACAAAGGTTGACTCAAACCATGATGATCTTTTGCAAGATTTGGAAGCTAACATGGATATAGATCCTTCATCTCAAGCGTCAAATAATCCACATATTGTCAACATCATAGAGGTGCCAGTAAATTGTGACAGATCCATAAAGCATACAGGTGATGAGTTAAAAGATTCCTCTGAGCCCGTGGAAATTCCGGTTCATGGGGAACATTCTGATGCTAGAAATGAAAACGTGGCCATTTCTGAGGACACTACTGGTGAATCCATGGGTAAAAATCCTTCAAGTCATGTGTCAAATGTTCTACAAACTACCAACTGCATAGACGCGCCAGTAAATTCTGACATATCCCGCAAACATACAGATGATGGGTTGAAAGGTTCATCTGAGCTTCTGAAATTGTCTGTTCTTGAAGGGCATTATGTTAAAGGTGAAAAGATGGTAATTTCTGAGGAAAATACCGGAGAAAACTTTGAACGAGATTTCAGTGAGCCTTCTTCCAATGGTACCCAGATTGCAGAATGGGTTGGTGACAGTGTGCAGGCTATTGAAGAGAGGTCCTACTACCACTCTTGTTCCGTCAATGGTGTGATATATAAACTGCAAGACCATGTTCTTGTTTCTTCCAATGATGGCAAACTTTTACCGTCTAAACTCCAGGTATGCATCTATTACGGGTTTACTAATTTTATTTTATATTGAAAGAATCGTATCCCATCTGAGCTTCAACTTTTCAAACTGCCATATTTGTTTTTTTTTTTTTTTTTTGACAGACTAGTGTACTTTGTTTATGGGTAACTTTGGTTTCTTACATTTCAGGCTCTTTGGGAGGACACTAGATCAGGGGCCAAGTGGGCTACAGTCCATTGCTGTTACTACCCTAATAACCTTCCTGAAAACGTTCAGAAGCCAGCTATTCCTGAAAACGACGAGGTTATTTCTGGTTCATTTCTGTTGCTATATGTTATGTCCTATATTTAAATAGCTGCACTCTTAACTGACCCATGAACCGCCATTATCCATATGAGGAATTTGGGCATATCTCCTTGCTAGCATTCATCTTGATTGCCATCTACTCTCCCTGATTCTTTAGGTTTACTATCCTTCATCAATTGGGGTTCTGTGGAAGCTAAGACGAAATCAGTGTTCCCAATCCCGTTGATTCCTTTTCAGATCGGTTTCATAATTGACTGCTGTTGGAGAAAAAAAAAGATTCAATTCACGACCATTTATAAAATATAGTTTTATGATCTTAGCCCATATGGTTTCCTCACTGACATTCAAAGCTCTTGTGCCAGAAAGTGCTTGATTGAGGTCTTTGTACTATCCTCGTTCATCTCTGATCTGGAATCACTCCTCTGAAGACTGTTTTACCTCTTATTGACGTCTCTAGATTCGGTTCTATTCCATGATTAACTAAGATTTCGGCCAACTTTTGTACAATATACAACTTTGGCAGGGGAAACTATAACTTTCACGAGAATCTAATCTCCCATAATTTCTGCTGCTTCATTCTGAGGTTGTAGTGTCTTGCATTCTCTAGAGGGCTATGCTAACACTCCTCATGAAAATTAGACCCTCTCTACCAACTATATACGTATAAATGTATATATTTATGGATTAATATAACTCACAATGATCTTCGTCTTCATCAAGCCTTAATTTCTATTGTGTTCTTCTAGCATCTTCCTGGAGAAAGAGTGTGCAGAAAGCATGCAGGCTTTCGATCATATTTATATTTATATATATATTTATATATGCTTCTGACCTAGAAAATCATTTATGGTGTGGTTCTTTTGCAGTTCTACCTTGGGATCATTAAAAAAACTATTATTTATTTATTTTTTGGTCGGTGTATTTATGCATATTCGTTTTATTTTGTTATTAATTTTGTGGTAGTAATGGGAAGGATACAATTCTAAGTATTCGGCACACTTTCGTGTTGCAGGTATACGACACCAATGTTGCCAAAGCCATCTTGGTGGAGTCGATCAGCGGGCCATGCCATGTCAGACCGTTGGGCAAGACGAGAACGGAGAGTGACCCGAGTGTGGGTTCGGATCCAGTTTTCCTCTGCAGGTACATGTTTATGGATAAGAATAATTAATTAATTAATTAATTAATTAATTATTATTGTTTTCCTGCTGGGGTTTCCCGTTGCTCAAGGCATGTTATGTTGTCCACGAATTCATCTTGCGCAGGTGGTTTTATGATGCATCAGAAGGGCTCTTCCGATCTCTTCTTCAGTAGTTGGGGCTCCTCCGCCCCTTCTCTACACCGTCCGGAGTGGTTTACTCTCCATTTTAGGTATTTTGACTCGTCTGTCTCCTCTTCCCTTTTTACTACTTTAGGGATATATTTTTACTTAATACTTTTGTTATTTAGTTCCTCTCTCTCTCTCTCTCTCTCTCTCTCTCTCTCTCTATCTATCTCTCTCTGTAATATTTGGCCGGCCCATTTACCTGCATTCAGATGTATAGAAATTCTTGTATTGTAAATTTCTTGATGTGTTTTTTATTTTATTTTATTTTTCTCTGGTCAGGTTCGTATATGAAATTTGTCGTCTCTGGGGAGGAAACGGGACGTTGGCAGGCTGCCTTTAGTCAACCCCCCTTCAGCCCCCCCACCCCCCCCTCCCCCATAAATGTGGTTTTTAAGCTCACTAGTGCCGATTGTGGTCAACGCTCCCGTCCGTCTCTTCGGGGTCAAGAGGCTTTCTTACCCCCAAAGCATTCGAGCACTGTTCAGCGTCGGAGCTAAAAAGCGCGTACTGGGGCCCCGGACTCGTTGAATCCGGTCTTCGCGTTGACTATCTCCTCTTTGGAAGATGCTCCTGCCGACTGGCTCAGATCTCCGATGAAAGAAGAGGAGCGGCCGCCGTTGGTCGCCTCATTTTTTGCCCGTGATCTACGCTTTTCTTTTTTCTTTTGAAAGTGTTAAGTTTAGAGAGAGAGAGAGAGAGAGAGAGCGAGAGAGAGCTGGTCGCTTCGGGCCTTATGAGGTATTTCCGTAAATAATTAACTTAGAGGACGACTGTGTGATCCCTTAAGACTCTCTCTCTCTCTCTCTAGGATTCCGAACGTGTTATATTTCGAACGCGGGTTTCTCGCCAAAGAGGGGGGGATCAGGTCACATTCACACCCCTAAACCGCAGTCTCCATCCACAGAGTATTCGACGATCATAGGGACCTGCTACTTCGGAAGCTATTGCAGCGCTGGGATCAGCGCAGGGAGGCCAGTACGCTCACATCACTTGGATAATATTTTGCAACAGAAGGAAGAGCAAGAGCAAGAGCAAGAGGAAGAAGACGGGATTCTTACAAGGGCGCTTATTGGATATGGCGGATTGGAAGGTGACGCACCCTTCTTGGGAGCAACCATTCTATGAACACACACCCAGATCTCCCCCCTTCCCTTAGGCGGAGAGGACGCCGACGAAGCAGAAGATGGTCGCCATCCACACCGCCATCCGCCACCATATGCCGCCGCGGCCGGCTGCGCCGGAGGCGGGGCCGGGGGCCAAGGCGGCGTCGTCGTCGTCCTTCACCGTCGCCTCCTGGGCGGTCGGCTTCTCTCTCGCCTCCGGCTGGGGCCTCACGTTGACGTGGAGCTTCAGGCCGCCGCTACAACTCTCCGGCCGGCCGCTGGTGAAGAACCGAGGGCCCTCCTCCTCGAGGGCCACCTTGTTTAGCCCGTCGGTGTACAGCCTGATGGGGTTGCTGAGGTCGCAGTTGTCGAACTCCTTCTTGCTCCCCAGCTCCACGATGCTCTCGTCTCCCGCAGAGTATGAGAACCCTTCAGAGATTTCGATCGGCATTGTTTTTTTTTATTAGGTCATCATCAATGAGCTGCTCTAACCAGGGAGAGGGAAGACTCACAGATGCTCTCGCCGACCCGGAACTCCTTGTCAGTTGACCACCCGGCGACGTCGGAGGCGACGTCCCACCCTCTGTCGCCGCCGACGACGTGGCGGCCCAGTCTGGTTTCGGCGACGCCAGGCGTCAGCTGCGATCCCACGACCAGGGCGAGAACCGCCAGCGCCACCATAGCTCGGCGGTTTCTCAGCATGCCGGCCATTATAACTCAAGTATGATCAGAGAAAACGTGATGGACAGGTTGGCGAAGGAGGAGAGAAGTGGGCTTGATTCACAGAGAAAGAGAGGGGGAGAGAGAGAGAGCGAGAGAGAGAGAGAGAGCAGGTGTAGGTCGAGCGGCGCCGCTTCCTTCTCCTCGTCTCCCGGCTGAACTGTGGACGATGGGGCTGCTACACCGGAACGGTGAGACGATTCTCTCTCTCTCTCTCTCTCCTTTCTGTCTCGTAAGCTCGAGCTTCGTAGCCGAGATCTTAGCTTCTGGAGATGGAGGGAGGCTCCCCCGGTATATATGACAGAGCCAAGCGGAGCCAAGCTGGGTGGGCAGCTGGTACTGTTCTGAGAGCCATCGCTGGCGAGGCAGCTGGAGGAAGCAATCATTTTCTCTCTAAAGTCGCGGGGACTGTTGGCCAAAGTGTGGGTGCAGGAGAGGAGGGAGAGGCCCTGATTGGGCTATCTCCACGAGTTTGAAGCTCAGACAGCTACCTCTCTTGTCCGCAAAGGGCCTGTCGACGAATGGCGGGGCGGGGGGGGAAGACTCCATGGCCGGCGATCGCTGTCGGAGGAAGCTCACGCGTGAATGATGCGTTCGTACATGAGAAGAGCTCGCCGCGAGCCTTCGACGGGTAGCCATCTGGCTGTATGGATCGCTTTCATACGGGAGACGGAGGCGTATCCTACAATCTCTTACATGGGAAAAATAATGCAACAATTCACCGGTACGATGACGTTCAGCCAAATCTTCACCTTATTATCTCGCGTTTACAAAAGTCAAAAGCTTCCTGATCGTATGATTATGGGTTTCCTTGAGAAACGATATGATTTCTACGGACGAAGATGTGTTAACCAACGACCTCTTTAATGAGAAAAATGATTCACGGCGATATGATTAATGGGTTCCTATAAATCACTGATTTCTGGGGCAGCTTTACGACCATCTTGATGAGATTGAGAAAAATAATTCACGAGTACGATGAGATTCACCATAAAATTAGGCTGATTTTCTCACCGTTTATATAGTCCTCGGGGTATTGAGATCATCTTCACGTGAGGCGGAAAATTATACGAAAACCGAATTGAGAAAACTCAGAAGATATTTAGTTACGGTGACTAAATAATGGAATAAATGAGGGCATAGAATGGAAAACTCAGGAGACGAAGTGTTCCAAAGAGAAACCAATTCTGCTCCAATCAATCCCTTTCGAACTTTACTTAGTCTTTACGTAGGATATATTTTAATGTGGCACATGAGATGAGCGTTTGCTTCTGCAGCCATCTTTTGGGGATGGAAATTCTCGTTTAAACTAATCACTGGAATCTGTACTTTGTAAATAGGCATTATATTAAACACTTGATAGTTAGAAAATGCGAGAAAAATATAAATGAATATTCAAAATAACGAAGCAGTTGGGTAGGAATTATCTCCTCAACAAAAGGGTTTATTTCTCTCTTACGTTTCAACATAAATTGGGCAACCTTTCGATTCTTGTCACTTTAATTCAAACAATTCAGTAAAAAAAATAATTAGGGTTATATATTCAATTTTGATTAAAATTAGTATCGTCGATGCCTCAATGGGTCCGATTAATCTCTTCTTACTTCCAACCTGGGAGATAAATACTGAAGATGAGGTCAACTCAGAGAGGGCCGACCCGGTTGACTCCGCAACAATCTTGGAACGATCTCTTTTCGTGATGTCTTGCGGCTACATAACGTTCGATTCTCAACGGCCGGTGTCAAGAAGGCCTTTGAGACGCCAAGAACTACCTGTGATTGCACTGTCTATAGCTCTATTCATGGTAGAAACCATTAGATTATGAGGGATGAATGATAGAAAATCCCCAGGTAACGTTGCAGATGGCTTCATCGGCCGTCCACAAGGATCAGGAGAGAGGGTATGATTGAGAATTCCATAATCTTGCAAGCCCATGAAGATATTTTGAATCAAATCAACTCCCTGGTCCGATTCTTGTGGGTCAGTCAATTCCCCTCCCTTTAATGGAAATATCAAGCTCGACGAGGATTGAGTTCTTCCCAGACTTACCCGTTATGGGCATCCCCATAACTTTCTTTTTGTCGGCGATTGAGTTGGCGAAGACACGTTGGTGGTAGGAACGAAGAAACGACGGAGATGGGAACAGCGGCTTAAGCGATAAGGTGGGGAGATTCTAGGTCTTCCTAGTTGACCCGGATGGGTTGGGGCGCAGCAGTTGACTAGACATGTTGTGGGTAAGACACTGTTTCGGTGCAGGTTGGGAGAATCTGACTGGCCCAAGGATGACGGAGGTCAAAGGTGGGGAAGTCACGATCTTAATCCTGAAGAACAACATGAATTGGGAGTTTTTTGTTTAAAAATTGCTTCAGAAAATCGAAAATTTCGCACAAAAATTACGGATGGATCGTTGCTCGACGCTGAAATGGTCCTCGAAGTCGTTAGCGGTAGATGTACTGGATGTCGGCATTTTCTCTCAGCCATTCCAGAACCTTTGCTCCCTCTAGGATTTCCTGCACCTGAAATATTTAACGGGAAAATAACAAGATATTTTATCATTCAAAATAATAAATAAATAAAATAAAAATTTAAGGGTTTTTTTCGATCAACAGACCCAGGAAAATTTCATTTATCACTAATTCTAGAGAAATAAAAAAATCAGAACGGAATAGAGGTCCAAACCTGTTGCTTGACGCGCTCCTCATCGTATTCTTGGTTGTGCCGTTTGAATTCTGCCACGGAGTTCTCAACTTCCTTCACCAGATCCTCCGTTGAAAGCTGCAACGAAGGTTTGGGGGAGGGGGTCAGTTGACCTGTGGTGGTGTTCATATACTTCAACCGTTGACATTCTGTTTTTTCAGTTCTGCGGCTGATGAGACATTCGGCACATATATATTTTCATATAAATATGTCAAGACATAAAGAGCCTAGGATATAATCTGGGGATCATATAGATTGGGGAAATTCACAAAATGAGGCGACTTTATATTCACGTCTAAATGAAACTTATTATGAAACATATTACTGAACTCGGAGCTAAAGCAAGATAGGTAGGAATATGGAAAGTTTGAGAATAAATAATTCAGAGACCTAATTCTTTGCATCCATGAATGCAGAAATGCCAAAATTGGCAAACTATTACCGTTGACTAGGAAAGGGATTGAGCTGCACTGAATGCATGATCGGGACACACATTTTCCTTGTCTATGTGTACTTGATCTTATTACCGTTGACTAGGAAAGGGAAACTGAATGGCAGCTGGATCAGGCTACTCTGTAAAATAATTTCAAATTTCTTTTATTGAACATCAGCACTGATCCCAAAGAGACCCGCCAATTCTATTCAAGTCAAAGGTTTTACAGAAAAAATGACTAAAAACGGTAACTTTGGGTCATTAAACGATGAATGATGCATTTGGCAGGAACATTAGCTCATTCAATTCTAACAACATGTCAGACTTATGAATAGACGTAGGAATGAATTAAACGGACGGTCAGGGACCAGAAAAAGCTTCTACTCAACAAGCAAAAAAAAAATTCACCTGCAGATTCTCGCGCTTGAAGACCTCTCCAATGGCTAACATCTGTTTGATAACATTTTCAATCTTTTCCTTCTGACTTTCCAGGTAATCTTTTACAGCCTTCTCGCTTGAAAGATAGGACAACTGATTTTCATCTAGCTTTCGGCTTGCCTGTGTTGAAAGTGACATTAAATTCATAAAGTGTGAAGCTTTGGATAAGCTTACAATGTCTACAGATTTTCTACCTGTAGCTGTAAAAGATGAGCTCCATAAAGCTCTCTCCCTTGTTCTTCAAACAAGGACTGTGGAATATCGACCTCAATGATCTGAGACATTAAGATACACACAGGATAGAGCAGCATAAGTGGAATTAGGAGGGAAGAAAATAAGTGGCTGTTTAGGGAAGAGCAAATTCAGAAAATAAAATGAGATTTTTTTTTTAATGGAAAACAGAGAGACCACGTCAACACAACAGTCCTCAGATCATGGGATGGCCATCAAGGAATTAAAATTCGGGATCCAGAAAAATGGTTGACTTCGAAACAGAGGGAGACGAAAACAGCAAAAGAGTTGGAACACTAAAATTCACGTCAGCAACCTAAAAACAATGATAATGATGACATATTGGTTCATGTCGATCAACTTAAAAGTGAATACAGGTTCAATTCAAAAGAGAAGATAAAACAGCCATTAAAGATAAGGACAACTATTCATCCCTAAATAAAGAGGTAATGAGTTCGAAATAATCCTAGGCTGAGATGACGGCAAGCCATTATCTCGAAATTCGTATCGGTACCACACTCAAAGAAACGGAAGAAACCACAATCTTATATAAATAGTTCCATCAATCTCAAGTTCAGATCACTCAAAAATTCTTGCCTCACTCAATCAACAGACGCAAAGGAAAAATATCTTGGAAAATTGTCGAATCACCTTGGATAATTGATCTAGAATTGCATTATCTGTTGCCTGCTCCTTAGCATTCTGTTCCACCTCTCTACACCTCTCCAATATTGTTTCTTTAACCTGTCCAACGTATCCATAAGGAATCTTTTCAAGGGAACGATTGATGAATATTCATAAAAAGGGTAGAATTCATCCCAGTTAACTACATAACACGACAACCATTTCGAAAAAAAAAAAAAACTAAGAGAGTGAAAGATACTATGTTCGCTTGATAAGTATCCTTCTAACTATTGCCTAGCATGCCAGATGGAGAAACCTGTTCCACTGTAGTGCAACCAGGGAGTAGCTTTTCAGCAAGCGAATCATCCAGTGCCGGAAAATCTCTGTAGAAGTGTTCTTTGCATACAACCTAGGAAAAAAACGTAACAAAGTTGGAGACCAAATGCTAAATACGGGCAAACCATACGAAAAAAGTTTCAAAATTGAAGAACATAAAAAATTGAAAAAAGTCAGCATGTTGGTATCAAAGCGAGCAGACATCTCCGACCTAAATTATGTATATGCGAGGTTTGTCTTATTTTAGCAAGAATGTATGTACAGTGCGATCAAATATCAGTTTTTACTACTTATCACCCTGCCATTCGCACTGAAAAATGAATAATACTCATTTCAACAGCACGCGCTCTGGGCATGAATATTTCTTCACTGGAATCTGATGTTCCGGAAGGACACTGAAAATTCACTTGATTGAAAAAGTGCTGCCTCTTGCATAGTCCCAAGTGAAAATTATTTTCCTTTTACAAGCATGAAGTTGGATGGATAAACTGTGAAAATCGTACAGATCGGTGGGTATCCAACGCCATGATCACCTCTCTTTATCATGCCATTCAACTAGCCAGAAATGATGACATGATCTTGTAATCCAATGTCTGCATGTCCCATTTAGCATATGTATGGCGTCAAAGAGTAGGTACCAGCACACTCCTCTAGATGCCAGACTCATGAAGATTTATATCTGTTCAGCAGAAAAGAGTTGCATATGCCTTCTGACATTGGGAGAAGATTTTCCTGTGTGGCCACAATAGAGGGTTGCACAGCATATAAGAACAACATACCGTGAAACGTGCACAGACACTTCGGAGATGTTCTTGTTCCCATGATTCTGGGAATGTAAGCAGAAATGATTTTGTTTCGCCTTGTCTTATCCCCTTTATTGAATCAATGAATCCTGGCAAAAGGTTATCACATTCCTCTGTATCCAAATGGAATCCTGTGAAAAGGAAAAAAAGATAAGAACCTGAATTGCAAAATTATCTCAGTTATCTATCACATGCTGGACATTGGACAACCAATCAATCACATGAACAGTGAATTTGGAGTCATTGGACAACCAATAGCACCTTAATCAAAGCCATTCAATCGTAAACCATGAATAGCTATGACAAAAAATACTTCTTGGGTTACATGAAAATTTGGGGTATTGGGTTACCAAGCCCTTGTAATTATTCTGAATAAGGAAAAGGCCATTATTTTTTCGGAATCTAGGGATAAACTCTCATAATATAGGTAATTCTAAACAAGTCCCACTGTCAACTACCATCATCACACTCCTCAGGTCCTATATTTTAACAGTGTTCAAACTATATAAGAAACATACCCACCCTTGAGTAAAACCTTAACACCTACCTTCTCCTTACTCCGTCTCCCCAGGTAATGCCTAATAGAATATGTGCTACCCAGAAGGTAAGTCCAGGAGGACAATCATCTTATCCCTCCAAGTCAGGTAGGAGGGGTGTCATAGCCAGGCAGGTCCAATTGAGAGGACAGTTGGCCTCATACCCAAGTCAAAGGGGGATAAACAGGCAGTCTTTGTCAAGTCAGGTTCTCAGAGTTAGACAACGTGATGTAGCCCAAAAAACTGCTATCAAATGAGGAATGGAAGATTTTTGACCCAGGTGGAGGAACTAATAAGATCTGTGTCGAAAAGGCTAAAATGTAATAGAATCAAGTGTAACGAAATTTTAGACCAACTCAAGCGAATCAGAGACTCAAGAGAAGTGAAGACTCTATTTCGTTCAAATTCAGCTTCAAATGGCCCACTAAGAGATTTGGTCACATGTTTAATGAGCCTAAATCTTAAATTCTCACATCTTATTCATGTAAAATAATCCCCCTATTCTATTTAGGGCATTCCTATTTCTTAGGGGCCTTCTAACAGAATCCTCTTTTTTCATAGGAAAGTTTAATTTGTTTTTTTCCTTATTTTCTAAAATCATAATAGATTTCTCCCTTTATAGGTTAGTTATAACTAATTTTCGACCTCCAAATAGAGCCCCCCTTGTAGCCCCAAGGAGGCATGTTTTTATCAATCAATTTCGAGTTTCCTTCTTTTTTAGAGGTTCTCTCCTTCTACTGGTAGATTCTGATATCCTTGTGGATTTAGGGAGCCATTTTCAATCCTGTGGACTCAGGATCAACCCCTTGTGGACTCAAGGGCCGAAATCTCTTTGTTCTGTGGATTCAGGGCAATGAGTTTTTCAACTAAGAGACATTCCTTTTAGATTCAAGGTCGTGATTTTACTTCTAGAATACACAGCCAAAGCTGAAATGTGATCAAGTTATCAATTCTTCAAATTTCTGCTGCGTCAAGATGGATGTGCTTGTAGCACTTTGGGGGGATGGTCAGGCTTGGTACATTTCCAGGTGTACAAGAGGGTTGCACATGGTGGGACTGGAAGGCCTGGTTGGGCATGGCCCTGGCCTGCACCCCAAGTGAGTGCGATGAGTTTGGGCCCTGTCTTTGACACAAACTTTGACGGACAGTTTGGGTCTTTCTCCAGACCCTTTCTAGTTGGGTCAACCTAGATCTCTTTCAGGTCTGTTGAGGGCCGGCCCAGGAGGTAGGAAGTTCTATAAAGGGTATTTTAATCTTTATTGAAAAATCCAATGGGATGTTGCTAATAGTAAGAGAAAATTATGGGGACATTTGACTGTGTAAATTGGAAGTTTTCATGGACTTGCTTCTAGAAAAGTAAAAGCTCATGGAGGTTTATTACTAAATCCAACAACAATGGGAGCTTTTCCAAATTTCAGATTCTTTGGGGGTTTAAACGAGATAAGCAAAATATTCAATGTATACTGTTACCTTAGCCTTTTGTAAATTACAGAAGTAGCAACCACAAAGCAGAAATGATGCAACATTGGTAGTAAACAAGTAGTATGTATGCATGATTATAAATAACATGAAATACACACTATTTTTTTCCTGTCAGTATCTAAAATTTAAATTAATCTCCACATGTAGAAGAGTAATCATAAAGAATGTGTTCTGAAAATTACGCAGGAAAGCAATGCATGGTCCCTAATCTTTAAAACAGAGAGCAGAAGTGTTGGGAAAACTCTAAAATGCACAGACTGATAAGTAGCCAGGTGGACCTTTTGTCTCTGCAGATGGAATCTTTTCACCTTCAGATTCATCTTCTTTGACTGTTGTTGCAAATATATCAATGACGACAAGGTCACCAACCTGGAAATTTTCAAATTATAACTAAAGGTTCAAACCTTTTTAAGTAAATAATTCCTATAATATGTGACTTTGAAATATCATATCATTCTATTAAAGACGTTTGTGCTGTAGTCCTCTATCAGTGGAATGCCAAAGAATAAGAAGACACCTGTAGTCCTCTATCAGTTACTATTTTCAAGGCTCCCAGGGACTTCTGTCGGCGTCTTAACTCCCCCTCAGCAGCAGTTTCAGCTGTTATGGCATTGTCTATTTCAACGACAATTTTTAAGTCCTTGTATCCATTCTCAGATGTCCATCTGACCTCAGGAGCGATATCAACGAGAACATCATATCTATAACAAGAAGAGAAGAAGACCAACGAACATCATATAAGCTTGGAACACTCCTGAAAAAGTATTCAAATATTCAGTAGGAAGTCTTAAAATCTTCTACGTAATGAAGTACAATTTCAGGAGTGATAGACTGCGAAAGGATGGCTGAATGAAACATTCAAGATCCAGGCATATACTGCATGGTCGAGACATTTGACTTCAAAAGGGTACAGGATGCAGTCACTTCTATCTAAATCATTACTATCTAGTTTTGGACGCTCAAGTATTACATTTGGTTGACAGTGCAAAGGAGGGTGTATGATTGGTAAACATACTCGTCATGCAGAACGATTAACCCACAAAATACAGATAGGGGTATGGGGATAAAATTGGGATAGTGAGGACAGATCATACTTCAGTCTACAAGTCATTCAATCTCAGGAGGAAGGATTATACATGGTACAACTTGTCATATATGAGGTTCGTCTTTGGAGATGATCTTGATGCAGGTGGGGCAAAGAAAGGGGCAGGGCGGCTGGTCAGGGCCTTGTCTTCTTTCGAAGCTTTTGTCCAATAGAGCGAGGGAACTGGGGTGGGGGCGTTTACTTTCAAATGACAAGCGCCTAGGATTTCACATGAGTAACTACATCAAAGTGACCAGGTCACTATATGCCTGACATGGGGACCCCCTGCTGGATATGTGAAAATTAGGAGGAATCCTAGTTTTTTTTTTTCCTTCGGATAGTTTTGATGAACATATTTTCCCCGCTGTCAATGGAACATAACGGAAATAACACCCTGAGAGATGGAAAAAATTACATATCACACCACCAGTGAGAAGTATGGTACACCTGTGGATGTGAAGAGGCAATATTCTGTCTTCAGGACAAAGATATGCCCAAAATTTCTGTCATGTCTGGCCTAGCATGTATTAAACTAAAAAAATGGTGTTGGACAATCAAGAAAAAGGACCCAAACTAAATAGAAGCTAGGATTTGAGGACTGTCATTAAACTAAAACAAGCTCAAGGAACTGAAATCGAGGTCAAGATTCCATGATATGAATTTCTATCATGGATGAATTATTGATAAAAATCCTAATGCCAACAAAACGGATACAATAGAAAATAATAGAAAAAAAAATTGATGCCTAAGACAAAAAATGTGAGTTTTGCTGGAGTTTGCATGGGAAAAACTGAAGCATAAGGGAATGAACACCTGAAAAAATCTTGAAGAGAAAAACTCTCATCCATCTCAGAGAACTTAGTATCAATCCGAATGGAGTCCTTCAATGCCCTTCCTTTCACCTAACACACAACTGTTAGAAATTCCATGAAAAACAGCTTCTATACTTCTAGCAGCAACCGTTTGGAAGTGATATAAACTAGAAATAAGCAGACCATAATGCTTTATTCTAAGTCAACAAATATTTCAGTAATGGATAACTGGTCCATTTCGGTCAATTTTAATAAAAGTGGAAGAGAAAATTAGAGAAAAGATTATCAAGAAATACAATGTTTGCAGTCTTTTGATTTAACACGAATGAGTTCTGTACATAAAAGTGTTAGCAGCTTTAAAACAAGTCTAAAATATAGAATAATGCCTATTCGGACTTACCTTGGAAGTGGCATTTGGAAGGGTCTTCTTCAGAATCGCTTCAATAGTTGTGTTTTGGATTTGCTGTTTCCCGATGTAGTTTACGAGAATATTTTCTGGAATGTTCTTTCCAGGACGGAATCCAGGAATCTGAAAGGTAAAAGTAATTTGATGTTTTCTGTGCTGTTCTCTTTAGATGGCAAGCATAACTAAAGTAGAGGAAATGATTGGACACTGTGGCATGAAAACTAACTAAAAGATTACGACAGGGTGAGTCTGGAAAAGTGAAATATTGTTAGTAGTCTAGGCTTATAACAGTCGGTTTATCATAAAGAATCAGATGAACTGACAAGATACGTTCTAGTTTATTGCATAAATAGAAAAAAGTAAAAATGTGTTACAGATTGAATTTTAATAATTTATATTGCATTTTGATAATTTGGAAGGGAGGCATCTACAGAAAAGAACTAGAAAGCTAAAATTTGTGAATGAAGAAAAAAAGTAATTATTTTTAACACTAGATAAAGGTTAAAAAAGAGGAGAAAAGAGGATAAAATAAATAAGTAATTGAATATTCATATATTGTGATTAGTATGGACCATGAAAATATCGTCAACAATCACACAACTTAGTATAAAATCTCAACGCAGGAATATACCTTTACACGTTTTGAAAACTCCCCTAAAACTTTTCTGTAGCATTCCTCTGATATAGCAGGAGGAACTTCAACACTGAGTTTAACCTACAGAGGCAAACAAGAAAAACAAAGAAAGGAGATATCAAATCTTAGACTGTTAAACAGGAAATCCATGAGCAGTGATGACTGACACATAAAACTCAACAATTTGTCCCTATGCATTGAAGAACTGATAAAAGAAGTAAATTCGTGAACACTATATATCACAATGATTCTTGACGAGAAATTTTGTAGAAAAAATGTAAAATTTCACCTTCTGGAGAAGACAATATTTTTTCCATGCTACTGCAGAATTATGATGTATTCTTCTTTTAAAACGAAGGAACCAACTGTTATTCATTTTTTTGTCCCAAGCAGCCATGTGTAAAGTGAAAGAAGTAGAAAACCGTAGAAAACCGTTAAAAAGAATTTTATTTTCATAAAAAGACAGATTTAGTGTTCAGAAAATTATCTTAACATTCATTTGGTATGCCATGTTTTCTGATTTAACCTTGTGCAAAGTCGAAACATGGCCTTTTTACATATTGCGAGAAAAGAAGTAGACAAGAAAAAATGGCTTTACCAAAAAAATCATTCTGTTCCTAATGCTAGCACCTATTGACATCTATCAGTTGGTTATTCACACATCTATTCCCATGTCCTTTACACCTGGTCTCTCTTTCTCTCTCGCATATGCATGGGTTGTAGAGGATAAATATGTTGAAGCAATAATGGTTACTTTCTCTGTCAGAAAGTTTCGTTTACTAGATGGGTTAATCTCGCTGTTCCACTATTTCCACCGATATCTTGTTAGAATTTACCAACGAAGCTAAATGCCAAGAGAAAATGAGCATTTATCCGTCAGTTTGAGCGCTCAAAATTGTCGAAAGTGCATATAACGAAACTACGTTGGTGGAACTCTGTTACAGGGGCAAAGCTATTAAGTTTCAAATTATAAGCGAATCCACACGTCAAATCCAAATTTTTTGACAAAATTCCTGCCTTTTCGAGGCTCATTTCCCAGTTTTTAACTCAAACGTCACCATTCGGTTATTTCCCAGTTTCCATCTATAAGTGATAAACTTGAGAAGAGAAATAATTGAGGCGTATATGGAAAAACGGATACAGTTATCAAGCAAAAACGAGAGTAGGCTATATACCACAGCAATGGGGGGACCGTTCTACAGGACCCCATGAAAAATTCATGAAGAAATTGGATGAAACCAGACCTAAGTGAAAATTCCAGACGTCAAACCAGAATGTGAGCATAGAAGGACCAGGGTTGGTCGGCGTACTCACACTCGAGTGCGGCAATTTGGTTTCGGTGACGAGGACATCCACCGGGAACTGTTCCGTCTCCGCTTGCTTCAGGGTGGCGGCACCAGCAGAGACAGTCAGACGGCAAGTATTCTGGCGAGGCACCGAGGTGAAGCAAGGGAATAATTGGCGAGACGACCCGAGCTTCAGGGAACCTGCGAGCGGCTTCACTGGGAAGAGAAACTCCGAAGGAGTCGCCGCGGCGGAAAGTGATCGGAAATGGAGCACCGAGCCGAACGTCCTCGCCATCTGTGCAGGCGATCTCCTGCCTGCAAGCGAGAAAGAAGGATAGGGGAGGGAAAGAGTGGCGGAGTCTTCTAATCCGTCGGGGGAGGAGAAGATATTTTCCCCCGGGGATTTTTGGTTCAAAGCGCAAAAAAGCCAAACGGTCACTTCTCCCGGTCGCCGGCCGGGCAAAGCGCTTCAGTAGTAATTGACTGAAATACCCTCCCAGTTTTCTTGATCATCTTCCTCTGTTCGCACCATTCCGCTGGTCGCTTGGTAAGAGGTGGAAAATCAGGTTTGATTCAGTAGCTCCAGTAGAAATCCACCTCCACCCCCCACACCAGACGGCCGTCCCACTTCCACAGCGCAATGCCCCCAATCCGCAGGGAGTTGCCTGGCCTGGGGCGGGGTCGGGAATGGCGGCGCGGAACGAAGGGGGTTGCCCGTTGCGGCCGGCGGCAGTCGACTGTGCGGTAATCGGCGGGTCCTACCGGCGAATTTTCTTTCTCCTGACATCCGCAGGGTCGGGAGTGGGTGGGAGCTGTCGCTGGCCACCCGTTCTCGTGGGGTTGGCTTCAGGGGGACAGAATGGTTCTTCTGCGAACGATCCCTGCTACATCCATGGAATAGATTCTTAGCAGCGTCCGTTGACCTCCGGAGAACGGAGGAGTCGAGAACGGCGAGATTCTCTTTCAAGATCTCCTGAGATTAGGAGGTGAGCGGGGGAAGGACGGGATGGCTGGATCTGTTCTGACGTATGTTGTGAGAAGAATCGGCGATTTCATCATCGAAGAAGCTATCTTCCTGAGGGATGTGAAGGAGGAAGTGGATCGGCTCCACGCTGAACTCCGGCGGATGGAGTGCTTCCTGGAAGATGCGGACGAAAAGCGGGAGCAGGACAAAAAGGGTGGGGAACTGGGTGAGGGACGTGAGGGAAGTGGCTTATCAAGCTGAGGACCTCATCGAGTCCATCCTGAAGGTCAAGATGAGGCGACAGTGGAGGAGGGGGTACAACGTCAGATCCATGCTTTGCGCTTGCGTCCCCTGCGAGCTGATCACACGCAGCAATCGGCACAGATATCCAACTGCTGAGGGTGAGGATTGACGACATCAAGGAGAGCAGAAGCACATACGGAATCAAGGAGCTCGGCGCTGATGGCGGGAAGAGGAGCTACGTCGATAAGCAAGTACAACGTCGGCGGCGGGTGAATCTCCACACCTCCGACTCTGATGTGGTCGGCATGGAGGACGAGAAGAGGACCGTCCTGAAGCTTCTGTTTTGCGAGAGTGTGAAGCGGCGATCCGTCGTCTCCATTGTTGGGATGGGAGGCCTTGGGAAGACTACCCTTGCGAAGAAAGTCTACAAGGAGCCCCAGATTACATGCCACTTCGATTTCTCTGCCTGGATCGATGTGTTCCAGCAGTACAACGACAAGGAGCTTCTTGTGGACTTGGTACATCAGGTCTCGGGGCTTGGAAGACGGAACTTGAGGGGGATGGGGATGGAGGAGCTGGGGGAGAAGCTGGACCAGTCACTAAAGGCGAAGACATATTTGGTCGTCATGGATGATGTGTGGGACAACGAGGTTTGGAGAATTGTTGGCCCGCATCTCCCAGATGTTGGGAACGGAAGCAGGGTGCTGATCACAACCCGCTCCCTTGACGTCGCTGGATCTGCTGACCCTCTACCCCACCCCACGAGCTGCGGTTCCTGAACGAGGAAGAGAGCTGGGAGCTCTTCTTGAAGAAGGCATTCCCATATGAAGATGCCGGAAGAGTCTGCTCGGTGAATCTTGAGCAGATCGGAAAGCAGATGGCCGGGAAATGTGGGGGCTCGCCCCTGGCGCTGCTGGTGCTTGGCGGTCTGCTTTCGAAGCAGGAGAGGTCAGTCATCGTATGGAATAGGATAGCGGAGACCATCATCTGGCAGCACGACGAGGAAGGCCAACTATGCATGAAAATCCTGGCGCTGAGCTACGCGGACTTGCCTCGCCACCTCAAGTGGTCCTTCCTCTATTTCGGCGTCTTGCCTCAGGACTTCGAGATCGAGGTGCAGAAGCTGATCAGACTGTGGATCGCGGAGGGTTTCGTTGAGGACAGAGAGGATGCAACGTTGGAGGAATCAGCAGAGCAGTACCTGGAGGAGCTCGTCCAGAGGTGCCTAGTTCATGTTGTGGTATCGTCAGACACCGGCTCTAAAAAATGCCGCATCCATGATCTCCTCCGCGAGTTTTCAATTTCAGAGGCCAAGGAGATCAGCTTCTTCAACTGCCACAGGAACGTGCAGGACTCCGGCCTTCAGTATTCCCCACTCCGTCGCCTGTCCCTTCACCAGGGAGCAGGCAAGTACGTCTCCCAGCGCCATTCCACACCGAGACTGCGGACCTTGCTGGGTTTCAACTTTGAATGGTCGCCCGTGGATTTCTCTTTGAGCGGGCTGAAAATGATCAGAGTGATCGACTTGGAAGGGGCGCCAATCAGGGCATTGCCGAAGTAAGTTGGGGACTTTATCAATCTGCGATACCTGGGCTTGAGGAGAACGGGGATAAGATCCCTCCTCGCATCAGTTGGGAAGCTATCTCACTTACAGTTTCTGGATACCATGGGGACGTCGATCACGCGAATGACCAGCGCTGTGTGGAGGATCAAGGCCCTCCGGCAAGTCCTTATTCCTCACGCAGTAGAACCACTGATGAACCAGGGGAGCTTGTGCAGCTTGCGGGTTCTAGAGACAGCCTGGGCCGGCGACTGGATAAATAGCTGCTTACCCAGCCTGACGAATCTCCAGAGTCTGCGAATAAGGGGCGTTCGAGGTGCTCATTACAAGGCTCTCTCTGTGTCATTGCGAACGTTCTCACGCCTCACCCCTTGGAGCTGGGAGGTATATTGATCCCTGAGATCTGGCTGAGGCTGTCCAGCCTCGGAAATCTTCACACACTGGTCTTGTCCGGGCTGGTGAAAAGCCCGCACCAATCCCAGATTATCAGCTACCAGTGGCCTTCCAATCTCTCCAAGCTCACGCTGAAGGACACTGAATTGGATCGGGATCCATTGCCCTCGCTGGGTATGCTCTCTGACCTCCGAATTCCGTTATTGATGAATTCTTACCGGGGGACGGAGATGGCCTGCCCTCACGATGGCTTCCCCAAGCTGCAAACGATGGTCCTTAACCACCTGGAAGAGTTGAACCAATGGACAGTGGAGGATGGGGCGATGCTCTGCCTCAGGACGCTGATCATCGATGGCTGCAAGGAGTTGAAGATGCTTCCACAAGGGTTGACGGGCTTAGCTAGTCTGAAAGAGTTCACCCTGATGAACATGACCGACGAACTCTATTCTAGGGTTAAGAAAGGAGAGGGAGACGATTGGGAGAAAATCCGGCACATACCCTTAATCACTGTCAACTTTGATAGGATAACATGAAGTGCGTGAATTCTCAGGCAAGTGGCAACTGATCTCTTCCCTATTTTGAGTATTCATCTGTTGTTACTCATACTTTCTAATCAATTCAGAAGTATTTTTCTTCGATCTGCAGTAACTGGTATGAATAATCCATTCCTCGCTGCTGAACGTTCCCGATGATGACCACGTCGCTGGGCTCCTCGTTCTCGGCGAATGCCGGGCAAACCTGAGCTTCCTCAACGGTGGTGAGCACCCCCGTCGGCTCCAAAGGCACCTTGGCGCCGTCGTAGTTGAGGGTGATCGCCGGAACTGAGACGTTCTTCAGGCTGCTCAGGTCGTAGCAGGTGTCCAGCAGGTCGGCGGGGTCCGCCTGCGGGTACTGTGCCATGGCTCCGCGGAAGGCCGAGCGGAGGGCGCTGTACGCCGGCGGCGGCAGGCGTGTGATGATGGTGCCGGACTGGAAGACCGTCGGCGCCACTGGGATGGGATGCTCGGCGGTGCTGATCCCAATCAGGTGGAGAAAGTACATGGTCGGGTTCAAGTCGGTCTTTTTTCATTACAACCTTGGAAAAAGAGTTTTAAAAGGGTTCTAAATAGTACCCTGTTAAGGCTCACTCATGCTTAATAATTTGAGAGATAGAGATAGAAATATAGATAGATAGATATTTAGATAGATGGAGAGAGAGAGAGAGAGAGAGAGAGAGAGAGAGAGAGAGAGTATCATGTGAACCATTGTAAAGACATGGGTCCTACACTCTAGAGTCAACCTAAACTGTACATGAAATTAGGCCGGCAATATTAAAATCATTTTAATAATATAGGTTGGACTTCTGGACCATTTTTCCCTTGAACAGTAATATAATTTCAGTATTTTTAAAAATTAGTATTAATTCAATGCCTTGAGGGTTTTTTGAGAGATTTGTTACATTTGACTCAATTAGAAAGATTTCTGATAGTTACTCACATGTTGATGTGGGTGAAGTTAGCTGATATAGAAAGTTAGGTATTTTAAAACTTGAACTTATGATAATAACTATTTTTCTTTGCCTAAACTTTTATATTTATACTCATATAGTCTTAATTTAGTTCATGTGACAAAAAATAAATGGTAAGTGAAATTCCTTAATATTCAATAGTCAAGATTATGAATTAAATCATTCTACATAATGTATGCTTACTAAAATGTCCTTCCATACATATACACATTATTGAGATTCTTTAGACTTGTGAAAGATTTTAACCTTGTTTAAGCATATTTAGGCAAGATAAATATTCCATGTCATCCATTTCATGATTTTTGCAAGATAAATCTTCCTTGTCTCCCCCTTTTTAACATAAAAGAGATGTCTCCACCTATGTAAAATATTGGGATGGTTTCAGCTAATCATAATCTTCCTCTAGTAACCACATCAAAATATTTGGTCAAGCACATGCCTAGTTTTTCATCCCCTTTATGACACTTTAAAAAATATTGTGTATCTAATACATGTAATTATTTTCAACTGCGAATATTTGTCTCCATGATGGAATCATATCTAAATAGGAGTCACCAATAGATGCTTGTTTTTATATTGATAGATTAGTCAAATTTCTCTCACACCTAATCACTACATGAATTAAAATGCTTCATGGATAATCAACAACTCTGAAAGGTTTATCAAATAAACTTGGATCTGCAACTATGAAATCAGAAGAATTCACTTCCATGATTTTATTATTGAAAGCTGTTTTCACAAAAACTAAATTTTAAGTCTATCCTAGTTTTTTATTTCTCCCCCTAGATATGATAATTGGTGCACCTATGTGAATCATAATAGATGAATGTTTATAATAAGTTTTCAAAGCAAGTAAAAAAGGATAAGATAATAACTTGACATTATTCATACATAAATAAATGGATTTTTCATAGTACATTCTTCCATACAATATTAACATAAGAAATTTATAAGAATTTACCACATATTTTCATATTTTCAAAGTTATGTTGCAATTAAATACTTATTTTGAATTGCACCTTACATTTTTTTCCCATTATAGAATGCTTGAAGAAACCTAATTTACAAGTTTGGACTCCCTTAAGTAGTCCTTGCTTAGTTACTTCAAAGTATTCTCTCTAATATGGCCCAATCTCAAGTGCCATAATAGTATCTTATCTTGCATAGAGTTAATAGGTCTTATTGGTGAGGCTCCACCAACAATAGTGATTCCCAAATGCTGGTAAATATTTCTTGGTAATTTTTTTCCTTTCATCAATACCATTGAACTTCTACAATTTTCAAGTACTAGTACACATGAATGGATTCAAAGAAATAGTAAATATGAATTAATTGAGTAAATATAATGCTTTTTTTGACCCTTTGATTTTGATTTTTATGGAGAAAAAAATATAAAATCATGAAAATAAGGCTAAGGAAACCTCAAACTATGTGAATCAACATAAAAAGTATCCATGAGCATGTCTTGATTAGCTAATGAAAATAAAAGCTAATTTCAAATGCACCCAAGTTTATTTTTAAGCTTTTGGCTTGTTAAATATTGGAAATAGTTGTATTTTTTTTCATTTTAGGTGTCAAATTTTAGGTGTCAAATTTTTGCAAAACAGATTTTGAAGGATTAAGACTTAAATCATGACTAAACACATGATGGCGATGAAACACTCTTCTGAGGCATTGTATAGAAAGAAACATATATAAGAGTACACAAGATATCCCAAGTAAGGGGTCTTCCATGGAGGGAGAGCCTTGTAGCAAGGGTCCAAATGATAGTACCTGTTCCTCTTGTCCTATTAGCCTTTCTTTCTTCTCCTCATATTTGATTTACATTATATTTATATACATATGCACTAGAATCATAGAATCATACAAAAGAAGTTTAGGAATCCCTAAATATGACTTCTTATACACCTTTTCTATATAATAGAACATCTACAATAGCCATTTCTTCCCTTTTACTTTCAAACAAACCTTTTTATCTTTCTTCATTTTGAGATTGATTATGTGATTTGTTGAAATTTGAGAGATGGGTATTCTATATTCAAGGTAATAAAGATACGTTGCTTGATTAAAGAATTGAAGAGTACATTCCTCACACATTGGTATTTACTTTTCAGCTTATGTAGTTTAGAGTCAATGGGAAAATAATTATTTATTTTCAGCCTTTTCATATGTTTTTATTCATATGGGTATTCATATTTTTGAAAAAAATGTTAGTACTTTTGCCACCAAACTATGTTCTTTTAACTTTTGTCAATAAATATATTTATACTTATTATGATTCTTGACTAATATGAGAGTAATTATAGAAGGAACAAGTTTCTAAAGTTTGCTTTTTAGAAGAATAACTAATGTGACTTAGTTGTTGTATAGTAAATCAAGTAAATTTAAAATTTATAAAATAAAAAATACTAATTTTGAGTTATGTAGAAGTATTTTTGAATAAATATATTAATTATAATTCAATAAAAGTTTTAAAAATAGTAAAAAATTTATAAGCTAATTATAGAGATGTAATATAATATTGAATAATATCTTAGAACTTTTTTCGAAGAATATGATTTTTTTTAAAAAAATTAGACTAAGAAATAAAAATAAAATATATTTAAAATTCACAAAAAAGAGAAATAAGGTGTAGATGTCAAAATGATATCAACACTTGACGAATGCGAATTGAGCATAAATAGAGTTTTGTATGAGAATTCTTATGTAAGTGATTAAAAATGATTTAATTAGTCAAATTAAGATTTGTAAAAACTAAAAGATTATAATTAAATGAAGATTAATTTAGAAAATTTAAATCATCTAAATTATGTCTAAATAAAGTAAAAATTAAGTTGAAAGTAAGAAAAATAGAGTTTTGACATCACAGTGGTGATGCATTAGTGATGTACTAAAATTTTGAGTATTCGAGAGGATTGTCATGTAATGTCTACAACCTCAAAGGCTCTTCTTAGATAAGGAAGATATTGACAATCTTTATATCTTCTTGCAAAGTCTAGAGATCAATGAAATAGGTCGTCAAATCGTCTTCAATGATTGACACCCGGCGGGGTAGAAAAATGACACTTTTGTGGCTCTCCAATAGTTGTCACTTGATGGAGAGGAGCTGAATGGAGATGGGACACATGTGAGGGAGTTTCATCCTTAGGTTCATGACAAGTCTTCATTATCATGAGTTAATAGTTAGTAAATGATATAGTTTTAGCCTTAACTCATGATAAATAGACTTATATTTGTGTTAAAGTGTGAAAAATGGTTTTCGATTGATTAATGTGAATTTTTGGATAATTGTGTTATTTTATACGAATTTATATGATTTTTACAATCTTGGTTTTGAGATAAATGAAGAAAAATAAATAAAAATAAAAATATAGCAAAATGGGGAGGACCCACTGACTAGCCATGCCTGCAAGTAGGTTGGAAGTACAGTTGGGGAGGAGTTGCGAGTAGGGTCTCAAGCGGCTTGGACCGATAGGGGCACGTGTGCGTCACTCCCCTTCCATGTCACTAGTAGCCAACCAATTGTGGGGTAAGGAGTGGTCATACACGTGCAAGAAAGGGACTTGATTACAAATGTAATATTATTATATATTCACTTGAAACATCGATGCACAAGCGATGTAGGACTAAACCCATGTCACACCTTCCTCAAAAAGGGTTTGATAATTTTAATACTTAAAAGACTCCTTATTTGTAACAAAGATATATTATGATGATGTCATTTGATAAGGGTATTAGAGTACTTATTTCAATCTTTTTCATGTAGGCGGGCAATCAATGTGGGTTTGAATCCTCTTAGAGCCAAAACTCATATTTTTTATCTAATTATCATGACTTTCTTATAGATCACCGGTGAAGGATTAAGCCACCAGAATTGTTGGATCATTGGTGAAAATCTTGTCAACGCGATTCGTGGAGTGATGTGACTCAGTTGTTGTATAGTAAATCACGCAAATTTAAAATTTATAAAACTAGAAAATATAATTTTTAGGATATTTAAAAGTATTTCTAAACAAATATATCAAA